AACAAAGTCAATCAGAGTGGTTTGATGTCAAAGGCTCCATTCTAGAGAAACTTAGAGTCAAAACTGTTGACAGCAGCCAGACATCTAAAGAGCATAATGCCTCTAAAAGCTCCTTCATAGGAGGCTATTACATAAAACAGAAGCATAAATACATTATCCTTATCCCTGACACAATGTTTTATGATAGTTCTGCAATAAGGTTTTGGCCTACTTTTGAATATATTTATGGTGGAGATGTACATGCAGGGCATTTTAAGGCAAAACAATTTTCAGATTTGTATCATTATCAACATTAAAAACTTCAGAAACCATTTTAGTGTTAGTTTGGAATATAAATAAAACGGCTACATTTGCATATAGACATAATGACCCCTGGTTCACATCAAGACCACAGTCAAGAGGTTGAGATTGTAAATTTCTCTACAATGAACTATTTCACATCAAATCACTCTGAATGACTTTATGCAGCAATAGTCAGTGACTGACCTATACAGCTGTTTTGAAAACTGATAGAATTCACCTTTAATTATTGGTGTAATATATTACATATTATATTATGTTATATTATTAGGAAATTAAGGCCACATGAGCTCATTTTGAACCAATAAAAAATCATTTAGTTAACTGTGAGGACTGATTTTTTTGCTTGAGGAAAGTACAGTCTCCTTTAAGTATTATTGAACCAAATGTCACTGACTCTCAAACGCATCGTAAACCTGTAAAACGCAGTTTAAACAACTATTACTACTAGAAGTGCTATTGTCCTGTTAAAAGTACATGACAATTATTACAGAGACTGTTGTTAAACGCAGCAGCCAGACAACCAACGAGGGAATTACTCTGTTTGCTGAATGTAAAATGCGGCCAGGAGAATGCAGGGGGATTGTTAAAGTACATGATTGTTTGCGTGTCTTTCTCTGTGATCTATTGTTGGCCATCTGTGAAGTGTGGACAATGCTGGGGGGTTCGGAGGGCTTGGTTTGTGTTATAGTCTGTAATGAAATACCCCCTGTGTACTTGGTCTCAATGAAGACTTGAAAAGAGTCTGCTTAACCTCTCACCATGATACATTTGTGTAGCTTCACCCTCCGTTTTGCTTTCAGTGCATGCCTCAAGTCCTCTCTTTGTCTTTCAGCACACTTTCACTCTGCCTAAGAGCAAGCCATTTCTTTAAGGAGAAATTCCCCCAATTTCTCAAGATGTCTGCATAATTAAATGGTTAAGATGTAAACAAAGTCATACTTCATTCTAGAGAAACCAGAATTGTTCACAGTGGTGATGATAGGAACCAGACGCTAGAAGAGTTTAATGCCTCTAAAAACTACATTGAATATGCTGCCTGACACCTGACACTGTTTTACAATAATTTTGAGACGATGCTTCAGCCTAGTATGTATTTTTTACATATATGCATGGTGGAAAGCTACATGCAGGGTGTTGTAAGGCAAAATAGTCCCATTTTTTCAAAGTTATCACGATGAACATTGCATATAAAGATTAAAAGATGAAGATAAAGTCATTAAAATGGCTATATTTGTGTTTTAGCCATCAAGACGGCTGGCTCTTACCACCATAGTAAAGAGATCGGAGTTGGTAGGTTATTGTACAGTTAACCATTGCACATCAAACCACTCCAATCTCATCGACTGAATTACGCAGAAATATTTATAAAGGAATGGTTGCATTAATGACAGTATTTGCAGTAGAGGCTGGGGGAATGAAATAAGAAACCATAGGATTGGCTGAAACTCTTTAGATTAGCATTGATATTGTTATGTTATCAGTTACAACAGATCAGCAAGGTCTAAATCAGTCAAGAAGACAGCAACTGTTTCCTTTGAAGGCCCTTCACGATAGAGATGATGTTCTAGGTCTTTCTGGGTCCACTAAGAGTTTGACTTCACTAGTGATGGACCAAATGCACAGATCTTTCCTAAGCAGTCAATACCGAACTAAATCCATAGAGAGAAGCAAAAGTAAAAAGTTGCATTATTATAGTCATACATTTTAGCTTTCATTCCCATGGCTAATATTAAAGTTCTGGCAATTGATTAACCGCTTATGCTGCAAGAGGCCATATGTAGGTGCACGGTTCAGTTCCTCACTCTTATATCTACATCATATGTGCAAAACTCACAGATTAGCACAATAGTAGGTATGGAATAAGAAGTCTGACGAGTTTTAAGGAGTTAATTTTACAGAAAATCTAAAGGAACCTGAAAGGACCATGTATAAGATCACTAGAAGTCCCAATCAACATCTCAAATACATCACAATTAGGGAAAAAAAAGTGCTCAGTGTTATTTGTTAAATTTTATCTGCAAAGCAGTGTATTCCTTTAGCCTCAATGGTTTGACCGAATTTACAAATAGTTACAAGTTTTTGTTCATCAGTGTTCTCTCACTACAATACCCAGCATGCATTATGAAAATACATCATACAACTATTAGGAATCCCTGTGGTGTCAACCAATTCTGACAGCTGACCACTGAGTTATAGGTGTAGTGTAACTCTTGCTTCGGTTGTGAAACAATATTCTTAGAAAACAGGGATTCTACGTTTAATCAGGGCAAAATGAATGCCAGAGACTTTAGCCTTTCAGTTTGAGTCATCCATTCTCTCCATTGTAATGATGATTTGAAGGCAGTTACTACAGTTATACGGCTGCAATAAGATATTCGGCTTCCTAGTAGTAACGTTAGCTATTTGCTTTCCTTCTGTATTCATCAGCTAATGGGAAAAAAAAACAAATTTAAAACAGACCACCCTTAACAATTCACCCCAAAGCACTTGTAGTTTTTCAGATTTTTCTCCAGCCTTGAAGATATTTCATCTGAAGGGAGATTTCTTAGTCTTTAAACTGGAAAATCTCACTCTAGAGACTACTATGGCACTGCTATGATATGGATACAACAGATGTAGCAACAGTTAAAGTGTCCCTTTAACTTTCAATGCAAGTTACTGAGATTTAGTCATTTGTGAGCACTGCTATTGGTCCATTCATCATGAAACGTTCACAAATGTAAAGGCAGTTGGCATTTTCAAATGGTGTTCAAATAAATAACAAAAAAAACAAGTTTTATTTGGCAGTAATGATATTCAGCTTCAAAAGAGCACATCAATTACCCTCATAATAAGGTTAATAAGGTTAATCTATTTTATGGTTTAACTTCTCAGCCCCACATCCCCTATGGAGAATGCAACAGAGCTGTACTCCAGGGAGCTTCAGGCACACTCCTCTTGGCTGGCCCCTTGCTGGCAAAGCTCCTAACCCTCATCTCTCTGGACAAAGAGGGAGGTCAGGGAGGGTCAGCAGCACTGGTGACATCTGCTAATTGTCCTGGTGGGCCGGCTAAGCTTCACTCCACGAATACCAGTGCTTTGGTTGGTGTTGACACCTGGGAGGACTCTGGCAGCTGCCACAGAAGACCACCTCTGGAGGCTTTGGAGATTATTTACAACTCGAGACCAAACTCAACACCCCCAACGCACTTCGCAAAGTCGATAGAGTCATCAGTCTCAGATGCAGATGAAGAACAACATGGTTGCCTTGCATCCTTTAGGCTTCACGGGGTCAAAGGCACGATAAGATGGGTCACATTTATAACAGATATTTATGAAAGCCCATTTCCACCAGGCAGAAAATTGCCTTTTTTTTCTCTTTCTCTGTTTCTGGCAGTAGTATGTCAAAATAATGACTTGGTATCTCAAAATAATGACATTTTCTAAAGATATTAACTGATCTTGAAATATTTTTTTTTCTCAAAATATATACTTACTAAGTTGGAATAATGAGTTAAAATATTAACTCACTATGTCAAAATAATTAATTATTTTCTACAAATATTGACTTACTACTTTGTCAAAATAATGACTTAATCTCTCTTAATAATGACTAATTATTCAGAAAAAAATGCTTAATTTCTTAAAATTTCTCAACTGATTGTTTTGATAAAGCTTAAAATCTTGATAAAAATTATTTTTTCATTATTTCAAGATATAAAGTCAATATTTCAAGACACCAAGTCAATATTTTGAAAACAAAAGTTCTTATTTTGAGACGCTAAGTCAATATTTTAAGAAGATTTCATCATTATTTTGAGATACTATTTGACAAATGTAGTCATTAATTTTAGATACTAAGTCAATATTTTGAAAACATAAGTGATTATTTCAAGAAACTAAAAAAATATTTTGAGGATATACATCACTATTTTAAGATGCTAAGTCAATGTTTGACATACTGCTGCCAGAAACAGTGAAGGAGAAGAAAGACAAGTGTTTTGGGCTTCCACAGATGCTAGAAGCTACCACTGTGCTGAAATTTCCATGAACGTGAGATATTTTAAAATAAAATGAAGGAAACCAAAGCTGGTTTTGAACTGCAGTCTTTAAAAAAGGTGCCAATAAATGTTCTTTGAGCAATGCCATGGAAGAACCGCTTTAAAAATGTTATTCACCCTCAAACATTTCATTTATAAGAGTAATTCTCTGAAGAACCATCCCTGGGGAGAGTTTTAGAGGAATGTGATTCTTCTGTGGCTTCACACAAAGAACCCTTTCTGGCACCTTTATTTTGAAGAGTATCAGTGGTGCACTCTTATGAAGAACCGTGCAGTTACACAATGATAAGCACATTTGGTTAGATCAGATCCGATTCTGCATTTCAGCAACATTCATTAGATTCTCATTTACAGTTTATTTAGTAAACATAATACTCAATAGTAGACCTGCAGTTAGACTGGACCTCCACAGATGGAAACTAACACATTTACATATATCTGCCTATGCGGTCTTGAGCATTTAAGCTCCGCCCGTTCATGCTGAAGTTATAAGGAGTGTTTCAACCTAGACTGCTTTCTGAATGAGGCACAATACGGGGTATCCAATCAGAACAGAGCTCATTTATCTTATATCAGTCTGAAAGCCAGTCTGTTTAGTTCCAAGGGACAAAGAAAGGTTGTTCATGTATATTCATGTAAAAATTAATTATGTTAAAAATGTTTTTAGTACATAAAACACAGACATTTTATGTGGGCCCCATGAGATAAATAAAGCGCAACAAAAATGCAGGATATCAGCCCTTTAAAAGTTTCTAAGACATAATATTCAAACTAGGGATGTGAGAGTACAACATATCTTATTTTATCGTATTGTTGTATTATAATTACCGTGTTAATGTGTTAGCTTGGGGCTAACATATTAGCTTGTAGCTTGATCATTACATTACAACATTTTTGGTTCAGAGTTTCTAATGTGACAAAGGCGAATACTTTAATAAACTCAGAATTGAAACAATAACTTGTTGACATACTAACACATCTTCAGCCACTCAGTGTCAAAAAATGTATCAAATCGAGACATCACTGTATCAAATCTAATCAAATTCTGAATTTTCTTACACCCCTAAATCCACAGTCATATGCAAAAGTTTCGGCACCCCTGGTCATATGACGTTTAGTTGATTTTTCTAAGTGAACATAAATAAACACGTCCTCTACATCGAACAAACTTAGGTACGGCATTTTGTGCAGATTTTAGTGCATAATTTCTATTTATTTGCTGAGTTCAACATATTGAAAAAGATAAAACGTAACATATTAAATGTGCCAAAACTTTGGCACAGGCCACATTTTATGTCGTCTTTTTCCCAGTGTGTTAAATTCATAAGTGTGCGTTAAAATGTGCAGAACTGTGTTCTCTGTAGAGCATGTGTTAACTTATTTTCACTTAGAAAATCAATAAAACATGCAATTTGACCAGGACGCCCAAACTTTTGCATATGACTGTATGTATGAATTTATGTAAACAAAAAACAAACATTTTTAAGTAAGTAGTTTATATTTAGGACTACAGTGGAATTTATGCAGAGTTGTGTAAATCACAAACATTATATAGTCCTAATTGTTTAAGTTTAATTAGTGGATTGTCTATCCTGGCTAATGCATTTCAGCCAATCAGCTGTCTGGTGACGAAGAAGGGTAATGTCTAAATAGCCCTGTTTAGACCATTATTTCTAACTGGAATCATTTCATAACAACTATTATAATGTTATGGTGTCTTCTTTGGTATTCTAAAATGTGGAAAATTTAATATGAATAAATGAACAAGTGAGTAAGTAAGTAAGTAAATAAATAACGTCTGATTTAGAAGTGAATTTGTCCAAACGTTTGGCTGGAAGTGCATATGGTGGCACCCACTTACAGCAAGAAACAGCCGTGTGGGGTCAAGTGAGGCATCAATCACGATGCACGATGTCTACAACACAAACACAGCCATTTTATTTACTATCCAAAACCAGTGAACCTACACATATTCTGAGTTTTTATATGTAGTGTTGATGATGGTAATAGTCACCAATCTGAAAAAATACGTTTTCTTTGGGAACTATTTGCCTTAGAACGTTCTGCATGTATCCCTCCGCCGTGAATGGCTTGAATTAAATGGATTCAAATACATTTTGTGCCAAAACTTTATCATAAAACTATAATAAAACACATTAGGCAGTGTATTCATAAACATTTTGTGTAATAACTTTCTGTGAGGAAACTTTAAACCTTTCAGACGTCTGGTTCCTAACACCACCACTGTGAACAATTCTGACTGGGCAAGTTTCTCTAGACTGGAGCATTTCACACCAAACCACTCTGAATTACTTTGCTGACATGTTAACCGTTTAATTACGCAGAGTTTTTGAAAAATCGGCCCCCTTTAAAGTTAAACCTAACGGCTCAGAATGACCCCAGCCCGTGACCTCTGTTACAACAAAGTAATTACGTTTAAAAAATAGCATCGCTTGTATGAAGACTGCTCCAAAAACGGACAGACAGTAGGCGAACTCCTCACTCTCCTCTCTGTCAGACAGAGTCGATTCATTAGCATCACACTGAGCGCTCTCGCGCTGTAGCACCGTAAAAATCACACAGTTGCAAATACGAACAAGAGCTGTCACAAAAAAACTACACGCTCCTTCAGAAAAGGGCACATTTTAACCAGATGCAGTGCAATAAACAGCCAAGGAAGCGTGTCACCCACCGAGAGCAGCATTAGCATCAGAAAGCCCCCCAGTGAGGGAGATCTCCACACTCCGGCTGTATAATATCACTGAGGCTCTGCACTGGGGGCCTTTTAAATGTCTTTTAAAATGGTAATTTTAACGCGTGAGGGTCGTGTGTTCGGCTGGTATAAATGTGGAGAGGCTGGTAGAGACTGTCAGCTTTAAAATCACTGCACAGGCAGCCAGCGTGACTTCAGTTGACGGTGTAGAAGTACGAGACTTCGTCAACATGCAGCAAGAAACCAAAAACCAGCCTGCCAGGACTTGTTCTTTTTCCATAGTGGACATCCTAGATCCCTCCAAATTCACAGGAAGAAACAGAGACTTACAAAGTACAGAAAATATGGACTGCAAAAAGAAAAGTGGTGAGTCTTTTTTATCTGTTCTATTTTTCTTTAATTTCATTTTCTGCCCTAAAGTATCTCAGCAAAATGCCTCCAATTATACTGATTTTACAATAATGTAGCAGTTTTAATTTCCCAACCTAACTGGAAGCCTTAATTGTTGAGAAATGTTTAAGTAATAATTAAGAATTAGACACTTTTATTTTGGAAATTTCTTAGGCAAAACGCTTTATTTAACATTATAAAAACACTATAGCTGCGTCTAAAACTACTAGACAATACATGCTATACTACTTAATTGACTAATAAAGGTGCTGTACTATTTTTTGAATTACTATTTTGTACAATAGTATGTTGTTCTGAGGGCAGCCTATGTAATCCAACTGCTGTAAGATGACCGTTGATGTTAAGGGGTGTGGGCACTAATCAGTACATAAGAGAACTGCATCTATGTAATAAAGTGCACGTATTGTGCTGTACTAACTTTAATCATATCATGACATTGGCTAGCTTTATACAACCGTTTGTGAGGACGAAAGAGCAAAAAACAGAATAAGAAAATTTGTACTAAAACGGGAGAAATCAATGAGAATTTTCGGCTGAATCTCAAATTCCCCCTACTCCCTCCGCACTGTTTGTATTCAGGAGCCAGTATGTAGTGCACTACGTAGGGTACAAGGGGCCATTTGAGATTCAGCCTAATGAATACAAACTGCTCTTGGACGTCGTCCACCAGAGGGCAGCACTGCACCGCTGCTTTCTGATTGTAACGCTCTATAGGTACCAAAGCACGGAGCGTTTGATTAATGTTCATTACGGACTTTCATTTATACTCGTGTGGTTTTCAGATCCGCTCTCGGATGATGAAAGCCAGAAATCCACTGACAGCCGCTCCCCTTCAGGGTCTCCGGTCCCGGCCCGCAAGGCGAGGCGCGTGCGCACCGCCTTCACACTGGAGCAGCTGCGCGTGCTGGAGCGGAGTTTCCAGAGCAGCCATTACCTGTCCGTGCTGGAGCGCCATGTCATCGCCGCGGCGCTCCGCCTCTCCGAGACTCAGGTCAAAATCTGGTTTCAGAACAGGCGAACCAAGTGGAAGAAGGAGCGAGAGGGACACGGAGCCGAGGAGCACAGCCACTTCGCCATTTTACCACCAGCGGTCGCTCCGAGCTGCCCGTTCACTGCAGCGGCCGCTCTCCATCACACGGCTCCGCTGTCTGTACACTTCCCCTCGGCTCAGCCCTGCCTGCCCTCCGCCTACAGCTACACTGCACTTACATACTTCTAACCACAGCCTGAACACCAGATGAATAAACATGCTAACAGGACTGACCAGAAACTTTGCTCAGTTAGCATCTTGCTGCAGTTAGTTAATGTTTGAATCCACATATTTACAATGTGCTTCATATTTGTCATTTAATATTTATAAACTTTGTAATTCCTGTATTTATATTACACTTTGAATATTTTCAGAATATGTTTTGGGGGGTATTTGATATTGAAAAACTATTAAAAGGTATATTTTTGCACTACACGTGTGTCTTATTTCTCATCTGCTAACCTTAAAGGAGAATTCCACCTATATTTTAGAATTTCCATCCTGATTAAATGGTTAAGATGTAAACAAAGTCTGTCAGTGTGGTTTGATGTGGAAAAGCTCTGTTATAGAGGAACTTCCTGAGTCAGATTTGTTCACAGTGGTGGTGATGGGAACCAGACATCTGAAGTGTTTAATGGCTCTAAAAGCTCCTCACAGAAAGCTTTTTACACATAAAAAAAAGTTACAAATATGTTGCCTGATGCCTGAGACATTTTTGTGATAAGGCTTTGACCTGAAACCTTTTGTTAATCCATCTTTTTTTATCCATTCATAGTGGAAGGGTACAGGTGTTGTAAGGCAAAATAGTCCCCAAAGATAATGTTTTTTTTTTTTTCAGATTTTCAACTATTTTACCATCATTATTACATATGAAAACTCAGAAGATGTGTAGGTTCACTGGTGGTTTTGGATAGTAAGTAAAATGGCTATATTTGTGTAGACATGGTGACCCCTGGTTCCTATCACCACCACTGTAAAGAAATTCAGTCTGCAATTGTCTCCACAAATGAACCACTTTCTGAATGACTTTGTTTACACTGCAATCGCAGACTTAGGCAAAAAATTGAAAAATTAGTGCATAAGAATAAGCTGTAAACAAAGTAAGTCAGAGTGGTTAGATGTGAGTTTAGCTGCTTCTTGTGTCAGGATTGTTCGCAGTGCTGGTGATAGGAACCAGACATGCAAAGTGTTCAATGCCTCCCTCACAGAAAGTTTTAATATGAAAATAGTTACAAATATGTTGCCTGGTGCCTGAGACTTTGTAAGATTCGAACCTAAACGTGACTAAACGTAAAGATTCGAACGTGTTTTGTTTTTAATTCTTTCATGGTGGGCGTTGTAAGGCAAAATAGTCTCCAGAAAACTTGTTGATTCAGATTTACCAATAATTTACCATCATCAGTGTTACATCTAAAAAACCCAGAAGATACATGTAAGCACACAGGACATTCTGGATAATAAACAATATGGTAATATATGTGTTGCAGGCATCATGACCTCTGGTTCCTATCACTACCACTACAAAGAAATCTGATTCAACAGGTTCTTATACAATAAACCATTTTTTATCAAACCACTCTGAATGACTAGTTTTCCTTTCAGTAATAGAATTATGTCAACAGTTTGAAAAAGGGGAATTCCCCTTTAAATGACATCCATCAAATGAATAAATGAGGTTGAATCAGAATTAATACAGCCAGTACAATCTGATTAAATCATGCAACTCTACAGAATGATTGAGTGTTTTCTATGAAAATATAACATGGATGGCAGCCACATGCACAGATGGAGAGCAGATAGTGGGGACAGACAGGATATCAAATGATGAAGGAGGAGTTCAGTCATTCCAGCAGTCTCATCTCTAGTGATATAAAAGCAACATTAAGGATAAAAAAAAAAAAAACCTTTGAAATGATTCCCTATGAGCCCAGCAGGGGCACATCTGTCTGCAATCTACCACACGGTTTTCATTAACTTCACATGTCCGTCAGCACTGTTGATAAATAGTTGCCTTTTCATGGTTTCATGAAGAATCCCATAAGCAGGTTGACTTATTATGCATGAATGTACTGGAGTGAGTTTGGAAAACAACTTCTAAAACAGACAATAGACCAGAAAGCATATCTGAGAAAAGACGTTTAACAGTGTTAATGGAATAGTCGATTTGTTGGTCAGTCGTGTTTAGATGTTTGTCTATCTGCGTATCTAAAACTGCTTGAAATGATCTCAGAACGTCATCTGCATTTGCAGATGTTTTTGGCTGTCTTTCTGTCTTTCAGTAATAAGATGGAAATGCAATCCTACCTTAATTGGAAACAGCAGAGAAGTTTAGGGATGATGTTATCAGTGCTAACAAAGTTTCTGGCTCCCTCCTGAATTACATCACTGAAAAGGCTGTGTCTGAGATATCCCTATTTAGAAACACTGACACAATCCTGCTTCATTATTTGGCAGAAGAATTCAGCTCTTAAAGAGGAATTCCACCAATTTTCCAAAATATCTGCATAATCAAATTATTGAGACGTAAACAAAGTCACTCAGAGAGGTTAGATGTAAAATGGTGCACTGTGGAGAAACTTACCAATCCAGACTTCTTTACAGTGGTGGTGATAGCAACCAAGGGTCCCAGTGTCTACAGCATAAAAGCCATTTTAATGTGCTATCAAGAACGTCCTACATGTATTTTCTGAGATTTGATATGTAATGCTGGTAATGGTAAAACAGGCGTAGATAAGGTTTTTTTGAAGGGAACTATTTTGCCTCACAACTTGTGTTGTGCATGTGTTGTGCATGTGTCTTTCTACCATGAATAGATTTCTAAAAAGAATGCTTTAGCCCAAAACCTCATCTCCAAACAACTGTAAACAAGGTCTCAGGCCTGAGGCAGTGTATTCATAACCATTTTGTGTAATAACTTTATGTGAGGGAGCTTTTAGAGGCACTTTAAACTCTTCTGACGTCTGGTTCCTATCACCACCACTGTGAACAATTCTGACTCAGTAAGTTTCTCTAGCATGGAGCATTTCACACCAAACCACTCTGAATGATGTTGTCTAATTATGCAATTACGTTGTGTTTAATTATGTAGAAATTTTAGAAAACGAGTGGAATTGCCCTTTAAACCATGAAAGTGTAAAGGGCTGATACTGAAAAACACATTTTCGAAATTAGCTTTTTTGCCTTGCTCAAAATGTTCATTATCCTGTTTATACAGTCCACACAGTGCCCTCCCCAAATACAGACACCCCTGGCGTGCTGAAGTCTGCAGTGCTATGGCCCGCCAGGACTGGATCCTGACACATGTGATTTAAGGTAAAATGATTGAAAGAAAAAAATAAATCTTGACATGGTCTCATGGTCTTATGGTCATGATGTCACATTTGCATATGACCCACTCATTCTTGTTGAAGTGATAAGGAGTGTTGTTACTGCAGACAGTCTGTTATCAAGTTATTAAAGCAGAAGATATGAGGAAAAAGATTAAGAGTTGCACGGTTCTTGACTGACAGGAAGAAAATGCATCATTTCCACCTTCCAAATGAACCAGAAATCCTGAAGTTAACAACTCTGAGTATTTCGGTCAGAACTGAACATCTTGTTCCACATTTCAACCCAGTCTGTTTATCCAATGGGATATACATGAGTCTTGCAAGCACAAACGAAAGGTTTATTTATTTTTTATCTATTTATTTATTTGGAATTTAATACATTTAATTTGTTACTGTGCAAAACAGAACAAAGGCACTTATTTACTTCTAAGCAATAAAGGGACATGTGAAAATGCTTGTATTCAATGCAAATATTGACTGTTTGGTTCATACACTGATCAGCCATAGCATTAACCCCCCCACCCCAACCCCCCCCCTTGTCCATTTTATCTGTAGTTCTACAATTGGTGGATCATTCTCTGCACTGCAGTGATACCGACGTGGTGGTGGCATGTTAGTGTGTGTTGCGCTGGTACTTCAGCAGCACTGATGTGTCTGATCCACTCGTACCAGCACAACGCACACTAACATACCACCAACACAGCAGTTTCACTGCAGTGCTGAGAGTGATCCGCCACCCAAATAGTACCTACTCTGTGGTGGTCCTGTGGGGGCAGAGAAACAGATGGACTACAGTCTGTAATTGTAGAACTACAAAGTGCATCTACAAGGTAAGTGGAGTTGATAAATGGGACAATGAGTGTAGAAGGAGTACAACTTTAACACCTAAACTAGATTCTAATGTCGTTTACGCCATGAGTCATACTGTGCTTTGCATTTCTAGCAGCCTTTTTTAATCAGGATAGAGTGATTTTGCGCTCCTCTAAAATAAGGCAAGCGATCGTCTGAAGTGTCTGGAACAATTACATTCAAGAGCAATGAGCAATGTCCTGTTGTGCAGCGACTGCAGCAGTATGCCGCCATGCACTCTCAGTCTAGACACAGCTCAAATATAACCACAATGAATCCAATGAATTGTGAAAAAATGACAACTGCCCACTCTGCAGTTTGGTTTTGGGTAGGCGAATGGAAAGATAGTGGTTAAAGGTTAAAGGAAAGGCAGACTGGTGCAGAAGTCAGCGACTATCCTTCATTTACCTAATTTCCAGTCAAATGGTCTTTAAGTATAATTATTCATGGTCAGGAAAAAAGCATCTACTCAACAACTAAATATAATATCAATTTGTTCACTACTCAGTGTGTCTCTGTACTGCAGCCTTTATTACAGCTTCTTTTCTTTTTAAGAGACCTGCTTTCTGTTTTTTCAAAGAAATCTGCAGGGATATTTGTCCACTCCTCCAAAGTTCAGTCTTAGAATTTGGTTGTACTTTTTGCTTCTTACAGTCTATTGTTCTGAGAACACCAGTAGCTTTTTTGTTTGAATTGCAAATCCTCTTCTATTCCGTCTATTTCCTTTTTCTCAGTAAGGGCTTTTTGACAGCTACACATCCTTTCAGACTCATAGTGCTGAGTTGTCTTCTCACAGTGGAAGGATGGACAGAAACATCTGTGGATTTTTTCATATCTGAAGAAAGAGTGGAGCTTGATTTTCTCTCTTTTATTTACATTTTATAATTTTATACTTTTTTTGACGGTGCCAAGTTTGACGGCCTACCAGATCTTGCACTCCCATTTTTCTCCTTAAAATAAGTACGTTTTTGTATTTGATAGCTGTTCTGACCGGAAATCAAACAAATGAAGGGTGGCCTCTGACTTTTGCACAATACTGTGTATCTTTTCATGACATTGTTAAGGAGTCACGATGTCTCAGTGAGAATGTTAACCACATGTAGGTTTCTACAAGTAAGAAAGAGTCACAGGAATTTAGGAGAGACTATGGCCAGTTGAGTGGGGGTGGAAAAACACCTGGATTGGAAACTAGTGACTAATTCTTACAATAAAAGCATCCAATAGCAAAGAGTAAGCAATTTCTCACTGGGCAAAATGAGTAGCCTTTGTCAAGGGAAGCTACTTGACCTACATCTGGCTCGAAACAGCAAACTGCATGTTTTTGCTGTTTGTCCTGGAATATTTAATCCATTTAATAGAAGAAACTTTGGAAATGTCTCGTCTCCACTCTAGCCCACCCTCCCCCTTTCCCCTCTAGCACTTCTTCCAGTACCCTCCCCAGCCTGGGATCTTTTCTTTTCCTTAAGACTTGTCTTCCCACACTCACTCGGAGGGGGCTGTCCGAGGAATTCGACTGGAGTAGTAGTCTAGTCCAAGAGAGCAAATGCAAGAGGACACAAACTTTATTACCAGGGTTACTGATTCCACTTCTGGCAAGTTCAGGTTGGGATAAGATGTTTTGACTGAGAACATCTGGACTAACACTTTTTTCAAAGGTCATCTGCTTGTTTTTCAGAACTGCTGGACTTCTTGTGTGAACTGTTTCCATTGTGTTGTGCTGACGGAGCATCTGCTGGCGCTTTTGCTGTTCTTCAATGACAGCAAGGCTGTAGCTTTAGCTCTACACCACTCCGTTCTTTTGCATTCCACTGCATAAGTGGAGCAAGGAGAATCAGCGATGAAGATGTGGAGGTTGAAGGTGCCAGTCTGGCTCACCTTATTTGCTCTCTGCTGGATCTTAGCATGCTTTGGGAATATAGAGGCAGATGGCATGGTCAAGTCTGGCCAGGCAACCAAAGGTCTTCGGGCAAGAAAAACAGCTGCTGTTGATCAGAAGAAAAAAGAAATACAGGGACCACAGCCAGAAGATACTCCGAAGGATGAACCTGGGGCAGATGTGGAAGCTAAAAAGGACAAACCAGGGAGTAAAAAGTCACCTGAGGAGGTGCTAGCAGGTAAGCGGCATTACCATCAGTCTCCAACTGCTGTGCATTATTAAAGGACATGCACAAATTTAGGCTCTGAAGACATTTCCGTAGATACGGTTCATGGTAAACGTCAAAGAAGGTCCAGTGGACCGTAGATGTTCAGCTGCGTTTTGTCATGCTGACACATCTGGCACTGGCTGAGTGTAGCTTTCTTCCTCTTATGTAAGTTACTCAGCAAACGAGGACTGTTCAGTCTAGTGACACACTTAATATGTTGTGCTCTCTCCCGGAGGCATGCTGCCGAGAGGCGCCTGAATGGAAAAGAGATTACAGTTGGGGAGTAGTAAAGCGAAGGAGTAGATGGTAATCACAGATGGCTCTTGAAAACAGCATGGTCAAGCAAAACGCAAATCCCCACCACTCATCCCTCACTCTGCTTTGCTAATAGCAGAGTGCCGTGTGGTTTTAGTTCGGAGAGGCAGGAAGAACAACAGACCCAACATTTGGTTTGCATTGAAGCCGTCACAGCTATCTCTCTTAGGAGTTCACAATTCCAAGCCTTTTACTACGTGTTAGGTCTCTGCTGCCTTACATAAAAAGCCATGTGGCAGAAGATCTACAGGACTGTGCTAAAGTCAGAGAACACCATTTATTTATTGAATTATCAATCAAAACAAAGTTACTCATTTTTCAGGAGATATGTAATCCGCTTACATAAGGAAGAGGAAAGTGTTTCCAAAACTGAAATTCAACAGATTATTAAATGATACAGAGAAAATGGGACTCTTAACAACCACCTGCAAGACCTGGTAAATCAACCAAACATGTCACCATCAAACAAACAGTATTCAAAGCTTTCAACTTTGAAAGAGAGAAGAAAATCAAGCTTCAAATCTGAAAAAATCCACAGGTGTTTCTGTCCATCCGCCCACTGCGAGAATATAAGTCAACACTCTGGGTCTTAAAGGATGTGTAGCTGTGAAGAACATGATACTGAAAAAAGGAGATGGACTAAAAAAGAACATTTGCAAATCAAACAAAGAAGCTGCTGGTGTTCTCAGAACAATGAACTGACCTCCCCAAAGTCCAGCCCTCAGCTTCACTGAATGTGTTTATGATTACTTGCATTGTGAGAAGCATAAAATTACCTAATTAATGTACTTAACTGCCATTTTGACTGGGAATTAAATAAACACAGGATAGTCTCAGACTTTTGCAGAGTACTGTAGCTTGAAGCTTCTCAGACAAATATGAAGATAATCTTGTGTAGTCAATCATAGCTGATAAGTAGATTAGAAAAAGGAAATAAATACAGTTTTGGTGTCTGCCTTTCCAGACACATAGATTTATGCCTCTGTGGTCTGGATTGGGTTCGGCAGCATTTCATTTGCTGCTACCACTGTCACCCAGCTGTATTTTATAGTTGTAAAACTCAAAGCTTACAGCCTCTATTTGCTCTGTTCAACGCATGCAATTATGAGCACAAAATTTATGAGCATCACTCTCTGGATGTGCAAAAGGTTTCATTAAAGGAGCACTCTGGCTCCTGTAGAACCTAAACTATACCTACATACTACAGCCTACAGTGGTGCCACAGGAGTCTCTAAAGCAAGATTTTCCAGTTTAAGAACCATGAAAGTCCCCTTCAGATAGTGTATGTTGAAGGTAGCATGACCTTTTGAAAAACTAGAACCAAGCCTGTAAGCTAATGTCACTGCTAGGAAGCAGAATATCACATCTGTATTTATTAGCCTCTACATCAGTGGCTTCACTGGCAAACAGTAGTACTTTATTGCCATGGGGCAATCCTAGTGGTTAATGCATGCTGGGTATTGTAGTGAGAGAAAATAGACACAGAAAGGAGGCTGAGGGATGCAATACTGTGCTACAGAATATTACATAATGGGACAAATAATTAATAATATTAAATGTTAGTTTTAGGCCAAAATACCCCTTTAAGTTATGCTGGTAGTAAATACTTCCTGTAGGCCTCCGTGACTTCTGTCTGTCTTGGGGTCAGACGTACAAACACAACTGTATGTTCCTGCAACACATTCCAAAAAAAAATCAGCCAGGGGCAATTTAAGACTAGAAACATTGTGAAATGTTCCAAAAAACTTGGGTATAAAATGAGCATTCAGGAAAGGCCTTTATGAGTTAGGATGGTCAAGCCTCGCCAAAAATGTGTTAATTGTTCAAGAACAACGTTCCTCAATGAGCCTTTGCAAAGATTTTAGGTATTTCCCCCTCTAAGGGGAAGAACAGCATCAAAACATTCAGGGAATACGGAGAAATTTCTGCGTAAAAGGTCGAAAATTCAAACTGAATGCCTATGACCTTTAACCCCTTTTAAATCCGACATGCTTCTGTAATGAATATAACCACATGGGCTCAGGAATACTTTGAAAACCCTTGTCAGTAAACACAGTTCATCGCTGCATCTACAAATGGAAGCAAAGACTCTACTACGCAAAGCAGAAGCCATATATCAACAATATCCAGAAACACAGCTGACTTCTCTGGGCTAAAGCTCATCTGAGATGGACTGACGTACAGTGGAAATGTGTATTGTGGCGTATTATGACGCATAACATATGACAATGGAGTATCTTAAGGAGCTGTTCCCTGTTCCCAAATGATTACTGAATGTTGTTAAAAGGAAAAGTGATGTAACACAGTGGTAAACATGCCTCTCTCCCAACTTCTTTGGAAACTGCTGCAAGCCTCAATTTAGAGTAAGTGTATATACTGAAACATTAGATATCTTGTCTTGTTTTCAATTGAATACAGGTCAAAAGGGATCTGCAAATCAGTGCTTTCGGTTATTATTTGCATTTTACCTACTGTCCCAACTTTTTTTGGAATTGGGTTTGTATGTTGGACAGGTCATCTGAGGCTTGAAGACAGACATCATGATGATTAATCTTCCTTCATTTACCTTGGCTGATAAAGAGTGAAGCTTTTGTCTTCACAAAGCAGCATAAAAACACTAGGGGTTATGGAAAGCGTCATTTTGGTGGCCAACTGTCTTACGTCAGATTCCACTTGCAAAGGAATAAATGAATGTTTGATTAAAGTATTTAAAGGGAATTTCCACTGATTTTTCAAAATGTGCTTAAGTCAGAGAGCAACTGGTTACAATGTCTACAATACAAACATAGCTGTTTTATTTACTAAACGACCAGTGAACCTACACATCACCTGAGTTTTCATATGTAATGTTAACACTGGTTAAATAGCAGTTAATATGAAAATAACAATATATGTGTTCTTGGCCATTTTGCCTTATAATGCCCTGCATGTTCCTTTCTGCCACAAATGGCTTTTAAAATATGTTTTAAAAACCAAAACCTTCACAAACTATCATCAGCCATCAGGAGAAGTATAATTTTGTGTAATAACATCTTTGTAAGTGCTTTTGTGGTTCTTATCACCACCACTGTGAGCAACTCTGAGTCAGTAAGTTTCTCTAGAATGGCGCAGTTCACATCAAACCTCTCTGAATGACTTTGTTTGCATCTGAAGCATTTAATTAAGAAGAAATTTTGAACAGTCAGCGGAATTCCTCTTTGGGTCATGAGTCCAAAAAGTATGTTGGCTTCCAAGACAATACTCTGTGGTTTGGCAATCTGGAGTCCAATGGTTTCTTTATCCAGTGTCTGTGCAGCAGTGAGTCATTATCCTAAACCTATCCTTATGTTCAAATGTTCCTTAGCAGACATGTTTGAAAAAACATTCACACTGATTTTTTTTTGGATAGCTTTCCACCCAGTGTCAAAACTGAACCGAACGGAACAGAGACAGGAAAACTTATGTAATATTACACATTTATATGCAAGTCCTCTGGTCCTATTTCAAGTGTACATTAGCTATTTTTTTCCTCTCCCACAAGCCAAGGCAAAGAAAGCAGCAGAGAAGGAGGCCAAGGCAAAGAAACCGAAACCCCCCAAACCCACCAAAAAGCCCAAGCCACCAAAGCCAACGAAGAAGCCCAAACCACCGAAGCCAACCAAAAAACCTAAACCACCCAAACCCACCAAAAAGCCCAAAGCGCCGAAGACCACACCACAGCCCAAAAAGAAGGTCGAGAGCCCTCCGACCAAAAAAACAACCCTGGAGGAGGAAGAGGAGAAACTTCTAAGAGAACTTGGATGGGACACATGTATGTATTCATCAGCACTGGCTGTTAAGTGAATGCCAATTTATGATTTTTGTTCACATGACATATAATATCTAGACATTATATCAGTATGTTGCTTTCAAGTGCACTTGTCTTGTCAGTATTTCCTACAGTATCGCAGAAGGAAACTGAGGAGAAGAAGACTCCAAGCCTAGATCATGGTAAGTGAAAGCATCTTCACCCTTCTGTCCCAAGATCTTCTGGATAATCAGTACAGAGAAACTATACTTATAATATCCTAATATTTTCTTGTTTTCTTAGCTCACTTATAACATTTGTGTGGTTTTATATACCAAAAATGGTCATTATTTATTTTTTATGACCATTTTCCAACCTCTCTTTATGCCTTAGAATTAAACAGGCTGTTTTGTTACCATGCCTTTAAGACTGATTTATGTAAATAACTTCTGTTATGATAAGCCTGACTATATAAAAATAAATACTGTATATAAGAGGAAAAAGTAAATGCTTTAACAAATGGTTATGTGTAATTAATTCGGTGATGTGTAATGTGGTGACTAAAGGACAGTACCTGTTCTCACAGACAAATTAGCACAGCTGTGGCCAGATTCATTGCACATTTTTTTAATTTGGAAATGATTGACAAGAGAAAGTGAAAAAATCAATTAAAGTGGGAGATTGTTAATGAGCTTTCTGAAGACTTAATGAAAGAGTACAAACATTCTATTTCAATAATGCTCAAGTACAACCATCCAAAATAATAATTAAGTTTAATAACAAAGCACAATTACTCTACATTACTGCGTGAAAGTCAGAGACCACCCTTCATTTTTTTCAACTCCCAAAACAGCCACGAAGTAAAAGTCATTTATTTTTCAGGAGATGTTTCTGAGATTACATATAAGATAATCCACTTACATAAGGAAGGGGAGGAAAGTCAAAGCAAAATAAGTGAGAAAACAGGAGTTGCCAAAAGTGGAGTTCAAAAAAACCATTAAAAGATATAGAGATAATGGCACTCTTAACAACTACCTGGAAGACCTGGTAGAACAAAACTGTCACCATCAGATAAAAAGGACTGTCCATGCTTTCACTGTAAGAATAAAAGTCGACCTTTAGTCTTGCGGGGCCAGACGTGATCTCTTAACAGTAATACACACCATGGGGCGACTAGTCGAAAATCCACCAACAAAGCTACGCCCTGTGTAAAACCTAACCTAGTTTGTGCAAATTTTATGTCCAGAGTATAACTGATAACAAAACAAGCTAGCTAGTAAAATGCTATTGTAGTAATGGTGATGTTTATTTTGACCACATATGTGTTCCCTGCGCACGCAACACACGCTCAAATGCTTGATTGGAGTTTTGTGGATGTCTTTTCAGGCATGCTAACTTATGTTACATCCATGAGCTAACAACAGGCTTCTTATCTGTCAGAAAATGTTGACAAGTGTGTTATCATCGCGTACTTCAAGTTCCACCTTCACAAAGCACTGGATTGGCCTAAAACACAGATTGTTCCCACCCTGATAAGTCTACATTCCCAGCCACATTTAGCCCAGAACTTCTCATGGCTGTCCCCAGATATTCTCTTTATGAGATCACATCCCAGCCCTGTGAAACTACTCAACACTATGGGTCTGTAAGGACATAGCTCTGAAGAAGCCATTACGTCATTAAATGTGTTTGGGACTGTCTGGATCTTGAGAAGCAGAAAATGCAACCAACTTGTAAGATTGAACTTTGAAGGTGGGAAAAAATATCCCTGCAGATTTCTTCAAAAAAGTGAAAACACGTCCCCCCACAATGAATGGAAGCTGTAATAAATGCAAAAGGTCGACCCACTTTATACTGAAAAACTAAATACTGAAATTATATTTAGGCGTTGAGGCCTTTTTTCTGTGTAATTTTATGTTAAAATATATGTTTTCTGTTCTTGTTTTTATTTTTTTATTGCTCGACACTGAAAATGAAGGGTGGTCTCTGACTTTTGCGCAGTGCTGTGTGTAAATATTCTTTTTTTTTTGTTAGATATCAACAGTCTCAGAACTTCTAACATATGGTCACCATTAGATGTTGAAACATTTGTTGAATTGTAGAACTTACTGAAATGCAAGTGTTCAGCAAGAGAAGCGTACGTAAACAAACCAACCATTTTTTATGACTTCCGTCTTGCCGCTTTCAAGATGTTCCATGGCCCGATCTTGCAGAAACTATGTTTTACTAGCAATTTCTCTTTCATCTCCTTTTCTTCAACAGACATTCTCATCAAGAAAGAAGAGCCAACATCACCTTCTATAACCAAAATCCCTAAGGAACATGATCCTGATTACTGGGATGCCAGACGTACGTTGGAAACAAGAGTGTAAACCCACGACAGAGAAGCAAATGAGAACTAAGAGCACCATTAAAACACTGTTGGACTTTTTGACCTCTCTGTTTTACTCTTTCATCTGATAGATGAGGTGCCAGAGCCTGACCTCCTCCCTAGACGCAAGGAGGCCACCACCACCACGGAGGATCCAAGCATATATTTACCCATCCCAGGTAACCCAAGTTAATCCAAGCAAATTTGTGCTAATGAGCAGGCGTGGGCTGACATAGCTCTTGCATGAAGAGGGGAACCCACAAGTTTTACAGGAGATCTTTTATGACATAAACAAGGGAAGCAATGAAATAGTGACCGCTGGCAATTAGAGGCAAAACATTTAAGCAGGACATACAAGATTACAGCGAACAGAAAACATGTTACGAGTTGTTTGTTCTTTCTTTTTTACTACAAACTGGCTCATTTTCTCTTGTTTTTTATGCCTGTGTAGAGGAGACCACAGCACCACCATTTGTAACCCCCTGGTATGAGGAATATGATTATGCGGACTGTACGTCTACACTCTTTTCTGATAATCACTTTTAAAAGGCTCATATTGTGAGAAGTCTTAAATTATATAGCATTCCTGTGTGGTTCAATGTCTTTCTGTTACTTCTCTCCCATTCCCATTAGTGGCGGCAAAGAAGCTGGAGGAGGAGATGGAGAAAAAACGGAAGGAGAAGGAGAAAAAGGGTCTAAATCTCTCTCTTTTTTCATATATCTTGTGCAGCTCCCTTTAGACCTCTTACTGTCAACACGTACTTTAGGTTCTCTTGTCATGTGGGTGGTCGGAGCCCAGAATTATCCTTCGTAATAATTTCACCTTTTCCTTTATAGGAGACCCTTCGGCCATAACGTGCCCACATGTTCCATGTGATACCCTGTTTTTAGAAAAACACAATGGAAAAGAGGGAGAACAGTTACCATGGTTGGAACGACAACACTGAAACACTGAAGCTGAAGGCATGAGCCAATTAGGCAGTCAAAACAGATATGGATTAAGGATTTGCAGGGAGCGCAGAAGGAAATTAAAAAACAATTCTAATGAGAAAAATGTGAAAAGCCATAGTTCCTCAAAGGGGCATCACGGCCTAAAACTAGCATTTAATATGTTATTCGCCATGTTATGCAGTATTTTGTAGCGTAGCGCTGCATCTTTCAGCCTCATCCTGTATTGCTTTCAGGTTTTCATCCATCATACAACCACTGGGGATCCCTGTGTTGTTAACCAATACTGACTGCTAGCCACTGATCTTGAGGCTAATAAATGCATCTGTGGCACCAGCTAGCTTTATCACTGGGTGTCAAGCTTTCTTTCTTTGTTAAAGGAACAATTTAGTTGAAGAATTAGCTAGCTACCAAAAATTATCAAACAGCCTGCCCCCAAATATGAACCCCAAAGTATAGTCTTTCAAAATTCACCTCCACCTTCACGATGCATCATCAGAAGGGTGTTTTCCTAGTCTTTAAACCAGTAAATCTTGCTCGAGAGTCTACCACAGCACTGCCGTAAAAGGCAAGGTGGCATGTTTACAACAGATGTAGTGCTGGTTATATTTTCATTCTGGCTCCTTTAAAAGAACAACACAGGCTTTTATTCTGGGTCAGCAGATTTTTTGTTCTTGTACTAAGTACAGGGAAATGCTTGTGCATTGTAATCATCATATGCTACAGATGCAGGAAATAGAGATTAGGTTGAGAAATGCAAAAACAAATGTCGAAGATGTAGTAAATTCCACCTCTTTTCACATTTTGTTGATGAATGCAGTGCTAAAGCATTAATTAGGGAAAGTTAACACAATTTTTTAATGCTTTTTAGTACTAAATTTTTAATCCTGTGTCTTCATTCTACTAACAACAGCTGAAGAAATGAGGAAAAAGTGGGAAGAGGAGGAAGAAGAAAGAAGAAAGCAGATCCCTGTTTATGTTGAACCAAAGAGTGAGAATTTTTCTAAAGTATCTTCCAATTATCTGCTGAAAAAGGAGAAAGTACAACGACTCTGGTGAAGCTGGGCTGTATATAATGTATTTTTTTTATGAGGTATTAGAGACACATGTGCTTTTTTTTTAAAGGTTACAGTTAAGCCGCCTGAGCAAACTGCAGTAAATGTCAGTACTGAGCTGTGCTTCCCCCCCACAGCCTCTTTCCTGTCCAACTGGAGGGAGGCCTGTGTTGAGTTTGTGGGCCCTGACTGAGTCTCTGTGTTAGGTTGTTTTAAGAGGAGCCAGCATCGCTGTTGGCTCCCACTCCATCCTGTCCACACTGCAAATGGTCTTCTGCTCCCAAAAGGGCTGTTCTCAAACTGGAGTGATTTAGTCAGAGTCATCGCTGCAGTGTTTTGCTTTTGCACGAACAGGGTGAAGGCTTTTTATGACAACAAGCAAAATTATGCCTTGCTTGGCACTGTGAAAAGTGCTTGTGGTTATTGCTGTAAACAATGTGGTAAAAATATCATGCACTATGAAAATGCCTTTGTAACGACAGCGTTTTTTCTTCCCGTAGACTGTCCACCACTTGGCATGGAGTCACACCGCGTGGACGATGACCAAATCCTGGCCTCCTCCATGTCCCATCATGGGTTTTCAGCCCAGAGAGGCCGCCTGAACATGCAGGTGACCACACGCCTGCTGCTGCAGTTATGACTGGACTTTAGAGCTCAGAAATTGTGATCCAGTGTTCAGTAATATTAATCTATTTAACTGCACAGTTTATGACATTAAAGAAACATGTTCGCTAAAAATTAAATATACACTATTTTCTCAAATAGTATAGTCAATCAACCAAGACGTGTTTGGTGTCTAAAGTCTGCTTCTTTAGCTTTGCACTGGAACTAGGAGGTTATGTAGCTCAAATATATAATACTGTGCGAAAGAGGAGGAGTGAGTAGAAGGTTTTTTCTGTGTTTTTTCCCCTCTGAAAAACATATTTACCCAACTTTGTTCTGTTTTTCCAGAGCTCAGATGACGAGGATGATGTTTACGGAGGGGGCTGGTGTGCAGACAGTGAGGAGAAGGAGCACTGGTTTCAGCTGGATGCTCGTCGAGAGGTGGAATACACTGGGGTCATCAGCCAGGGGAGGCACTCTGAAACAAAGTAAGGAACAGGGATCACCATAACAGACATTCAGTATGATCTGTATGTCATACAGCATCAGACGCCACACAACAAAGTCTGTGTGAGATTACTTAACAACCGATGGGGTTTGAGACAAGCGTGTAATGATTTAGTCATGCAGTTTGCATGATGCTAACTGGCAGGATGTTAGCTTCCATTCCATTTTTACCCAATTTTGTCATGGCCAACTCCACCTGCTAGCCATTTCTCTCCAGGGTTGGAATGCGACTTATTTTACAGATCCTGAATTACATGATGCAACCAGTCCGCCCCAGAATCTTAACTGTACACTCTTAAAAAAATGGTGCTTCAATGGTTCTATAGTAAAGACAATGGTTCTATATAGAACCATGAACACTCAAAAAACATTTCATGCTTAAAGGGTTCTTTGCCTCATGAAATGGTTATTCAGATTGATGGAGAATGTGTTGTATGTGGTTCTATATAGAACCTTTTTGAAAATGGTTCTATATAGCACCAAAAAGCGTCCTTCTATTGATACAAGTTTTACACCATAACAATAGCATAACAATAGCAGAGTCCTTTTTCACAAAGTTTTTATATAGATCCATATACAACAAATACTCCTTTAATTTCATGATGCAAAGAGTTCTATATGCAAATGGTTCGAGTGTTCCTGATCTTTACTAATCATTGCAGAACTATCTTTTTTTAAGAGTGCATCATTGCCTTTGTGCAAAATAACTTACTCTAAAATCTGCACATTTTCATCTATTTCATTTCTCAGTAGTTTATAGTTTATTATTTATATGCTACACTGAGATAACCAAGGTGGCTAGCTAGTAATAAAATGCAGGGGTGGATTTAGTGCTTCTGGGGTTCTCGGCAAAAGACAGGAATGGGGCTCCTTGAATGCACATTTTTTACTGTCTTAGTCATTATATCTAATATTTCCTATTATGAGATTTCTTCAAGAATATTATAAGATTATTTAACTTATTTCTATACATTTTTTATTTAAGTAATTTTGTTAAGCAAAAGTATCTCACTGTATCAGCTGGTTATTTTTATCGTTTTAAGAAATAATGCCTGAAACAAGTAAAGGTATCTGCCAATATAGTGAGATAATTTGGTACTGAGTAAGGTAGATGTAAAGTAAAGAAGTAAAGTAATGAGCAGTGAGATTACTTTTTTCAGGACATAGTAAGGAACATAATCCCATTATATTTTGAGAAAAGTACTTAGTAACTTAAATGGATTACTTTTTTGAGTTTTGAGTAATGACTTCAACACTGGATCTATACTAATATTATCACAAGCACTGTGTAATCTGTTAAGCCTGAGCAGGTTATTTAACACTGATATGTACAGTATATCGAATTTATATTTTCATGGGGTCCTTGGCTCATGGTGGTCCTAGGCGGCTGCATACCTTTACCTAGAGGAAAGACCGTCCCTGATAAAATGGAAACTGCCAAAAGCTTTTATCTTTAATGTTATATTATCATGGCAGTCAACATGCTATAAGCCAAAGCTAGCTAAGTAAGTTAAGGTCATCATTTTCTCTCCGCCCACCAGCTCAAATATGTCCTCATCCTCCTTAAGTAGCTTTTTTATTGTTGTCGTCTCTTTTTGCAGTTCTTGCCGGTGCTTCACATGATTCACATATGAAGACTGCAATATCAGCGTTTTACAAATAAAAGAACTCTATAGAGGACTGCCTGATGGGTCAGTCAGTACCAGATTCAAACTCACGCTAAATTAGAGACCTTAATCTCTCAAGGCTGATGTTAGCTTCTCATTGGAATTTCCATTCCACCTTAAAAGGGCAGCAGTTACATCCCAGTACCCATACAGTCACAGGGGCAGATTCTGGGGATCTAGGCAAAACGTGGGAAAGGGGCCCTAGGGATGCACATTATTTAATTTGTGGAGGCTCTGGGCTACGGAGTGACACTGCCAAAAATAATATTGTGGCAAGAAAAATCATCTTAAATCTACTTGATACATCTAATGTTTCTCATTTTGAGATTGTTGTAAGGTCATTATATGATTATTTAATAATCTGTACAAACAAAACTAAAGTCAAATATGACATTACATCAGAAAAACAAAGTTCTGAGTCCTGTGACTGATCAGTCATCTCTGCTAGCGCACATTCACACATCTTGTACTGTGTAAGGCACATGTCTTGCATTAAATTACATGCATTCCATGATTAGATGGTTATATAAGAATTCCTAGTTTACCTCTGAAAGAAAATGAATCATTTGATTAACAGTCAAAATAATGGATAGATTACTCCGTTAATAATATAGTATTTAGTGACAGCCGTACAGGAGCCCTACAGCCCTCGCTAGCTAACCAGCCACTTGCAATAAAACATAGTTAGCAGCTTTTGAGTTTAATAAATAGTTGCCATATTTGTTCTCCTAAAACAACAAAGTAAGAAGAAAATAGCAAAAGGACTCGGTACCAGTTTAATTAAGATTAGCTGGCCAGTCAGCTAACTGCTTGTAAGCTGAGATGTTGAAAAGGAGAAGACAGGCCGCTGGTTCAAACAGTCCACTGTAGCCGTGCGTCATTCTGTAGTCCTCGTTATGCCCATATTAGGAACTCCGGGTCTAAGCCCCATTTCTCTATGGCCAGAATGAATAGGGTTTTCGAAAAATCGCCTCTATCGCCCCCTGTGTTAAATAAAAATGTTCAGAAGCCGAGACGTTTTGTCCTGTGTAGAATTTTCTCCCGAATACCACTGGATCCTCTGAATTACGAGGTCGTAAAGAGCTATAATACTAATATCGCTATAAGCGAGCTAAAGCTACTGCGCATCGATTTGATGCCACTAATCTACACGAAAGGCGGGCTGTGGCGGTGCTCTGACCAGCTGCACTACCTTATCAAAATGTTCTACTGTAGCGCATATTTACAGGTATACCCGTAAATAAAACCTCTAGGTGGGACATGGTGGTTGGCTAAAACTCCTTATCAAAAAATACTACCCGTGTTAAAATTACGAGGCTGAATTTAGCTTGTTTTCGCAGCTTCTTGTTTGAATGTTCCCGTTCCACCTTAAATGGTGCAGCAGCTGTGATTAGCCATCACAAACATTAGCAAACTAGACAAAATACTGACCTGTCGGTTCTGTGAAACAGCAAAATAAGTTAATGTTACTCAGCCGTTAAGCGGAAATAGAGAAACATCCTCATATCAACCCTCCATGAAGCTGAACTCAGCTTCTTTTTCGCCGGCTGCTTGTTCAAATTTTTCCGTTCCACCTTAAATGGCTCAGCGGTTCAGAACGTGACTGCTGCACCATTTAAGGTGGAACAGGGAAAAGTCGAACAAAAAGCTGGCGAATGTCCTGAGAAATGTCCTCAGAAAAATGTTATTAGCATTAAAGTAATAATTAGGATATTCAGAGAGCCTAAATCAGTTCATCAGGGGGTCAGCAGTGATATAAAGCTGAGTCTGTGCTGGATTAGCCTGAGTGCAGGTACGTACGTTTGTTCAGCTTTTCAAATCAAGCTAAAAGGAGAGATCTATCGTGTTTCAGTGAGCATCAGATGAAGAACAGAACTGCAGGGAAACCTGCTGATTTTGTTTACTCCTTTTCTTCTGCCCTCAGTCTGAACATGGAAATGTACTCTGCCAAAACCCGCTTAAGGAGGCCGCCAGTCTAATGACGTGAATTTACTGCGCAGTCGCTTTAGCTCACATGGAGCAATATTCATTTTTCAACTCTTTATCGACCTCGTGATTCAGAGGATCCAGTGTTATTCGAGAGAAGAATGTTCAGAGGACAAAACGAATCGGGTTCTGAACATTTTTATTTAACACAGGGGGCGCTAGAGGCGATTTTTCGAAAACCCTATTCATTCTGGCCAAAGAGAAATGGAGCTCAGACCCGGAGTTCCTAACATGGGCATTACAGCATGTAGCCGACTACAGAATGAAAAGTACTGTGGTTTAATTATTTAATAAAAAAGTACCATTACAGGAAAAATGTGCTGAAGTACTATAATAAGGGTAAATGCAATTTGTAACTTTCCACCTCTGCCTAACAGACTCCCGTGTTAGCAAGCATGGCACTGAGTGATGGGGGCAGAGGGAGGACCATCCTACCCACCCAAAGGCCAATTATGCTCTTTAGGAATCACATCCACTCTTGGCCGTAGTCACACTGAGGGTCTTGCAGTCTTCAGAAAATATGGCCAACATTTACATAGCTGCACCTCTCAGGATCCCCTACATTAGCCTCTTAGCTCCAGTGAAAAACTTCAGGCGCTAAATATGTTTGTTGCTATTTGATTTTTTTTGCAAATTATCACCTTAAGGCGAGGCATGTTTCTAACCAAATGTACTCTTGTTCTTTTGCAGTGATGACTTTGTTTCATCATATTTTGTGGCCTTCAGCAACGACAGTCGTGACTGGACAGTGCTTCACGATGGCTATGCTGAATGGGTGACCAGATTTTTAAGTTCAAATGATTAATAGTATACAGTAATGTGGTATATAACTGTTGCATCTTGGTGACAAATAATCATGCAGATAATGCAATATTTTTTTGAAACATTAGCAAAGTTATTTTATTTGCATGATGTGAAAGCAAAATAATGAGTCTATTTAAAGTTAAATAACCACTATGATTCTTTACACTTCAGCTCTTTTACGGCAATGTTGACAAAGACACTCCAGTGAAGGCGGAGTTCTCTCATCCTGTGGTGGCACGGTATATCCGAATCCTACCCCAAAGCTGGAATGGCAGTCTGTGCATGAGATTGGAAGTGCTTGCCTGCCCTCTGCCTAGTAAGGGCTTTGCTTTTGTAATCATTTTAAACTTTGGTGAACAATAATAGCCACCTAAAGTTGTTAAATGTGCTGATTTTACAACATTTTTGCATAACTGATTCAAATTATGAAGTCAAAAGTCATTCAGAGTGGTTTGATTTCAAATGCTCCATTCTAGAGAAGCCAGAATTGTTCACAGTAGTGGTGATGGGAACCAAGTGTCTGAAGCGTTTAATGCCTCTAAAAGCTCCCTCACAGAAAGCTATTACATTATTGATTATGAATATGCTGACTCATGCCTGACATTGTTTTATGATGTTTTTGAGAGAATTCTTTGGTTTAAAATGCATTTTTTAAAGGTATATTCATGTCAGAGAGGTACATGCTGGGTTTTATAAGGCAACAGTACCAAAAGAAAACATATTTCAGATTTATCTCAATTTTATTATTATCAACATGACAAAGAAAACAAATGGAGGTTTAGGGTCACTGAATTTTGGATAATAAATAAAATGGCTTTATTTGCATTGTACCCATTGCTACCCCTGATTCCAGTCATAACCACTGTAAAGAGCCATTTCACATCAAACTGCTCTGATTGACTTTTGTAACATCTCAATGATGGAATGATGCAGACATTTTGGAAAATTGGAATAATTCCCCCAATTAAGATCAACCGATGATATGAAAACTCAGTTTATAAAATTACCCTATTCCAACAGCTAGCTTCCCAAATGAAAATGACGTTACGCCCACTGATGACCTGGATTACAGGCACCACAACTACAAAGAGATGAGGCAGGTGAGGCTGCTCTCTTTAGCACATTCCCAACAGGCACTTTGCTGCTGTGTCAAGGTTAAAGGGCAAGGCTTGAATACTCATGTCTGAACATGTATAGCACTCTTCTTGGACTCTTGTTGAGTGTATCTGGCCATAGCCTTATCGTTCCATCATCATCACTTGGTTGGGGTCCTCGTTTTTTGTCCTCTTTAACAGATGATGAAAGTGATAAATGAGGAATGTCCCAACATCACCAGAATCTACAACATTGGCAAGAGCTCTCAAGGACTGAAGATGTACGCAATGGAGATCTCAGACAATCCAGGAGAACATGAGACAGGTACATTGAGTGCTAGGGTTGTCACAATACCAGAATTTTGCCAAGTGTAGTGTCACAGCCCTCAACACCAGACTAATGCTATGTCAAAATACAGCCCAATAAACACAGTACTAAACATACTAATGTGTACTTGATATTCAAATCTTACCAGAGTACAAAATACAGCGTTGAAAGTAGTTTTAGCCTATTTAAAAAGGTTTTATGTCCCGAAAACAGTAATTCATTTTTACATTACCATTTAGGCAGATATATGTAAATGTGATGGTTTTGTAACATCACAAAAACAATTCATTCAATATGGGCTGATTTTACAGCTTAATTTCCAAATTGGCTTAGGCACTGTAAGGCTAAGTCTGTTAGGCTAAGTGCACAAGAGCACATGTTTTAAATATCTATATATTATATTTAAATATATAGTTTAGCATTGTAATAAGTGCATTTATGCTTATAAACACACGCACACACACACACACACACACACACACATTCTAAGCCACTTAACCTCCTGGGTCACAGGGGGTGCTGGAGCCTGTCCCAGTGCTCATTGGGCAGAAGGCAGGAAGAACCTGGACAGGGCAGACACCCAAACACATTCACAGTCACACCTAGCAGCGATTTAGTAACTCCATTTGGCCTGACTGCGTGTCTTTGGGCTGTGGTAGGAAACCAGAGAACCCGGAGGAAACCCACACAGACATGTGGAGAACAAAAAACTCCACACAGAAAGGACCCTGGTTGCCTCGCTGGGAAATTGAACCTAGGCCCTTCTTGCTGTGAGGCGACAGCGCTACCCAGTGTGCCACCATAATGTATGCAAAAGAATAATATGTAAATATGCAAATTAATATAAATACCATAAAGTATTTTCAAGAAAATATCTGAAGAAGAAAGTGTAGTTACAGGTTCCTTGTGGATGCCTCCAGCCATCACATGGATTTTTCACCCGCACACTTGATTTAACATAATGAAGTATTGATTAACCAGATCAAGTGTTGGATGATATTTACAGATAATACAGGGCTGCCATGCAGGGAGGTTTGGAAATGGTTAAATGAACACATTGACATATGTAAAATCTCTACACGCTCATTTGTTACCTAAAGTTAGAACCAGAAACGTTGGTTTTTAAAATCAAAATTCTCAGGTGCCTAAGATGTTTGCACAGCTGTATGTGGACAGAGGAGTGAATGGTACATTTTGAAAATGAAACAATGTTTATTACATCAAATTCTTAACAAAAAAAGAAACCTAAGGACAATTCCATTTTCCATTTGGGCTCTTGAAATAAATAACTGAAAGTACATTGTACTGTTGAAAAAATATTAAACTTTCAATACTTTATGCAGTACTACACTGCACAAGTTTTAACACTCATTGCATAAGCATTAACAATAATGTACTTTAGTGGTCTTTGATGCATCAAAAAGCTTTACAGCTTTTTGATGCATCAAAGACCACTAAAGTACATTATCGTTAATGCCTATGCCATAACATATTTGTGGGTGAAACCACTATCAGGGAGGTTTATTAGGAGGTCCCGGACCGCCTGGACGCCCTGTATTTCACACCCTGGTTGTATGTTGTATTTGTGTAATGCATGCTGGATATTGAAGTCAGAGATCACCGGTTAATTAAAACCTGAGGAGGCTGACAGATATAATACTGTGCTACAAAATAAAGCAAAATACAGCAAATAACATGAAACTCGAGAAAACTCTGGCCAGAATGCCCCTTTAATATGACCAGACACACAAACTAACAAGGTAGAAAATCAAGTCTGATTTAAAGTAACTTTAAAATTTGATTGAGCTAAAAAATTAGTAAAGTGTGCTAAATGCTTGACTTTTCATATCTTTTCCAGGTGAGCCAGAATTCCGCTACACTGCAGGACTGCGTGGGAATGAAGTTCTGGGAAGAGAACTCCTGCTATTACTCATGCAGTTCCTCTGTAAGGAGTACAATGACGATAACCCTCGGGTGCGCCGCCTCGTGGACGGAGTGCGCATCCATTTGGTGCCCTCTCTCAACCCAGACGGATATGAGCTGGCTTATGAAATGGTATGAAATGCTTCTTAATAAATCTATACTCCATCACCTAAGCATATTGATACTGTATGATCTGTTTTCTAGCCTTTCTTCTAATATAGTTTTTTTTCTGATTAGGGCTCAGAAATGGGAAACTGGGCATTGGGACATTGGACAGAGGAAGGCTACGACATTTTCCAGAACTTTCCGGACCTTAACAGTATTCTGTGGGGCGCAGAGGACAGGGGCTGGGTTCCTCGTATTGTGCCGAACCACCACATCCCCATGCCAGAGAACTTCTTGAATGGCTCGGTGGGCAATAAAATTATATTTTTTAAAGCCTCTGTTTATATGCCATCATACTCTGTTAATAATTTGTACATTTAAAACAGCCCAGTTAAAATCTGCATTTTTATACATGGTCCTGTAGATCTGACACTCATGCATTTTTAAAACCTCACTAAAGGTGGGGCAATTTTTAGATAATAAATATACATTTGTATGAAAAAGTTGAATGTTTACATTAAGTTTACATTAAACATATTTTGTTGATTTTTTTTAAATAAAAAGAAGTAAACACAACCTCTGCAGCAAACTATTTAAAATAATAAACACATTTTTCTGCAAATATTAATGCATGGTTACTTTATATTTGATGAACTTCAAAAATAGAACAAAATAAAATCGGAATTGTCGCAAAAGTCTGGACACACTAGTAAGTCAGTACTCAGTAATACCCCCTTTGGCTGATATCACTGCTTGCAAATGCTTTCTGTAGCCAGCAAGGAGTCGTTCTATTCTTGTTTCAGGAATTTTCACTCACTCTTCCTTGCAGAATATTTTTGGGCCACCATGCATGCACAGCATCTTTAAGATCTACCCACAGATTTTCAATGTTCATTCCAAAAACTTCAGTTTGCTTTTCTTGACGTAGTTTGAAGTAGATTTTGAGGGATGTTTTGGATTAGAAGCCAGTCTCTTTTTATCTTTAGTGTCTTCATTAACTGTGCTACTTTCTCTTTCAGAATTAGATTATATTTATTCTTCCATTTAGCTATGCTGTGTTTTTATGTGCTACTGGCTGCTAAAAAGTATAATAGATCCACCCTCATGCTTAACACTTGGCAAGGTGTTCTTTTCATCAAATACTGCTCCTTTTTTCTCCTAACATACCTCTGCTGATTGAGGCCAAAGAATTACTTTTTATTTTTACTTCATTAGTCCACAGCACTTGTTTCCATAATGCTTCTGGCTTAACTAGATGTTCTATTGCATACTTCAGACATTGACTTTCATGCAGATCATATTCTCGCTGTCAGGACAAAACCTCTTATGTTCCATTTTTGCACCTCTTGCACATTTTTTCATTTTTTGACATAATCTGTCAGCTAAGCTTTACATTGTATTTGAATTTCATGATAAATGCGCCAACAGAAATGTTCCAAAATTACTTGGAATAATAAGAATAATTTTTTCATTAACTTATATCAAAATTAAGAACATTTTTAATCCTTTAAAGTTACTAAAGTTAGTTTTTTTTACAGGTCCTTTATTGTTATATGGGGGTTTTGCTTTGCATTATCTAAGAGTTTTCTTGGTTTCCATATCTTGCCTTGATGTCCACAGTTCCCCTTAACTGCCATTTCTGGACAGTGCAAATTTTTAGCTGGAAGTGCTTTGATATCTTTTTTTCGCCTTCCTCTGACATCATTTAGTTTTATTTTCAGACCCTCAGCCAACTGCGTAGAGATTTAGAGATTTAGTCTTCAACTGGCAATTCCTAATGACAGTTATTGACCTTCAATTATCAGTCCTAACGTCTCAGTTAACACCTAACAAGTTTAATAGGTTTTAAGACTTTACAACCGGAAGAAACTTTTGCACATGCCACAATTGCTGTATTTTTCCATTTTTAAATTAATCAAATATAAAGAAACTGCATTAATATTTGTAGAAGAAAATTTAAATAGTTTGTTGTTGAGGTTAGGTTCACTTCTTTTTTTCTTAAAAAACAACAAAATATAAAGTATAAAAATAAAGGTTTTACAGAAAAAGGCAGCTTTAATTCTAGCTCTTCCTCACACAGTACCATCAGCCCCAAATTAGAGTAGCGTACTTACTCAGATCTCTCCATATTTTATGTTCAGGTTGCTGCTGAGACTAAAGCCATAATCGCCTGGATGGAGCGAACACCCTTTGTTCTTGGAGCAAACCTGCAGGGCGGTGAGAAGATTGTGACGTACCCCTTTGACATGCAGAGACCACCCAGGGCCAGTAGCATGGATGGTAGAGGGGTGCGGCGCTATGGGCGTCCCATAGTGGAGTACCACATGAACGAGGAGACTTGGGCCCGGATCCAGAGGCAGAACGAGGGAGCGCTGAGGGAGACAGCTGACGAGAGCATGTTCCGCTGGCTGGCCATGACCTACGCCCACAGCCACCTGACCATGACCGAGACATACCGCAGCTCCTGCCACACTGATGACATCACAGGGGGCCAGGGCATCATCAATCATGCCAGCTGGAAACCAGTAGTAGGCAGTGAGTGAGAAAAGACATGCTGCACTAATTCATCAGTCACACTTTGATAAAAGGTGTCCATCTAGTGGGAAACATGGGTAATACATGCAATTTGAATTATATGGACCATTCTACCAAAATAGTTAAAACTGACCACAGTAAAACAATTGAATAAACCAATTATCTGTTAAAAATTTAGATATTTATAAAGATTATGATATGATCTATTTAAATACATTAATTGAAATAGTAATAATTTAAATTACATTTACACTTACACTTACATGTGTTTCCATCTTTTCATTGTAATTTTTAAAAAGATTTTTTAAAATTTATTTTAAAGTGAAGTTGAAAAATTTTAGAGCAGGAAGTGAGAATGCTTTCCTGTCCCTCATTGGCCACATGGTGAGCAGTTAGATTCCATTGTTTTGATATAAAAGTGTCCCAAAGTCTGAAAATCAGTGTGGAACATTGAAAGAATTGTCACACACACTTATTTTTATTGAAAAATGTCATGATTTTATGTTTGTACAACTGTCCAAAGATGTGTTTGCTAGCCATGTACTGGCTAGCGTTTTTGAGTTCTGCCCAAAATGAACTAAAATTGTCACTATCGAAACAGTCAATACCAAAACATTTGTTTTGTAGTGACAAAATGGAATGTTCAATCATTTGTTTTAATAAAGGTATCGGACTACTCAAAACAAAAAGATTTTAGTCCAAGTCAGCTAAAAGTCTGAAATGTGTTTTTGAACTCTGACTTTGAACCAGTTTGGTAGAATCATTCATATACATGTGAAGATTTCACCAGTATCATTGTATCTCCAAAATGGTTACTTTTGCAAGTTAGCCCCTCCAGGAATTTCCAGTCACAAAGTAACACAATTTTTGGGCTGTAGGGGTGATATAATCCATAATCCCTTTTCTTATTTTATTTTATTTTTGTTTACATTAGGAAAATATTGAGTTAATTGTTTTTAGGATACTGTCCAGGATGTCCTACAAAACTGAGTTTGAGAGCCCTTAATTGACTTTATTCCTTATCTTTTCTGAATATTTCACTCGAACTGTGGTCTTTATGTTGTTATTTCTTAAAGGTAACCTCACTTTCCAATTTGGTGCTCACATATTTTTGTCAGGAACTAACTAGGCTACATTCAGAACTAGTTGAAGAAACATATACAGTCATCACAATTTATACAGTTTAATTGCAAATCTCCCCAAAACAAAGTGCAATTTGCGGAAAAGCAGCTGCAAAATCAAACCACAACAATAACAACACCAAAAAGACCCATGATCTTGGTGGGACTGCAAGAAAGTTCTAAATGTAATGTACGATAATGTAATTAAACCATTACTTTGGTTTTTAGTACTTCTGAACCATTTCTACTGATCCAATCATATTGAAATGTCCACAAAACATAAAACACATGATGCAGCGGGCAGCACTGTCGCCAGACAGCAAGAAGGGCCTGGGGTTCGATTACCTGGCCAGGTGACTGGGGTCCCACCCACGTGGACCCTGCGAGCTGCCCCCCGGGCATCCCCTCCAGCCACTCTGTTAGGAGGGCTTTTGTTTGGCCTTTGTATACTGAACCAGTATACAATTTACGATTTACAAAAATCATAACTTTTCATATGCTTTTACTCTGTATTTCCATAGGTATGAATGATTTCAGCTACCTTCACACTAACTGCTTTGAAATATCCATCTTCCTGGGATGTGACAAGTTTCCTCATGAGAGTGAGCTGGCTCAGGAGTGGGAGAACAACCGAGAGGCCTTGCTAGCTTTCATCGAGCAGGTATGAAAAAAACACAAAACAGAAATACACAAAAATGTATGAATAAGTATAACATTTCAAAGTTTTAAGGGTTGATTACTGTATGTAAATTTCTGCATAATTAAATCAGTAAGATGTAAAACAAAGTAATTCAGAGTGGTTTGGTGTGAAATGCTTCGTTTAGAGAAAATTACAGAGTCAGAATTATTCACAGTGCTGGTGATAGGAACCAGACATCTGAAGAGTTTAATTCCTCCAAAAGCTCCCTCAAAGAAAGTTATTATATGGAATGGTTATGACCGTGTTTCCTGACGCCTGAGACATTGTTTTATGATAGTTTTGAGAAAGGTTTTAAGATATTGGCCTAAAATATTTTTTTTAATCCATTCATGACAGAGGGGGTGTTGTAGGGCAAAATAGTACCAAAGATTTACCACTATTTTACAATTATCAACATCACACATATAAATTCAGAAGACAATGTAGCTTCACTTGTATTTCTGGATAGTAAATAAAATGGCTATATTTGCATTGTAGACATTGTGATCTCTGGTTCCAAACACCACCACTGTAGTAAATTTCTCTACAGTTAACCAAACCACTCTGAATGACTTCCAATGACTTAATCATTCAGAGATTTTGAAGAATTTGCAGAACTGTCCTTTAAGGCATATACTAAAGAATATCTCCATAATAAATCTGAGCTGGTGTAAATAAAATGAAATAATGTCATCAACCAGGTGCATCGTGGTATCAAAGGTATTGTAAGGGACACAGAGCAAAATGTAATCGCGAATGCCAGCATATCAGTGGAAGGCATCAGGCATGACGTCAAAACAGGTAACGTCTACTGTGTATAACTGATCAATTAAAGTAATCATTTGGCAAAAATTAAATGTGCACATTTTTTCCCTCATCCCAAATGTAGTTGATCAGCCAACACATGTTCAGTGTCTGAAGGTTGCTTCTTCTTTTTTTTTTCACCCAAGCTAGTCTAATGTAGCTATCAAGTAATGGAACCTTATACTCCACCATCGCATACTTGCCTTAAATTGTTAATTTCAAACATTCTTGCTTATGTGGTTTCTGACACACTGTTGCTTATAAACATGGACAAAAACTCAGGCTTCAAGGTGGCTGCCACTATCATGGCTATACGATGTATATTTAGATAACATAAGGCCCTACAGTGTCACAAACCACTTAAACAAGTCTGTTTGAGATTACTTAACAACTCAATACAGCAAGTCTGTGATGATTTAGGCATGTAGTTAGCACAATTAGAAAAATGCTAGCACACTTCCATTATTTGTCAGCTACATTGGCCTTTTAGCTTTAGTGCAAAACTAAAAAAGGAAACTTGGGACACCCAATATCTCACTGTTGTCAGAAGAAAACCTCTCCAAAATAACTTTACAGGAGAAGGAAAAAGCATACTTTACTTTTAATGTAAGTCAATGTAACCAGACTTTTTTTTCCAGGTCATTTTGAGCCGTTTCTTTAGTCCATTCATCATGAAATTTACATATAATGTTTAGGGCAACAGGCATTTTCAAATTATGTGAGAAACTGAAAAATGTAAAAAAATGAAGATTCTAGGTTTTCTTCCAACAACAGCGGTATATTGTTTGATCAGTTACATTTGAGGTAAGGAATAAATTGTGCAAATTTAATTTTTGGTGAAGCCATCGCTTTAAAGAGCAATATTCAGCATTCTTGTTGCATTTTGTGTTTTTATGGAGCTTGAATGGTTTTATGTACTGAAACAGCCACAGTTTATTTTCACATTTAACATTTTATCACCTCTCTTCATTTCTTCAGTTAAACAAGCTGTTATTGTCACTATCTCCATAAGACATAACACTGCTGTCAGAAGAAAACCTTGTATCTCCATTTTTTTCAGTTTTCATGAATAATGGACAAAAGAAACGGCCCAAAATGACTTGGAAAAAACTCTGGTTCCATTGACTTACATTAAAAGTAAAGTAGGTTTTTTCCTTCTCCTGTAAAGTTATCATTTTGGAGATACAAGGTTTTCTTCCAACAATAATGATATATACAGACATGTGCCAAAATAACACTCCTGGTTACATGCTTGTTGATTTTCTAAGTGAAAATAAGTTAACACATCCTCTATAGGGAGCAAAGTTAAGAGCAAAGAGTCCAACATATTGGAAAAAAACATAAAATATCCAATGTGCAATGACTTTCACACAGGCCACAATTTACGTGTTATTTACTTCCAGTATGTTGTATTCAGCAAATAAACAGTAACTGTGAATTAAAATGTGCAAAACTGTGTTCTTTGTAGAGAATGTGTACTTCAACAAAACAGAGTTTGACCAGGGGCACCCAAACTTTTGCGTACGACTGTATATGATTAACGTCTATTCTGATTGGTTAGATTGTATCATGTCTACTTCAAAACACAGTATGTGCTGAAATGCTCCTTGTAACTTTAGCATGAAAAGGCAGGGCTAAACTGCTGTACGCTGAATAGGCAGATGTAAGTAAATGTGTTGGTTTCTGTGACCATCACAGAAACAATGAAATCAAAATGGGCTGTTTATGCAGCTTAGTTTCCATATATGGACTGTAAAGACTGGGGAGTGAACTGAGTGTTGGGAAACTATAACAATGTCAAACAAACTGTAAAATGTGTAAAAATTCTTTTTTTTCATGGCATGGGTCCTTTAAGGCTCAGTTATCAATAATGCCTCTGTACTAGGCCTCTGTACAGGCTGTCCTAATCTGAAATTTCAGGTTTTCTGCTTTTTCCACTCAAGCTTCCACTGGTGATTACTGGCGTCTCCTAAACCCAGGAGAGTATCGCGTCACTGCAAGAGCGGAAGGTTATTCGCCTCAAACACGGCTCTGTATGGTGGGCTATGAGGCGGGGGCCACGTCGTGCAGCTTCACGTTAACAAAGTCCAACTGGGCCCGTATTAGACAAATCATGGAAAGCAATAAGAAACCAGGTGTGACCTCCAGACCTGTGGTTCAAAGTCCAGTTAATGCAGGTGCTGACAACAAAGGCCCGTCCACTGTCCCCCTAAGTAAGCGACAATGGTGTTTACGTCGATTCAGAATGCCAGTGCGGAGATGGAAGTGTATGAGGCCCAACATGACCACCACTGTGGCCACCAGCACCAGTACGACCACCACCACTCCGCTGCCCACTACTACCACGCAGTTAACAACACAAACCTCTGACTCTTGGTATGACTCCTGGTTTGGGCAGGACAGTCCACCCACAGCCGTCCCCAATGAAGCTGAAATTGAAGAGTCTGAGCCTACGCAGGACTATGACCTTGCATACAGAATAGATGATTATTAAGCACAGATACACTATATGGACAAAAGTATTGGGACACACCTCTTAACTATTGCCATAGGTGTATGAAATCAAGCATCCAGCCATGCAGTGTGCTATTTGTGAAAGACTGGGTCGTTCTAAAGGGCTCACTGAATTTGAGCGTGGTACTGTAAGAGGATTCCATCGTTGCAAGTCAGTTCACAAAATTTCTTCCCTCCTAGATATTCCACGATCAACTGTGAGTGCCGTTATTATAAAAGTGGAAGCGTTTAGGAGCCACGGCAACTGAACCATGAAGTGACAGGCCACGTAAATTTACAGAGCAGGGTCCCCGAGTTCTGAGGCGCATACTGCATAAAAGTCCCCAGCGCTCTGCTGACTCAATAAGAGTTCCAAACCTCCTCTGACATTACAATCAGCACAAAAACTTTGCGCCACGAGCTCCATGACATGGATTTTCCTTCTCTATCTGTCAGTCTGATGGACGAGTCTGAATTTGGCAAATGCCAGGAGAACATTTCCTGCCTGACTGCACTGTGCCAACCATAAAGTTTGGTGGAGGAGGAATAATCCTATGGGGTTGTTTTTCAGGGGTTGGCCTAGAACCCTTAGTTCCAGTGAAGGGAAATCTTAATGCTTCAGCAGAACAAGACATTTTGGACAATTGTATGCATCTAACTGAGCCCCAGTGCACAAAGCAAGGTCCATAAAGGCATGGCTGGGTGAGTTTGGTGTGGAAGAACATGACTGGCCCACACAGAGCCCTGATTGCGAGCCAGGCCCCCTCGTCCAACATCAGTGTCTGACCTCACAAATGCTCATCTGGACGATTGGGCAAAAATTCCCAGAGACACACACTGAAATCTTGTAGAAAGCTTCCCAGAAGAGTGGAAGCTGTTATAGCTGCAAAGGGGGGACCAACTCCATATTAATGCCTATGGATTTAGAATGGGATGTCATAAAATCTCCTGTAGGTGTAACGTGTAGGTGTCCCAATACTTTTGTACATATAGTGTATCACTCCATTGTGAGAATGGATACAAATGCTTTGAACTTTTCAGCCTAAGCAGTGTTTTATTCTACTTCAGTGACTGCAGAGTTTTGCCTACAAGCCTTTAGACCTCTATAGAAATATGCACATTCTCTCTGTGGAACAGAGGGTATTAACACATTGGATATTGGTCGAATTAAACAATATTCAAGAAAACTGAAAGTCTAAACAAATATATATGGTTCACTATTAAAGAATAGTAAAAAGATGAGCCTATCCACCTTGTCTTCAAATGACGTAAGTGCACTTCTTTTGTATTTGTCATGTATTAAAAGCTTTTTCTAATAAAAATGTGTGAACTCAGTTTTAGTATTTGGTCTTATTAAATACATTTAAGTGGAATTCCTCAAATTTTTCAAAATTTCTATTTATTTCAAGCATTAGATCTTAATGTCATTTAGAGTGGTTTAGTGTGAAATGCTCCATTATAGAGAAACTCACTGAGTCAGTATTGTTTACAGCAGTAGTGATGGAAACCAGACATCTTCCTCAAAAATCGTATTATATTATCTTATTATATTACCTTATTATATTATATAAAATGGTTAAGAGTTTGCTGCCTAATGCCTGACACATTGTTTAATGACAGTTAAAAAAGTTTGGAGACATTTTGGCCTAAAATGCACTTTTAAAAATACATTCAGGGCAGAAAGATCCATGCAGGGCACTGTAATGCAAAATAGTGCCCAAAGGCAAGGCAAGTTTATTAATATAGCACATTCATATACAACGGCAATTCTATATGTTTTACCTAAATAAAAGGTCATCAAATGGAAAAGTAAAGACAAACTTCAAAGAAAACTTTTTCTTTTCAGATTTACCACTATTTCACCATTATCAACATTACATACATTACAAGAACTGATCGTTTTCAAATAGTAAATTTCTGTATATGTGTAGATATTGGGACTCCAGGTTCCAATCACCACCACTGCAAAGAAATCTGAGCTGGTAAGTTTCTCCAAATCCACAGTGCACAATTTAACATCAAACCATTCTGCATGACTCTTGACATATCAGCAATTGAATTATGCAGAATATTTCAATAGGTGAAATGCCCCCTTTAACAGCATTAACAACTCATATACTATAAAGTAATTAAGACAAATAAAGTACAGCAATTTCTATCAACAGAGTTCAACTCAATGAAGCATTCCCTTTTTAAAAGCAATAAAGTGACTGTTGGTTTTTTAGAAATCTGTATTTTAACTTAAAATAAAACTATTAATTATCATAATGATTTAAATACTCAACAAAACACTTGAAATGTCTGTGTCCACCTTTAATATGGTGATATTGGACTGCCCCACCTCACTGCCATTATAATTACGACGTCATTTGGGAAAGTTCCAAGAAATTTAATGTTTAAAGAATGATTTTTCCCTAATTATTTAATTTAACAAAAAAACAAGTCCCACATTTTATGTGCAGCCCTGTTACCCAAACTTGGTCCCCCCGAAAAAAATGGAACATTCCATCGTTTATGATATATACAGGAATTTGCATCATCTTGTTGTTTTCTGCAGATCAGACAAGCATGTATTTTCATTCTATTTTCTTAATTTACACACAAAAAGGGTGATTTGGTTGAATGGGTAAAGCTTGACCATTCAACCCTGTTATAAAAGTTATTATTAGAAAAAGTTATTGTTAGAAAAAAGGACATATATTTATATTTTTAAGTAGTTAGCATGCATTATTTTAGGCCAAATTCGCCAACACTGTTACTTGCAACCCTGTTACCCATTTTTTAAACCTTCAGTTGCTTTTTAATGAAAATTAAATGAAAATGGCTTGAAAAAAAAATCTGAATTTGGAATTAAAATATTTTTATTAAAACATTTTTCAGCTCCCTCTTCTGCTATATGTATACTTTATATGGTTTTACTGCATTAATATCAGTTAAATGGGGAATATAACAGCGTTGAACACACAGATCTTTCTTTTATGGTGAAAGTAGCTCATATATTATTTGATTTGACAGCCTGGGGTGGTAAAATAACATTTTCTGAACGTTAAGCACTGACGGTGATTAATACTTTGTCAAAAACACCAAAGAAAAGGTACATTTTAAAGAGTTTCGATACAGAAAATGAGCTTCTTTTAATGGAAAGTGCCATACATATTTTTCTGTTTTTTGTTCGTACGTTCACGTGCTTTTAATTTGAAGTCTCCTCAGAGCCGGGACGTTGCCGACACATTTTCAGTTTCTCCAGACGAAACAGTTTGCTTAGCCAGGTTAGCAGTCAAGTTCCGGAACAAAAAATCTGGCGATAGCGTGTGTTGTCGTCCGTAGCGCTTTTGTGACTGTAATACAGTCTATTAAACCGGTGTTTTAAGTATGTATTGTCCCTATCTCTTACTGAGAAAGCAATATTAGAGTTACGAAAGTTAGCTAACTAGCCGGCTAGCAGCTGTCTGTTTGGTGTTAGCGTAACAGTTCAGCTACACTTTCTCTCCTCAGACGTGAAAGGTAAGACTCGGCTCACGTTTAAACGTCATGACAAGCCTATTGTGTTTAGCGTAAGATTAGCAATGCAAAATAACTCCATTGTGAAAATAATCTGAGGTAGCCTGTTGCCTCGCCACGAAGATGAAGTCAGCTTCTTGTTCAGCTTTTCCGTTCCACCTTAAGCGGTGCAGCAGTTACAGTCTGCGCCCCTCTGAGCCTCAGAATGTAACTGCTGCACCATTTAAGGTGGAACGGGAACATTCGAACAAGAAGCTGGTGAGGAGGAAGCCAGGCTCGTTGCCTCGCCTTGAATGCTAACTATGCTTATATGACACGTCTCCGTGTAGCTACGCGACCCGCGATGCTAAAATGCTAACCAGCTAATCCTTGTATTTAGCGGCTGTGTGAACGCCAGACAAAGTGTTATTTGAAGGCTGATAAGATTAGCTGTACAGCAGTCTTGGTTAAACATTTTCAGACCGCTAATAATAATGGTGACGGTTTTTGAAGAGGACGTTGGGCTAGAAAATGATGTTGAAGTGCACTTAATCTTCTTAATGTGTCAGTACTCATCAGCGTGAGTCATATTTGTGTCCTATTTCAGGTCTGTAAATACCCCCCCTTCCAAAGCAAAGATAAAAAGCACCATGAAGCTCTACAGTTTAAGTGTCCTGTACAAAGGCTCGACCAAGGCCAACCTGCTGAAGGCAGCATATGACCTGTCTTCATTTAGTTTCTTTCAGAGGTCCAGGTAAGCACCCTATTACTGTATACCATGAAAATACAAAAGGCGGTATGAAATTGCACAAATGAAATGGAAAGCTTGTTTGCTTCATTGCTAATGTCTGATGAGGTTTTTTAAAAATTCCTTTCTAACAGTGTACAGGAATTCATGACGTTCACCAGTGCCCTGATAGTTGAGCGCTCATCACTAGGAAGCCGTGCATCAGTTAAAGAACAAGGTTTGTACAGATCAGATAACACTGAGGCATTACGCTGGCTTTGCTTACGCTTTGGCTAAGGAAGCTGTCATCATTCGGAGCTGGTCATTACTTTCACTGTAACTGGAAGAGCAAATTACTGAGCTGATAGTTTCACTGCAATTAGAACAACAAATTGGCCAGCTGCTTTTCCTCAGCTATGGACTGTCTTGGTTCAGAAACTGTGGCATGCATTGTTATCATTGCCCACCACAGTGTTCTCAGTGTTCTCATAATCTTTAATCAGAATCTGCAGTCCAAAGTGGACCCTGGAGTAACATAAATACTGCTGTCCTCTTTTAAGAATATTGTCTTCTTATCGGTCTAATAGCCATGTTTTCCTCCTCTTGAGCTCTATTCAGATTGGATCAGTTTATCAGGGAGATGTCTGTATTAAATTTTTTACATGTCTTCTCAGTAATTCTAGCATGTGGACTACAACAAAATCACTGCAGGGCGAGTGAGTTTCTTGCAAGTTGTATTTTCTATGAACCTGAAGTTTGTTTCATACATGACGGCAGTGATACAGTTTGACATGACTGACAGATTTACACTTTCAGTACATGAGCATGACTCAGGTTGTAGTGAGGAGGACTAAATAAATCTTAGGCTATCGGTCAATTCTGTAAGTTATTGAGTAATCTACTGATTATTTTGATGATTAGTAATCAGAGTTTAAAAGCTAGTTAAATAAAAATGAACTTAATCACAGCAAACATATGCATCCTTTAAAAAATCTACATATTTTATTGGAAATGGATAAACTAGGAAGCATTTAAAAGGCTTAAAAGAAGAAAAATCTGTGTGTGGGACAGGGATGTGTATGAGTGGGTGTATCTGTCAGCCTCTGTAGAGACTGTAGACTCATTGGCAGTCCATCGAGAAGATGCATCGAAATCGGTACATTTTTTTAATCGATTAATTGCGACAGCCCCAGGTGACACACTCATCTTACTCAAATGCCACCTTTACATGTTTAATCCATTGGATGTAGGGATGCACAATAATATCAGAATCACATTTGCGTCAACAGATTATTGCTTAAAAACTATCAGCATTGGACAGAGTCCAGCATTAGACTAGTATCTCAAATTAATATTTTATTTAAATTGATGTGATATTTATTGTACTCTAGAAGAGCAGAGGTTTTAGGTGATGCTGGGATGCTGAGCAAAAATATCGGCATTTTATTTATTTTGCTGCGTTTGTAACTTGACTGAACTAAATGTTTTATTTCTCCGTAATGCTAATCCAGGTAGATTTAGTCCCACTTTCTACATTTTATAAATGTTTATGTATCAGCATGAGTGGATATGTACAGTGTCCTCCATAATGTTTGGGGCAAAAGGCTTTACAGTCTTCACAAGCTTTTACCATCTAGTCTTGATTCTAGGCTTTTGGTCATCTTTAGAGGCTGATTTTGCTGTTTGGCAGCATGAGGACTAAAGTTGTGTCAATAAATGTCAAGGAACACAGTTATAAGCCTGAGAAACAAGACTAAAACAATGAGACATCAGACAAAATTTATGCTTACCAAAATTATCAGATCAGAAACAGTCTTCAGAAGGCAATCCACTGGATGACTACTGTCTGCCAAAGACTTCATGAACAGAAATACAGAGGCTGCACTGCAGGATGCAAACCACTAGTTTTTCTCAAAAACAGGATGGCCAGATTATAGTTGCCAAAAAAGAGTCTGCAGAGTTCTGAAAAAAGGTCCTGTGGATATGAGACCAAGGTTAACTTGTGTCAGAGTGATGGCAAGAGCAAAGTGTGGAAAAAAAAAAACTGCTCCAAGTTCAAAACCATATGACCTCATCTGTGAAACATGGTGGCGGAGTGTTATGGCCTGGTTCTGTATGACTACCACAGGTACTGACTTACCTTCACTGATGATGTAACTGCTGATGGCAGTAGCAAAATAAATTCTAAGGTGTATAAAAACATCAGCTTCGTTTAGTATAATGCCTTCAAAATCACTGGACAGCACTTAATCCTACAGCAAGACAGTGATCCCAAACATACTGCCAAAACAACAAAGGAGTTTTTTACAGCTAAAACCTCAAAAAATTCTTGACTGGCCATGTCAGTCATCTGATCTGAATTCAATTAAGAATTCCTTTTAAATGCTGAAGAAAAAACTTAAGGGGACTGCCCGCTAAAATAAGCAGGAGCTGAAGATGGTGCAGTACAAGCCTGGCAGAGCGTCACTAGAGAACATACTCCACACCTGGTGATGTTTGAGGTGCAGACTTAAAGCAGTCTTTGTGTGCAAAGAATATGCAAAAAAAAATACTAAGCATGTCTAATTTACTGTGCATGCCACTGCTGTGTCCCAAACATTATGGTGCCTTGAAATGGGGATGGGTTATGTATAAAAGTGCTGTGAGTACAATATTTTAAGAAACTGGACCACAGAGACATTATGGAGGGGCGGTGTATATTAAAATATCAGAAATGTGCATGGGCCCCACAATTCCCATGTTGGTGTATCCCTTACCATTTATTGTAAACTGTGCCTGCGTCATTTAGCTTGACGCCATCTAGTAAGTCTTTAAAGGAAAACAAAAGAAGCGGTTGATGTTATTGGTTCTGCAATGGCTGTTTATGCAACAACTTGCATGAATGTATGTACAAACCCAGCATAGGCTGTAAGTGTGTTTCCTTTAGTACAGTTTAACAGATGCAGAGCATTGATTGTCTTTTCCACAGAATATCTATGTCATGTGTACGTCCGGAACGACAACCTCAGTGGAGTAGTGATTGCAGACAATGAATACCCTTCCAGAGTGTGCTTCACTTTGCTTGATAAGGTGAGCCTGTGTTTGTGTGTGGTAGGAAAGTGTTTAAGGATGTATGCACTGTTGTGAAAATGATCAGTATTAAAAATAGCTTAGTGATGTTTTGTATACAGAAGAAGGAATCTGCGTTAAATGACAGTTGTGCTGATGTGTGTAGGCTTAACTTGTGTTATATTTGGGTCAAAAATATGTAAAATATGTAAAATGTAGCTGGAAAAAACTGTGAACTTAAATTTGTTAAACCAAGATTGATGCAAGCCAGAGTAAGAACACTTGACCTAGAGTTTTTATGGATGTGAAAAAGGGAATGTGTAAATAGATTTTACTACATTATTGTTTAATATTCATTTTCCATTATATACGATATAATAATCTCCATCTTCATAATTGATCATAATAATTGAAACGTAAATAAATAAGATAATAAAAAAGTATATTAGCTATTTTATAAAAAAAATAAAAAATAAAAAAATCATAATTGTCCCGGTAAATTAGATGGCATGGATCAATACAACCCATAAACAGTATAACCATTGTCATGTAGTGACCCGAACATAATAGTTAATCAGAATGATTAACATGATAAGAGCTTTCTAAAAAGTTAGGTCCTAAATAGTGTGGTAGTGCAGTCAAGTGACAGCTTGCTCTTTCAACGCCTTTTGTTCTTTGGCAGGTGTTGGATGAATTCTCCCGTCAGGTAAACAGCATAGACTGGCCCTCTGGTTCACCAGCCACTGTTCAGTACACAGCCTTGGACAGCTATCTGGCCAAGTATCAGGTAAAATGTGTGAAAATGTAATGTTGTGTCAGTTTGAGCTATAAAATATTGAGTAAAATAGAGATCACTAAGCTCATTGGAATTCTTCTATTATACCTCATCTGTCGTTCATAGAACCCACGTGAAGCGGATGCCATGACCAAAGTACAGGCTGAACTGGATGAAACCAAAATTATTCTGGTAAGAAACTAGATATTTAAAGTCAATGTGAATCAGAAATCACAGCGCATTTTCCTTCTGAGTGAAACAAGGTATCAGGGAGGGTGATAGGTGAGGGTGGTGGGAATTAGGTTAAATATATTATTGATTAATATTATATGTGCATGGGAACAAAACCAAAAAGCAGAAGATGTTTTAGAGATGGGCAAAAGTCATTATATTTAGATGGAAAATTTGAGTAGTCAAGAATTTATTTTTTTAAGTGATATGATCGGGACTCCTGAGTGATGCAACCATCTAAGCATTGGCCCTGTTTTTAGGAGATCGCGAGTTCGATCTAAAGCCATCTGTGGCCGGGAGTCCAAGAGAGCACAATTGGCCTCGCTCTCTCTGGGTGGGTAGGATGGTCCTCTGTCTCCCCAGTCACTCACCGACATAACAGAACTGGTGGTTGGCGCTTTCCTCCGAGCACATTCAGATGTCGTGATGTTGTGTTAGTGGCAGTTCGAAAAGATGTGATGGCTGGCTTCACAGGTCTCGGAGGACGGCTGTGCTGGCTTTTGTCCTCCTAGCACTGGTGGTATCGTGTGACTGGGGGAGTCCTAATTAGTGGGTGGAATTGGATACGTCTAAATTGAGGAGGAAATTGGTGGAAATTAAAAGATAAATAAAAAGGGGCATCAACTAACAGCAAAAAGGTCAATTTTGATTTCAGGTTGACCTTAGGACAACATAAATATTTCAATTGAATCGTAATCATAGTATTACCTCTACGTATGTTTGTGCAGAAGTCATGAGTACTGGGTGTGTATTTCGTCATTACTTTGTATAATTTGTAAAAACAGATGTCTGTAACTTTGAAACTCCTTCCACAGCACAACACGATGGAGTCTCTTTTGGAACGAGGTGAAAAGCTGGATGATTTGGTGCAGAAGTCAGAGCATCTGGGAAATCAATCAAAAGCCTTTTACAAAACGGTTAGTACAGTGAGCTGTGAGCAACAAGATAACACTGAATTTGTTATAGTTGGTTGGTTTCACTATGACAGCTTGCCCAAACAGTGTGGAGGAGTAAACAAAATGGCTAAAAATGAATGAAAGCTAAACTTGGCGGTTAATATCATGTCAAGATAGCAAGGCTTGCTTTCATTAATTGCAAGCGGTGTTGACACTGCTTGGTTTGACTAAGTCTCTGATCGTACTGTTATGTTAATATATAAATCATTCAATATATTGATCTTTTTATGCGTGTTTTATTCTGTTCCATTTAGGCACGGAAGCAGAACTCTTGCTGTGAGGTGATGTGATGTGATGTGATGATCACATTATGACGGACTGGGTTATTACGAAGTCTCCTGGGCCAGCCTTTCTTTGTCCTTCCTCTTTATTCTATCTCTCTCATTTCTTTCTCTTCCTCTCTTTCACCTGGCCTGGGCTGAGACACAGAGCAGACAGTCCTTCCAGAGACCCCAGGGGGCTATATTGAGTGCTGAGGATGGAGAAAATCACTGACTTAGGTGTTCGTTTTTGCTTTTCCCCCGAATGGTTAGAGGGGGCTGATTTCTCAGACTCCACCACACTTACTTCGCTCTTTTTTTTCTTTATTGTTCCATTGATTAACCTAGGTGGTGTTCTCAGGGTCTGACTTAAATTGGTTTGGGATAGAAAATGGGCAGCGCAAAATAGAGGGTCAAGTCATACTTCCCCACTGTGCCTTACTTTTAGGTGGCTGTGTATTGATCTTAGGTGCATTCAGTTAGACTGTTCATTTAGCCTTAAGAAGTATGGACATTTTTATTTGCTCAGCTTTTTGGATGGAAGCCTCTTGTAAAGCATAGTGAAAAGGTAGGATGAAGTTTTTTTATTATTAATTTTCAACATGCTGTCTTGTTGGATTAGGTTAACTGCTGGGGATGCAAGCACTGAGGTGACCAAATCCTCTTAAAGCTGAAGGGTATTAATGATGACCAGGTCTAAAGTATGAATAAAATCTTTTGGAAATGTGAAATAAATGTGAAAGAGAGAACAACGTGCTGTTCTCTTCTGTTGTATTTGTACATTTTAACCCATAAATTAAAAAAAATGTTTTGCTGTGTTTTCACATAGAACATTCCTAGTTTATCTTGGCACTTATCAAGTTTTAAACACAGAAGTTGGTGGTGATTATGCTTAGATAGTGGTGTGTTTTGCTAAAGCCTTAAAGTGTGGTCTGCTGTGAAATCAGCCCCGCTTCCCTCGGGTGGCATCTGCTAACTATATGATGTCCAGGACAGGCCAGGCCACTGTAGTTTTGTTCTAAGCTGGACCTGTCAAATGCTGGGCTTTACTTTTTTGACCGGGCCTGCCAAGATGCATTGCACAGCATTGGATACTCTTTGCTAACAGTGATTGGACTGGAATCACATTGGACACTAAGTCTTAGTCTTCATATATTTTTGTTTATTTCTTCTTCTTTTTGTTTTTTTTGGCAGAATTGGCAGATAATACTCTACATGCAATGTGATACCCACTTTCATTTCTCAGATGCATTTAACTTGGAGCATCCTGAGAACTGTGACTGTTCTGAGAGAACAGTGTGTGCTCCTGAAACTGAAGTCTCATTCGATCATTTATCATGGAGAAACGATCAAGGCTCTTGACTTTCCAGTGTTTAGTGCAGACACACTTCTTAAATGACACTTCTGTTAGATGTTGGGGTTTATTTTGTGAGTATGCTTGTGATTCCTTGGCGTAAAAGAAGTGACTGATGTTTTAGTGATCCGATGGTGTTGTATTTTATGCAGAATTACTGCTCGATTTGTGTGGCTTCTGTGTGTCCCTACGCATCGTAAGGGTTATATTGTATAAATGACGGTGTATTTGCCTTGTCAAGAGTGACGAGGTGCTCTGGAGGACCTTTTGAGGTGCCTTTCTTGTAATTGCCAAATCCTCACTAGCTCATTCAATCTTAACTTGCCATAATGGCAAAGTGCTATGTGTAGTTGTGTATAAAACTAACTTTGCAAAGTATACTCCTCTTACATGTTCATTAATTGTATTTATATGCAACATGTTGGTTAATATTTGGCATTAAATATACTGTAATGTCTTTCATGGAGTTCAACGCAGAACTAATCAGCTTTGTACTATGTAGTTTTTAATCCTACTCGTCTCGATGTACTCAATGTATGATTAACACTGCTGTTGTATTTAGTGGGAAGTTATTTGCAATCTGTAAAAACTAAATAACATCACTTTGCTGAATCTGTCTGGAGCTTTTTTTCTGGGCAAGTCTAATCTGACGGAAAACATTTATTTATTTGAAATTTCTTGGGCTTTTACACACTGTGGTATATAATATCTAATTATATTATCAATTAGATTCATTACTGATCAACTTTCCTCAAATGTAATTGGCAGTTGTGGCATATATAAGCAGCACTTCATGACGATGATTCTTAGCTCTTGTGAAGTCTTAGTTTTTCTAATTGTGGGTAGGAATGTAAGTTTCATGTAATGTAATTGGAGTAACTGTGGGGGATCAAAACAAACACCAAGGTTAGAAAAAGCTTTTTTTAGTTTTTGCTGTCTTTGGGATTAGAAGGTACATTTCCAAGTCTTAAATCTCTCCATGCAGTTTACAATAATTCTGTACTGTATACAGTACTGTGTAAAAGTTTCAGGCATCTGAGAAAATTAAAGTTTGTGTGTATTTGCTCACCATAACACTAATTTTAGAATAAACACAAATAACATTAAAATAAGCAGCATGTTTGTTTAGGCATTTCATAACTTCTCCTTGTAGCAACCCAGTATTTGTAGCTATTATCCAGTACCTTGTTTGGCTAATCAGTGCTTCATTAAAGTAAATCTGGTAACCTGGTCATAAAATATCAATTGTGTTGTTTTAAAACAGTAAGTTCTTGTTACTGTTTTTACTCTATTAATGTTTACATATTTATTCTAAATTTGCATACAAGCAGAAGCACACGTTACCCAGAGAAAGGTTTTCAATAACATTTGCACAGTACTGTATAAATATCATGATCAACAGTTGCTTGAAATAGAGAAACACTGAATTAACAAATGCAATACTATACATTTGAGGAACGCTAAACATTTAATTGTATATTTCAAATTATAAAATGCAGAAAGTCTGAACCATGAAATGAAAAGGCAAATTGAGAGGGAACTTGTTTTATTCCAAAGCAGGACAAACAAGATCTCAATGGCACAATCAAAAAAAAAAAAATCCTAATCTTTGACTGAATTAGTTTGACATGGTTCCACTGTGGGGAACAACTGGTGAGAGGGGCTGACAAAACTTGGGGGCTCAGATAAATTAAACCCAACACTGAACATGTTCCTCATATAAGAAATACTGAGAGTTTCCATGAACTCTTTTGTACACTGCTAACTGGCTTCTGGTAGCCTTTTCTCTGTACAAGTTATCTTAGAAATATTGGAGCTCCTTCGTGGAGATGCTTTTTCCTCTGTGGGGATGTTCATTGTCCTCTGATTTGCCTCACAGCTAAATTATCATTTAGGCACTTAATTATCAGCTCAGTCCTTGGTTTGCCTGTGTTCAGTAAGAAGAGTGTCCACTTAATAATAATGTCCATATAGCTTTTCATGGTAATGATTAAACAGTGACATCCCAGTGTCTCCACTGGTCTGTAGAGACCAAACTTGCAGTCAGCGCTGGAGGCCGCTGAGAGGATTTTGGCTCTGGTCAGCCCAGTGGTGTTAGGTTTGGCTCTTCTTTCCTGTGTAGCGGAAACTCTTCAGGGGGTTCTTGCCTCTGATGTTCTTCTGCAAGACGAAGGAGAGAACGGAGACCTTTCAGGATATTTAGCTTTAGAAGGCACTCTGTCTGACTACATCATAAAAAAATAAACCCTCTGTAAAGTGGATGTGTATTTACTTTCTTAAATAATCTGCAATAAGTGAATGATTATGACCCACTTATAACATTTGTGTGGTTTTACGAGCCAAAATTCAATTTTTTTAAAACCATTTTCTAATCCCTTACAATAAAAGAGGCTGTTTTGGTTTCGGTGCCTTTAACACTGATATAAAATGACTGAGCTCTGCTCTGATTGGCTTTGCTGTATTGTGCCTCATTCAAAAAGCAGTCCAAGTTGAAACACTCCTTATAACTTCAGTGTGAATGCGTGGGGTAAACTGCTGTAGGCTGCATATGCTGATATGTAACAATGTTTTGTGGCATCACAAATCAATGAATTAAAAAAAATCATGGAAAAACAAACTCCCTGTGTTTTTCTAAACTAATACTAAACTAAACAAATTTGAAGTAATATGTAAACATTGTCAACGTTTAAAACCATACAATTCACTATCCAATCCATACAATCCCTCTATTAAACCATGCTGCAAAAACAGCCTGTTTTGAAGTCAATGTTTTTGTGAGATCATAAGATCCAACTCTTTAATTAATTATACACACACACACACACACACACACACACACACACACACCTATTCAGCCCACAGCAGTTCAGCCCCACCTGTTCATGTTTTAGGGAGTGTTTCAGCTCTGAGCATGGAGTCAAAAAGATTTTGAGCTTGTAAAACGATATTCACACCTGCAAATTTCAGTACATTTGTGTTTGAGCAACTACATACACGTAAATCAAATTCACAAATGTATAAAGATTTTTTGAATATATAAAAAGAATTTTTGAATGTGTAAAAAAGATTGGAATTTGTAAATGAAATGTTGTGAATGTGTTCTACTCAAATAATTTACATTGTGCCAGACCATTACATTTCATGAAAAGTCTGAAGTTTCAAGTGTGACAGTACAAACCCATGAACACCTCTCCCTTTCTGTGTGAAGCTCTTTTTACAAGTACGGATTTTTGACCCTGTTTTGACGGCAAATTGATGGACCAATGGGAAAGCTTGAACTGTTCCAATCAGAAAGTCTGACTTTCCGATCACAACCCTGACTGGTTGCTGTTAGACTAAGCTTTGGTCCCCGTCTCTTAATGGCGCTTCGACAGAGGGCATATGTGGCCATATTCGGTATCTGATTCTAGTAGTGTGTGTACATGTTAGGTAATAGAACAAAAACTATGGACATTTGACTTTGCAGTCCGGTCCAGCAGTGAGGCCACTTTAATTTGCCTCTCGTTCGACCCGGGCAGCCGAGCTCGGGAGTTGCTTCCCGCCTTTATGGCGGGAACTCGTGGCCGTCGTCATCGTCGTCAGCCCCCTCTCTGCCGGCTGACGTCCTCCTCCCGCCGTCACTTGTGTCCGTCGGTGGTGTTCAGGATTTGCACGCCATTTGATTTCCGTGTATGTAGTTGCTCAAACACAACTACAAATTTCAGTACATTTGTGAATATCGTTTTACAAGCTCAAAATCTTTTTGACCCTTTTTGACTCCATATCTGAATGTCTTTTGAATGAAGTTCTTGAGCAGAACTTGTTTATCTTATCTCAATTGTAAACAACAATCCTGTTTAATTCTAAGGGATAAAGAAAGGTTGGAAAATGACCCTGTCAAAATGAATTATGGATTATTTTTGGTACATAAACCATACAGATGTTTTGTCAACGTTTAACCTCAAAGTAAAAAAAAAAAGCATGTAAAGTGTTGGATATGGTCCCATTAACATTATTTATATACTACATCAAACTTTTGTTCGTCAAAAAAACACAACTAAAATTTGGTGTTCCAGTAGCTTTTCTTCCTGGGGGATTTCTGTCTCACCTTAAAGGCAGTTTTCACAGCTCCCTTTGGATTGTGCCTCAGCCTCTTCTTCTTTCGTCGTGTGAGGGGATTCACCATATTCTTCAGCGTGGGTGGAACTAAAGCAGGTATGAGAGAAAATTTACCTTTCTAAATGCTTCATGCACCAGTAACATCATGTACAACAACATGTACAGACTTTTATTATATAAGTAATAATCTCTTACTCAAGTAATCGGGCACGTTTTTCAGATGGGGTTTGATAATAGCAGGATGGAGGTCTTTGTCATGACGTAGCAGCTGCAGATCTCTGGGGTTGTCTTCAAAGTATGTCTGGATAGGATCAAAATTTCACTAAAGCCATTCAAAAAAACTTTCTAAAAATAACTGAACTGTATAGTTTAACTACACTAACCTTCAGTTTCTCAGAGTTCAGCAGCTCCTGCTTTATCTCCTTTAATCTGGCCTCCTTCACAGCTTGCTTGGTGACAGAGCGCATGGCATCCTACAGGCCCAATCAAAACTCAAATCAGTGAAAACGAACAAAAGAATTTGCTGTACATTACGTTGTAAAATGGTTGTATGTGTAGTCATCATACCCGACATCTGTATCTAAACCCCTCTATTTCCTCCATTTTGAACCCATATGGCTTCAGTACACAGTCCGCATTGTCTGCACAAAAGAGGAGGAAAAAAGTTCAGTCAATGTAAATAATTATAATTAACAAAAACGTTTAGTGTGTGATATTTGCTTCTTGAGTTTTGTATCGGAGCTACATGGCTAATGTAAAGACGTATACACTTATTAATAGCACAGAGAAGAAAAAAATTAAGAAAATTAAAATACTTTTGCGCGGCCAGATAGGATTGTGTGGCCTGATCTGGCCCTGCGGGCCTTGTGTTTGACACATGGGCTATAGTGTGTGATTTTCTGGTTTAAAGACTAGGAAGGCCACCTTCTGATGATGTATCTTGAAGGTGGGGAACTTTTGAAAAACTACAGCTGCTTTGGGTGGAATTTTTTTGTTGTTAGCTGGTGAATGCAGAAGGAAAGCAGACAGTTAATATTGCTGTCAAGATCTTGTTGCAGCCATATAAATGTGGTAATTCTCTTCAAATCATCATTACAGTTTAGAGAACGGATTGTTCAAACAACAAATGACTTATCAGATGAGGTGGACAACAAAGCTAAAGTTAGCAACATGCACTACCGGGCAATATAGATACTAGATTCTATATTATATAATAGCTTCTTTTCTCTGGATAAAAGGGTAAAAAAAAATAAAAAAAAATCTGTGGCCTTCATTTTCCACTGAATAAAGACAGAATCACTGTTTGCAATTTTGTTTGATGATGGAAGTAAGAGTTAAGGCCTTTACACACTGTGATTTATTCGGAAGACAGTAAATGATTTGAGCATAGTTATAACTGGTGACATCATGCACACCAAATGTGATTTTTTCAGACTGTATTCGCTCCCTGTTCAATTTTTGCAAATTTTCATCAGCAATGAGTTCTCCCTGACCAATCAACGTCATCTCTGGCATTGTCATGACGACAACCAAGATGATGGAGCAGCTGTGTTCCAGCAAAAAGAACTTTTTATCAAATGCTAAAGGGATCAAAATCTCCAAAAGCAGCTCAAACTGGGCTACAAACAGCCGAGTTAAATGTGGACGCTCTTAAAGTTTCAGCTTCAAAATGAAGTGATGAAGCTCTTCATGCTACCAAAGACGATAGCATCCTGCTCAATGGCACTTTTTGTGAGGAGCAAAGGACCTTTTCTGATATAGCTGATATGTATTCTGCCAATATATATATTTTGATATATGTTGCCGGTGCTGGGCGATATGACCTCAAATCAATATCAGGATTAATTTAATGTTTTACCTCGATTACGATTAATGAACGATTATTTTGTTTTTGGTTTTTTTGTTTGTTTGATGTTTTTCCCCTCATAGTTCACCGACAAGGTTTGTACTGTAAATATGCTCTGCATATCTTAATGTAAATCATCTCAACAGCCAGATTGGAATTCATGCTTTTGACTTTTACGTCAATCCAACTCTACATTCGTCATAATTTCGCGCTGCTGAGACCTAATAAACATTTGGGGTGATATTTCTGTGCATAAATTAGAAGAGACTCATCCAAAACCCCTCTGTGATTTTGGAAGAAATGGCCGAACGCAGCCGTAGGACAGCGAGGCTGCAGCATCAAAGAACAGTTAAAAGTCTGAAAACACAGATTAAAGAATCCGAAGACACGAACCAAAGAAGTGACTGTGGCCGAATAACGCGCCCTTTTTATAGCGAGCTCACACATTCTGATTGATGAGCCCAGCTGTCAGTCAGTGAAGCTTCATGATGACCCCTGTGACACTGGCGGAGATGAAACTGAAAGCTCCGGGAGCGAATGGAGTTCGTTCATAGTCAGGATTGTTTACTTCTGGATGAGCCGCATGAAGCGTTGTATTTCTGCGCATGCAGGTCAGTTTAGGAGCTGATCTGTTCAGACTGATGCCGCACACAGATCACATTTAAAAGTTAATGTGAACAGCCAAACGAAAAAATTGGATTTGGTTAGAAAATCAGATTTGGGCCGCTTTTACCTGCTGTGTAAACATAGCCTTAGCTTCCATGTCGCAGGGTTGACGTGGTGGAGTCACGTGACTACACGCGCAGTAGTACGTTTTTAAGAGGACAGTATATGAACACAGAGTGGGAAAAGGATTAACAGAATTTTAAAAAAAAATCTAAATAACCGACATGAGCAAGATTACAGGCAAGACTGCCCATTTCTTTTGCAGTGCAATAAAACATGGTGAAATTCCAAAAGTCACATCCGGTCCAGTGTGTATACTTTAGATGCGAAAAATTGTGTCCAAATATTTCACAAATCTGTGTAAAGGCCTTTAAGGTCGTTAATGATAGCTTGGTTATATTTATTAGCCCACAGATCGGTAGCTAGGCGAGCAGTTAGAATTGGTTGACAGGGATTTGGCTATATGAACGGTATACGTAACGCATGCTGGGTATTGTAGTTAAAGAATACTGATAACCGGAAACCTGAAAACCAAAAGGACAGGCACACTATGCTGCGATGCAGAATACTACATAAAACACTCTCAGCTCTAAACTCTGGTTTTAAGCCACTTTATCATCTCAGTGTGGTTTAAGGCAAGTCTGTGATCATTTCCTAAGTGATAAATGCTAATTGCAGGGGTACAAGTTTTCACTACTGGTTAGCAATTATCCTTGTAGCTTCAGTGCTTTCAAGTAATACAGATCAACATTATATAATATACAATAATATAGTGTATAATGGTAATTTATATTACAACAGTATAGAGTGAAATTTAGTAAACATTAAATGCTCAGTCGTGTGTTACCTCCAGCAAGCGCGTTCTCAACATCCTCCAGCAAAGGAAGCTCTGAATGGGACACAAATGTCAGTGCGGTGCCACGATTGTCTGCTCGAGCGGTTCTGTCGATTAAATGAAGAAATCAAAGACGTGAGCAATAAGCTTCCTTACTATAATCAACGGATTTGAAGGAGTAAAAGAAGGTCATGTTCACCTGCCAACTCTGTGGACGTAAGATTCAACAGAGGTGGGAAAATCAAAGTTGATGACATTCGCCACATTCTGAAAGTCAACACCTCTGGACACACCATATTCTTTATCTTTGCCTCTGAAAGACACAGAAGCAATGCGCAAGTTACATCTCTACATTTCATTAATATCTATATACACAAAAAAAATCCTTGAAAATGTATAGTTTTAGGAAACATACACAATATGGCCAAAAGTATGTAGACGCCTGACCATCACACCTTTGAGTTATGCTGAAACAGGAAAGGGCCTTCACCAAACTGCTGCAACACAGCTGGAAGCATATAATTGTGTAAAATGTGTTTATATGCTGCATTAACATTACCCTTCAGTGGAACTAAAGAACTCCAGACCATTATCCCTCCTCCACCAAACTTAACTGCTGGCACGAATGCATTCTGGTAGGCAGCATTCTCCTGACGTCCACCAAACCCAGATTCGTCCATCAAACTGCCAGACAGTGTAACATAATTCATCACTCCATACAACTCTACTTTCCACTGCACCAGAGTTCAGTGGCGGCATTCTTTACACCACTCCAGCAGACACTTGGCATTGCGCATAGTTATCTTAGGCTTGCCTGCAGCTGTTTGGCCATGGAAACCCATTTTATGAAGCACTTGAGATGCAGTTCTTGTGCTGTTGTTGCTTCTAGTGACAGTTAGGAACTCTGTAGGGAGTGATGTAACAAAGGATAGGCGATTTTATGTGCTACGTGCTTCAGCACTCGGCTGCCACCTTGCGAGGTCTATTGTTTTGTAGCTGAGCTGCTGTTGCTCCTAGACACTTCAATTTAATAAGAGCATGTACAGATGCCCAGTGCAGATCTTGTGGGGCAGACATTTCACCAACTGACTTGTGGCAAAGGTGGCATCCTACGACAGTGCCACGTTTAAAGCCACTGAGCTTATCAGTACGACCCTTTCTTCTAACTGCAAGGCAATGTGCTTCATTTTCTACACCTGTTAGCAATAAGTGTGGCTGAACTCAATAATTAGGAGGGGTGTCCACATAGTTTTGGCCATATAGAGTATATTATAATGTTAAGGAACTGTGTATGCAATATGTTGTTCTATAGGTGCTGACTGTCTGGTCAACCATACGTTCTGCTTTTTGCCGAGCTCTTCTTCTTCCTTTTCCCCTTGGCCTCTGCACTCTGGGAAGTGGATGCTGGTTGTTCAAGCCCTTGCTCATCTGTGGCTATGATATAATCATAGAATCCATGGTTGAACTGTGATATGATGTGACACCTAGAAGTTAAACAGAAAATTCAGAGTGTGCAAAAGCTGTCATATTTGCATAAAGACAGCAATAATCCATAAAGTTTACACTGATATTGCACAGGTTGGTCACCAGCACCTGGCTGACATACATTCACTGGCTGCGTTACTAGAAACCTCTACCATGTAGCTCCACCTTGCTAGTACACAGTTAAAAGATTGGAGCTCATCTGTCAATTTGTGTTAGTCATATCTTCAAGCCTTTCATCAATGTTCAGTTTCTGACCACAAAGCTGCTCTTGGCTGGATATTTTTGGGTGGTTGACCACTGTCTTGCAGGGCAGACACTCTGTGGTGAGAATGGTCCACCAATGAATAATGAGGTAGAGCAGGAGTGTCCGGCCTTATCCGCAAAGGGGCAGTATGGCCGCGACTTTTCATTAGAAGCAGAAGCATACCTGATCAACTGATTGGAGAAGTGTGTACATCTACATAGTGAATCTATAAGGTAGGTAGAGCTTTCTAATTTAATAAGAGAAGGCAGGGCAGGGCAATGACAATATTTACTATTATCATGAAAAATTCTGTCACATTCTGTATGCTTTTCTGAGCATGTCATGGACATCACTGGTACTTAAACACTTCCCAACTGCATGTTTGACTACAAAGAGAGCAAAACTGCCCATTTAATTGAATTTAGTGCAGCGCAGGAAACAAATTATTTGTATTATTGTTTTGATAGTTTTTCATTTTTTTATGTGGCACTCCTTTGTCTTTTCCAACTTATCAAATGTCAGAAAAAAATATATCGTGACATATCATGTATCTTAAAGCATCATGATTACATTTTTGCCATATCGCCCACCTCTACATAAATCTATTACAGGTCTTACATTTCCTGATGTAACCTGAAAGGTCTGTTTTCCATAATCTGTTCTTATAAAAATATTAAGGACTGCTGGCATTTTCAAATCAAGCACGAAAACATTTAATGTTCTGAATCGCTGTTTTCCACAATATAAAACCAATTTGTTATTTGTTAAAGGATGCATTATTCTACCACTCTAACTTAAGTTAATTGCAAGAAGCTATTTAAAAGTTAAGACAGATGAACAGAGCTGTAGATGATTCTATAATAACTGACAAAGCTGTATAACACTGAGAATGAAGATTTTAAAGATTTAGAAAGTACTGATAAAATCTCACGGCATACAACTCATTGTAAATAGATCTTTACACTGTATTAGTTTGTGATGTTCTCAAAAACATTATATTAAATAAATCATCTTGTGTAAATTATAACTGAATGAAATAACAAATTATTTTGATAGTTATTCAAACCTTCTGAATGGTAGTGTAGAACAGGTAACTCTTCAATTGCACTGTCAGTAGTCTAGCGGTCGGTTATCATCTATTGCTGCTGTAAGTACTTGCCTTGAGTGAACAGGCAGTTCAGAGTTGAGGACACAGGCAGGAATGCTGAACTGCTCCAAGAAGAGCTTGAGTCGGTAGCAGCGGTCCAGGGAGCCCACGAAGATGAGCGTTTTGCCTCGCACCAGGCCCAGTTTGAGGAGTGTGTAAATGAGCAGGAACTTGTCCTCCTCCTCACATTTCACACTGTACTGTTGCAGCTGAGAGCTCTCTGGCAGGTATGAGCCTTGTAGCTTCAGAGTCACCTACAAAGAAGAGGAGACATCAATAGGATTTTTAAGGCAGAATCCTGGCACTATTTAATCCAAGCCCAGTCCTAAAACCATAATTGCATATGTACACGAGGGACACGTGTGCCATTTTTCATCTTGGCAATCAAAGGCATGCTTACGAGCAGCCTTTTCGAGCCCTTACTGGCCTTCAGCCAAGACCGCAAGGATGTGGCCTCTTACCAAAAATTCCTTGAGAAACAGGTAAAAAAAAAAGAAAGCATGAAAGTCTGGACAATACATATCCTACTTTTTTTGCTGTGTTGAAAAGCACACAGATTTCATAGAAGAGTATCAGGTTTACATTTTTTCACATCCACTGCAAGTTGAGCGTTTTTCAGTCATGTAAAAGGTCGTATCATGTAAACTTGTGAATCATCTAGAATCGTGACTTTACCAGTTGTAAATACAAATATGTCAGCCTTTCAAGCACAATTTACAAGTGGGAAAATTGGTATTTCCCAGTTTCTGACACCACTCGAACGCAGTATTCATCTCAGCTGCTTTTGGAGATGTTAGTACCATTCGCGAGGATGCAGAGGACAAACAAATCCTTCTAACATTTGTAAAAAAAAGTCTTGTTTATCGGAACAACCAGGATCCGTCAGTGTGGTTGTCCCCATGCCGACAGCAGGGATGAAAGTGACTGGTCAGGCAGTCACCGCTGCCAGTCCTGCTGTGAGGCATGAAAACGTTTTTTTCAACGGCGACTTTTAAACACAGCATTCCAGTTTGCGTGAAGCTTCCTTTCATGTATAAGCGTCCTTTACTTGTTAGGTATTTATTTAGTTGAGTAGCTCCAGTGTAAAACTAAGGAAAAATGTCCAACATCAAATGTATCTTTGCTGATTCTAATTATACGGTGAAAGGATTTTTTTTGCCAAAACATTACTTTCTGTAAAAAAAATCATCACACAGTGCAAGAGTGGAGCATTTATTTTAAATAATATAACGAAATACACCGATCAGGCGTAACATTATGACCACCTCCTTGTTTCTATGCTCATTGTCCATTTTATCAGCTCCACTTACTATATAGGTGCACTTTGTACTTCTACAGTTACAGACTGTAGTCCATCTGTTTCTCTGATACTTTGTTAGCCCCCTTTTACCCTGTTCTTCAGTGGTCAGGACCCCCATGGACCCTCACAGAGCAGGTACTATTTGGGTGGTGGATCATTCTCAGCACTGCAGTAACACTGACGTGGTGGTGGTGTTTTAGTGTGTGTTGCGCTGGTCTGAGTGGATCAGACACAGCAGTGTTGCTGGAGTTTTTAAACACCTCATTGTCGCTGCTGGACTGAGAATAGTCCACCAACCAAAAATATCCAGCCAACAGCGTCCTGTGACCACGGATGAAGGACTAGAGGATGACCAACACAAACTGTGCAGCAGCAGATGAGCTACTGTCTCTGACTTTACATCTACAAGGTGGACTGGCAAGGTAGGAGTGAACTAGATAATAAATAGAGTAAATAAATAGTAATAGAGTGGACAGTGAGTGGACAGTGTTTAAAAATCCAAGCCCAGTCCTAAAACCACTGCTGTGTCTGATCCACTCATACCAGCACAACACACACTAACACACTACCACCACATCAGTGTTACTGCAGTGCTGAGAATGATCCACCACCCAAACAGTACCTGCTCTGTGAGGGTCCATGGGGGTCCTGACCACTGAAGAACAGGGTAAACGGGAGCTAACAAAGTATCAGAGAAACAGATGGACTACAGTCTGTAACTGTAGAGCTACAGAGTGCACCTATATAGTAAGTGGAGCTGATAAAATGGACAATGAGTGTAGAAACAAGGAGGTGGTCATAATGTTATTCCCTGATCAGTGTATGTCTGACTGCAAGAACGGCTCCAAAACATGCTACTTGTTTACTTACAGGATTGTGTAGAACCAACTCCTTCAAGGCCTGAACGTCATCGTTGAATGTAGCAGACATAAGGAAAGCTTGGTAGATCTTAGGTAAATGACTGTAGAGGAAAGTATGACCATGCTTTAGACTTGGTTCATGTCTCAAACTGAGATAAGTAAAATCTAAAACAGACTTGCTTATGCGATTTCTGACGCTGTACAATTTGCTGTTTTTATAATGATGGACAAAAACAGAAACAACATTCGAGACTTCAATCCAGATTTTACTGTTTGCACTTATTAAAAGCTGTGAAGGGTACCAAGGTTTGAAAGACTCACCAGATGAGGCTCTTAAGGTCAGCCTCGAAGCCAAAAGAGAAGAGTAGGTCAGCCTCATCTATAACCAGCATCTCCAGAGAGGAGTGCAGCACCAAGTTCTGGGCAGCAATGTGGACTTGCACTCGAGATGGTGTGCCCACCACAATGTCAGGCTTTTCCATCAGAATGGGCCTAAAGTACCACACAAAATCATAACATTAACGCAAACACCATCTATACAACTACGTTCCGAGCAGCTAATCAAATGTACTTTTTTTAAGGTGGACTGACCTCTGTGCTGATAATTCTGTTTTGCCCGAGATGTCTGCCACCCGAACGTCTCTAGCACAGTAAGCAGTGAGCTGACGAATCATGGCCTGGACTTGCTGACCCAGTTCTTTGGTAGGAACCAGTACCAAAGCTCTGACCGCCTGCTCCCGCACAGTCTGCCACAAAAACAAGATGCTGTCATCCACTAATTCATTTGATGCCTGACATCCTATGGACTAATCCTATGATCAATGGAGTTTCTCAACAAGCTTGGGAAGAACCATGTGGAAAGTGTGACAAACACAAAAGCCACGTTTTACCTGCTTAGAGGTAAGGATCCGCTGGATAACAGGAACAGCATACGCTGCTGTTTTTCCTGAACCTGTTCGAGCTCTGGCTAGAAGATCCTTTCCTTCCAGAGCCAAAGGAATGGCTTTCTCTTGAATAAGGGTCGGCTCAGCCCATCCTAAGTCGGCGATCGCCTGATAGGATTGACAGAAAATAAGAATAAAGTGACATCAAGTTAAAAAAGAAAAAAAAAGACAGCCAGGAGTACAGTAAAGTAGCCTGGCAACAATAAACTATACTACACGTGCCTTCTCAGTTTTTATATGTAATGTTTACGATGGTTAAAAAGTGGTAAATCTGATAAAAATAAGTTTTCTTTGGAGACTATTTTGCCTGACAACACCCTGCATGTATCCCTCCACCATGAATGGATTAAAACAAATTGATTTAAAGTATGTTTAAGACCAAAACTTCATCACTGTCACAAAACAACATCTTAGACATGAGGCAGGGTTTTCATAACCATGTATGTAATAACTTTCTGTGATGGAGCTTTTAGAGGCTTTATAAACTCTTCAGACGTCTGGTTCCCATCACCACCACTGTGAACAATTCTAAGTAAGCTTCTCTAAAACTGAGCATTTCGCATCAAACCATACTAATGACTGTTGACATTTTAGCCGTTTTTTGTACAAAAAATTATAGGAGGAGTTCTCCATAAAGAAGAACATGTATGAGCTCTATCGTTATATATAATTAACGAATATGTCAGGTGAGAACAAAAACACAGCGAATGGTAACTGGGATATGGGCACTGCTAGCTAGCTTACTTTAATCAACTAGCTACTATATACGACGCTAAAATCATCTTCTTGTTCGAATTTTCACGTTCCACCTTAAGTGGTGTAGCCGCTGCATCATTTAAGGTGGAACGGGAAAATTCGAATAAGAAGCTGGCAAATAAGAAGCCGACTTCAGCCTCGGCCACTACATCTTAGTGAACACTGTTGTGGTAAAATGTCAGAAATGTTCAGCTGATCATGGGCGCCACAATAAGTTTTCGACAGCGGATCACCAGTTAGACACGGACCACACTTTACAAACCGCCAAACATTTAATTAAGCCAGAAAAGTACCTTTAAAAGGCGATCGTCCAAGCCCATCTCGTGGAACTGAAGCCTGTCGGCTGCCATCTTCTTCCCACGTGGGTTTCCGAGAGTTGAAGAGGGGCGCTGAAATGAGAGCGGCTCGTCTGAGGAAGCAGCAGCGACACCAGCTGGAGTAGTTTTTCGTTCAAATTGTGATGTTAACTCTGTTGAGATAAAGAAACCCCACACCAGATTTCAGTACGCAGCGCGTCGCTGCAGTTTAATGGCTCAAAGCGTCTGAGATATTTTGATTTAGCTTTGGTATTTTTATGATGAGGAGATCCAGAGCCGCGGTGTCGGTCCGCCGAGCTCCAGCGCAGAGCTGCTCCAGCCGCACGGTGGCAGCACAGCGCCGGAGGGATGGCAGCCCGCCGCAGTGCCAATCGAGCGGACGACGAAGACGACAAAACGCTAGACACAAATCGGAGGTAAGTTTACAGTTGGAAACGTAAAATTTAATTTCAGGCGAAATGACAGACTGACTAACGCTGCGCGGAAAGGAGTCGCAGCAGTAAAGTCCAGTAAATTCGGTCTCTGGCAAGCGGGTAGCCGGCCCGGTTAGCCGGTGTTTTAGAACCGGTCCAGCCCCGGTTAGCCTAGCTGCGTTAGCGGTGCTATTATCCGTATCACTAACCCTGTTTACAGAGAACTGGAGACACCTGGACCTCGGTAACGCTGGTGTTTAGGAGTTTAAATGTAATGTTTTGGCAAGTCGTGTCTTGATTCGGGCTGTTTTGTTAAACAGCTGCCACCTGCAGTCAGTTAAATAGCGAAAGCAGTTTGTTTTCCTAACAATTTCCCTTTTTAGTAACTAGTAAGCTACATTACGTTGCAGCATTCAGTTTAATTGTCGTCAACCTAGTTAAGATACGATTTCGATTTGTTAGGCAACCATTCGATATTTTGGACTGTAAAAGATGTTGGATTACATCATAGCTTTTAAAGCAGGGCTGCCCAAAGTGTGGCTTATGAGGACATTTATTCGACCCTCCAGGAAGCAACACTGTTTGTTTTGTTCTCTCTCTCTCTCTCTCTCTCTCTCTCTCTCTCTCTCTCTCTCTCTCTCTTTCTTTCTTTCTTTCTTTCTTTCTTTCTTTCTTTCTTTCTTTCTTTGCGTGTGTGTGTGTGTGTGTATATCTATATGTATGTGTTAATGTGACATATATACGTATGTATAGAGATTTTTTTATATGTATGTGTGTACATATGTGTGTGTATATAAATGTAGTGCATTCTTGCTTTTTTGTTTTCCTATGAAAAAAGTAATGAAAGTGTGATATGAAACGTACCTACCTTCCTTATTTGTTATTGTTTTGTCATTTTTGACCCTCTTCAAACGACAAACATTGCACTTTGGCCCCCCAAGATAAAAAGTTTGAGCACTCATCCTTCAGAGTCTGGTGTGCTCTTCAGAGCGAGCTGTTCCATATTTTTGCTGTTACACTGGTCAGAATATGCCATACAGCAAGTTACACAGGGTAGATTAGAATCCAGAGGTTTTCAGCTCCAGTTCTGGGGGACCTGCTGCCTTTGGCCCAGTTTCTTAAGGTTAAAATCCTCTTTAGTGCTAGAGAACATGTTCCGTGTCTTGCTTTCTGTACCACTGAAAAATGATCTTTGTGCCAAGATGCTTTTGGGAAGCTTGACCCTGGACAGATTCAGCTATTGCTTACCACAGCATGTCTGCTGTGACTCATGAAAAACTGGATTAGGTGTGTTAGAACCCCAGTTCTTGCAACTGTGCAAGTCATTGGGACCCCATGAATGAAGCTACAAACAACTGGATTAGAATATGCTGCTCAACAAGGGTATGCATTTTCTATTCTGTATCAATTAGATCTTTCTGAATTCTCCTCTTGCATGCGGAAGCAAGCTAATATGGACACACAGGTACATTTCTGCCTTAAACAAGAGTTTTGACAGCAACAGGTTGTTTTCTGCAATCTGTGCTAAACGAAGGATTGTTTTCTTAGATGAGGCAGCGGGTCTTCACCGGCGTTGTGACACAGCTGCAGGACCACCATGGCATAGTAGACCAGGAGGTGCGCTTTCCCATAAGGTCTGTGTTTTTCTTTAAATGCTCTCTAGGGAAAAATAGGAGTTTGCATAAGAGTACAGTGTGATATATTTGTGTGCTCACTGTCAAGTTGCTGTTCTCCAGTGTTGTTGTAGGGAGGGTGCCCTTGGTCGGCGAGAAGGTGCTGGTAAAAGCGGTGCAGGATCCATTGCAGCCGGTCAACTGGACAGCCCAAAGAGTGCAGGCTCTTAATGGGCAGGTAGGCTGTAAATGTATACTGTGTTAGAACTGTGTACTAACATATTTGCCATGATTGTAGAGTTATAAAATTAAAAAAATGTCCTTTTTATTTCCACCCTGCCATCTTCTATAAGCCGTTCAAGTCGCCTCCTCCCCTGTTACCTTCCATGTCAGCAAACATGAAACCAGGCATTTTGGGAAACAAACCTCAACCATTGCTGAAATCCCCCAAAATTCCTCCACTTATACCAACTATGCAACCAAATCCAGGTAAGTCATTACTACTGCAAGAATCACTGCTGCTTTAACTAATACAGCCGCCTTGTGTAATACTGAACAGCATGGTTTATTTGCAATTCATAAATCATTGCCATATTTATCCTGATGTTTCTCAGGCGGCATGCACCCAATGCCCCATCACCAGCAAATGCCATGGGCCTTTGATGGCTGGGGCGGAAACAGGAAGAGGCACAGTGAGGCTGTGGGAGGACGACGAGGTGGACGCTGGTGAGTCACATCATGTTACCACATTTGTTCCCTTTTATATTCATTCTTCCTCCCTCAGATTCTTTTTACAGTGATAGAACAGTGAAAGCAATCGAATTTTCTTTCCATATTTGATCCTTTGCTTATTAAAGTCTTTGTTATATCGGTCCTTGAAGCTGGTCTGATTAAGTGGACAGCAAGACATATGTAGCTGTTTACATTTGGCATTTGCATGTATCTCAAATGCATCTCCTGTGACCCCTTATGATCAGATTTCATGACTGGTAAAAGGGAGCCATGGATATTTTACATTCTCTTGCCGAGCGAAAGTGTTCCTCGAGTTCTTGTTCGTGTACACGTACAAACTGTTAGACTATATGAAATGTGGTCATATGCGTCCCTGACCACCTCCAACGGTGGTGATGCATTGGTCCCCATTCACACCTGTACTTGGCACTGTCCACTTACGATCAAATCACCCAAAACTCATGTTAATGCCCAGTGTGAACAGGGACTCACAGCCTTGAGTGTGCTTAGTTCCTGTAACTGGTTGGGGCTACACCAAGCATCAAAAGTACATCTGCCTCATGTCCTCCTGTCCAGGGAGGAAGGTGGAAGTTCTTGGGGAGGCGACAGCACACACCAGAAGAGACGGAGATGGAGGGCCACGCCTGAGGAAGAAGCACCAAAGAAGAGCACACCTGTAGCCAGCCAGTGCATCCCTCTCTTCTCCTGTTTTCCACGAGACAGGTTAGTTAATTCAAATGGTACAAAGCCAATTTGAGACAAGCCTTTGCTTAATAATTAGTATGCCTTTACTGTTGTAGGAGCTCCATTTCTGTGAGAAAGTAATCTTACAGAAAAAAAACACACACTGTCGTAACATTATGTTTTATTGATTTTGTAAGTGAAAAGAAGTTAACCAATCCTCTGCAGGGAATGAACTCCAAATATTGCATTTTTTTCAGCAAATTTTAATGCATAACTACTATTTATTCACTGAGTTTAAAGCTACACTGGGTAATATTTTGTTGTTAACTCTATTGAGATAAAGATACTGCATACCAGATTTCACTACGCATCATATCGCTGCACTTTAGTGGCTTGAAATGCAAGATATTTTGATTTGGCTTTGGTATTTTTATGATGAGATCTGGATCCACGGTTTTGGCCCACCAAGGCTGCCTGATTTGGAGACCTCTCTTGCGGAAACGTGTAATCGCACGTAACATGCAGAAGAACATTTTGTAATGTCAGTTATGCTTCTGATTGCTTACCTGAATGGATGAATATGATGTTTGCGAGCAGGTTAGAAGCGTATTCAAAGAAAACATAATTTAAACTTGGTGAGGGACATGTCTTTAGTTTTTTTTTTTTAGCTTGTGTGTTTTTTTTTGTTTGTTTTTTTTTGTTTTGTTAGTGCAGCTTTTTATTATTAAAGTCTTTGTGTTCATCCCAATATTTCTGTCTTTCAGCCAGGCCTTGGACAGTCTGGAACTGCAGCGGCGCTACCCGCACCTCCACGCTCCTGCCTCACTCTTTCATGTGCAGCTCTGCTGGCCAGAGAGTTTCCCTCCTAGCCAGCCTCTGCCCCTCGCAGGGCCCTGCTTCTTCCATGTGGGTGCCAGCCAGGCAAAAATGGATGTTTCAGAATCCACAGACTCCACTGACACAAGTTTCTCGGTTAAGGTAAAGTAACGTTTTTTTCAAACTCTACTGAGGTAGTTCTTCTTCTTTTTCTTCTTCTTTTTCTATTTGTTATTATTATTGTTGTTGTTGTTGTTGTTGTTGTTGTTGTGTGAGAATAAACGTAAACATTTTTGCCCAGTGACATAGACGTATTGATAATTTTTTTATTGCCTTTGCAGGTGATGTTACTGTCCATGCCTGATATAGAGGACTTGTACTCTCAATGTTGCAGCTGTTCAGAGGATGGCCAGGCACATGGGGATATAGTCCACCCTACAACACTTTTCAAGGTTAGAACATTCTGTTCTCAGTCTGTTATTTTTGCAGTAGCTATGATTTTCATTCTGTAATTGAAATTACTTCAGAAATCAGTTCATTTAGAAATTAATCAAAAATAAAAAAGTACCATTTTTTCACTCTCATTTTTTTCTTTTTTTTTTCTTTCTGTCCCCTCTCTTTTTTGTGTTCTTTTTTTTTTTCTTTAATTTTTTTCTTTCTCTCTCTCTCTCTCTCTCTCTCTCTCTCTCTCTCTCTCTCTCTCTCTCTCTCACACGTTGCAGTTCCTGCTGCTGGAGAAAGCAGGGGAGCTGCAGCTCCCTGGAGGTCCTTGGTCTCCCAGAGTGGACGGTTCCAATCCAGCCAAGGATAGCAGCGTTCTGATCCGCACTGCAGTCCGCTGTGTTAAAGAGCAGACTGCTCTGGATCTTGCAGCTTGTACACAATGGTCAGTCCTTAAACTTTGAATGTGAATTTTGGTCTCAGAATAGTTTTGTTGTAGTCTGACAGTCTATATATATATATATATATATATATATATATGGTCTGTTTCGTCCCAAGGCACAAAATGGCCGAGCTGAGACTGCTCACTGGGAATAAAACGGAGACTGTTGTGATCTTGCTGCCAGATGTGTGGAATCTAGTACCGACAGCAGAGGAGTGGGCCAAGTCACGGAACGAGCAGGAGGTTAGAGAGTGCAGTGTCTGAGTCATTCATTGTGTACACATACTGAATGTTGTCCTTTGTAAAATGTTAATTTTTCCATTACCAACTGGAAAACATAGTAAAATGTTGATGTTTCGTCTGTTTTGCAGGATGATGAGTCTCCTCTCCCTGAAGCACCCTCCCTGGTGGTCCAGCCCTCTGCAGGCCTGACACTGTCAACCGTCTCCCTCTCTTCTTTACTGGAGCGGACTAAGGATACATTTGAGGTTTGCCCCTTGATTCTTCTGCAAACACAGACATCAGATAACACTGTCATGTATTATAAAGTATTAAAAAGGGCACGGAATTACTTGCAAAATTAAAGCTGTCTTTTTTATATTTTTTTCACTGAAATGTTTTTTGTATTGCTGCACATTTGCACGTTAAGGTAGAGGATGCTTACTTGCTGGTTTAGAAATAAAGGTTCTGTGTTGTACGATTTATTTTTTGACTCTCCATATGGTGCATTTGAGTAATAAAATAAGAGCTTTGTCTTCATAAACATATAGCACTGCATGATGCTTCTGTCAGACAAATGAAGGAAACCAAAGCATTTGTATTCCTACAGCATCTAGTCAGTAAATAGTGTAGTTGTTTTCAATTATTTAAGAATAATTGATGGGTAAATGTGATTTGTCAGCCATTTTCACTCATTAGCTTTGTGTGTGGTTTCTTGTTGTTTGTAAGCCTGTCCTTCTTTGTTGTCTGCTTGTTGGTGTCAGGTTTGTTTGGTGGGCGAGCTGTTCAGCGAGATGCTTCAGAGGGACTTTGGACTGCAGCTGTACCACTCTCTCTGTAGCCTGCCTCCGAGTCCAGGTTTTCCTCATTCCAAATCTAAAGCCGAAGACAACAGCACTGCCGCGGTAAGTAAAAGCCATGTAGAACGACACATACTGTAAGGGAAGTATTGAAACTAGACAGCAACTCTGGTTTACATGATAAAGGATGAGTTGCCAGTTTATTGGTGCATCACCCAAATAACAGTTTTAATACAGTGTTGTATTGAAACTGGGGTGGAGTGAAAGTTTAAAATAGTCCGAAATGTAAAAACTATATCGGCAATTCGTCCCTTGATCTCTTTGATGGTCTTTTTTTTGCTGTTTTTAATGGAACCAGCTTTTAGTCATCAATCCTACACAGACCTAATCATGCATTCGGTTACTAACTTTGGGCCAGTCATACTTTTTTATTTATTTTTTTTTTAATCTATGGTTTGTTCCAAAATATATACTTGCATATAACTTTAGGCTATACAAACAACATCAAAAGCTAATTAACTACACATATACATACTTTGAACGCCAAAGTGCTGGGGAACATGTAAATGAGACAAAACTCTGGTATATGGGATCTACTGTTGGGTACAGAGTAAAGTGGACAGGCAGAAGAAGAGGAGTGTCAGGTTTGGCAGTATTTTGGTTTCCAACAAAGTGAACAAAAAGAACCACTAGATGTTGGTGTTACATACGTGTACAGAATATAGCAACCATATAAATTATTAAATAGTATAAGAACATAGTTCAGAAGGTAATTGTATGGTAATCGTTTTGCCATCAGGTTAAATGCAAGCTATAGGGTAAGGCTCTGTAACGCTCAAATGCTTTACTTGAGTATGACTCTTGATAATTTTGTTTGTCGTGATGATTCTGCAAAACAATCATTTGTATATCATCGTTCTAGTTTGCTGGGTGCGTCCTATCGGAGTAAGAGGCGCTATGCAGGTACCCATACTAAAATGACTACTTTTTCTTAAACTCTAGGGGTTCTGATTTGTGAGGTTTATTTTGTTTAAGGGTTGATGTGACATACAGTGGAAAAGGTTCTGAGAACTCAAAATAATAGTTAGAATTTTCTAGAATCAAGACATTTTTAAACACCTAATATTAAAAATTGTATCTTGACCTCAGAATTTGTATACCTTGAAAGTGCACTAATATGGTAGGTGTACCTGATGAAATGAGGAGTGAGTGGCACATATGTGTTCAGTGCTGATTTAAACAACAAACAAGCTGATTCTTCTTCTTTTTTTCTTTCCTTCAGGAAGAGGAGCCTAAAAAGACAGACAAGCAGGTGAAAAAGAGAGGAGCTAGTGATTCTAAGAAAAAGAGAACAAAAGAAGAGGGGATGGAGGAGGAAGAAACTGTAATGAAGGACGAACAGGACCAACATGAAAAGCAACCAGATAATCAGAAGGAAAGCAAGAACCAAGCAGTGGGTGAAGAAGAAATGACCAGTGGCACCTCAGACAATCAGTCACTCAAGGACAATGTAAGGACAAATACCTTTTGCATGGAATCTATGTGGATCTATTTAATCTATGTAGGTTTGTTTCACGTTTAGTGTTTTTGCTTTTCTTACTCTTTCAGTTGCATTTTCTGAAGTAGCTTAAGGCATATGGGCCCATACTTTAGTTTTTACATAACTTAATTAATATTTTAGTAATTTGCATGCTAGACACTGAATAACAAATCTATGAATATTGAATTTGTGTTATTTATTTATTATTTTTTATTATTATTATTTTTATTTATTTACATTTAATCTTTCTTAAGACTAAAGGGCAGGGCAAAAAATATCAGAAAGGAAAAAAAATAAAGACAAACTGCTTAGGAATGAAAAACAGTATTTAAACATTTAATCTCCAGGAGAGTCAGTTAAACCTAGGATAACCAACATGCCAGTGCACTTTTCCAGTGCCTCCAAAAGAGTTGGTTAAACTTAGGATAAACACAACTGATCACAATAGCAAGTCTAAGGTTCATAAGGTTAATAGTGACCACTTTAGTACTTGTGTTAACATCAGTGATTGACCTATTCATATTATATAAATTGATCGATTTTGTTTGTGCCATTACATTATAAGGAAACTGACAGTGCTGCATTGATTGACCAGAAAATGAATCTCTATCGCATCCTCACATTTCTCTCTGTCCTTTTCTAAAGGACCAGCCCGTGGGACAGTGTGTAGAGCTACCTCGCAGGGTCCTCCTCTCCTGGGTGTTTTTTGACCGGCAGCTCACAGGCCACTTGAAAGAACAGGACCTGCAAAACATTCTGCTGTCCCTCGGGCTCTACCTCAACACTGCTCAGGTTTACTTCCTTTAAAATGTTGGATTTGATCATTTGTGTCACATTTGAAAAGAGCTTAATTGAAGGAACATGATATGTTATTTCCAACCAAAAAGTAAATATTATATTTCTTTCATGGTTTAGGCACAGAACCTTGTTCAAAAGGCATCAGTTGGTGGGCAGTGCCTGTACCGCAAACTCTGCTCTCGCTGGATAGACCCAGAGGAGGTGGCGTACGACCTCAGTGCTGAGGGTATGATTCATATCTCGCCCACACCTAAGCAATCATTCTTATTTATGAGAATATGTCTGTTTATATTGTCCTGTATCACCTTTATGTGCTCAGGAAATAAAAGTTTGCTGCCTGGCCTGCCTGCTAAGGAGAGAGGCTCTTCTCGTCGCTCATCCAGCAGCACTAACTCTGATGTAGTCACCTACAAAGGGACAGTGGTGAACATTCCCAACCTGCTGCATGCCCTTGAGAGCAGCAAGGCAGCGCAGCAGGAGCTGGAGAAACGCATCGCAAGTCTGCACGCTACACTCGGTATGGCAAGGAAGCATGTTTTAAATTTTCTTCTCTCTGCGCAGTTCAGTGGTAGACAAGTTTAGGCTAACAGTATACAAACCCTGTCTTGCCCATTTTAGTGTTTTTCCATTCTACCTAGCAGTCAGATATTATCAAGTCAGTACTCTTAGCTGTTGATTTAAATGTGTTTGAGTGCTTTTACCCAGGAAATTATGGATGCCGCCCCACAAACTCAGTTTGGTATGGCAAGTCAGGAAATTAAATGGGTCTACTTTAAAGAGAAATAGCGAAATATTTTGCTGTCAATGCCAATAAACAGAAAATAGGGAGGAAAAACTGTACCAGTAGTGTTTTTTGGCATGTTTCAAACTGTGAGAGCACTCCTGTACCACAAATCGTAACAGTGGCCTGACTATCCATCACTCCCATTCACTGGCTCAGCTCCTCCAAACTCGCAACAGAAACAAACATCCACTAATGCGTGTCCTTCAAACTTGCAGCTGAAACCGAGAACACAGCAGCAGCTGAAACGCACTGAAGTCTATGTGCTCTGCTTATGAATAGAAACACAAATTTACCTCAGAAAATTTGGGTTAACTCTGCTGAAATGAGACAAACATTTTATAACATTTTCAAGCCAGCTGGCTTTCAGCAGCTAAAGCAGCGTTAGCAGCCCATCTCAGCTCAGGTTTTCCGTTTTTGTCGAGTGTCCATGGAAAGAGTTCCAGTTTGGATTTCAAAAGGCCAAACTTAAAATCCTTCTTGAAATCTCCTGACTTTGGTGTGAGCCGAAGACTCACACATTTGTGAATTCCACAGAAAATGTAGATCTGTACAATGTTGGAAAGATAAATGATCCACAGTAAATGTGGTCATGCCGTGCACTGCCGATGTAGACAGGACAGGCGTGTTCGTGAGCTAATTAGTCGAATTAGATGTGTTTCCCTGAATTCCAATGAGACATGATACGTCAGCATCGCGTAAGTTAAGTGCTAGTGACCATGTATTAAATCCATCCTGCCTCCTGCTGGACTTTTTTCTAGTTCTTTCTACACCCTTATAAAATGTGGTTCTTCTGTGGTTCTGTAGCCTCTTATGCTCCTAGGAACCACCGGTGGTTCGAAAACGCACTTCGTCATATTCCTCACAACTTTCATATTTCATAAGCTACATTGAAAAGGTGGGTGTCATATGAGAGCTGTAACTGTCTTCTTTCCAGTCAAATAGACAGGTAATGTAATTTTAAACCCTCATATTAGAAGAAGCTGAACACACAATTTTTTTTTCTACTGAAAGTCGACCCATTTTTCCACAAATCTGGGCTATAAACTATAAACAGATGGTGTCTCTTCAGTGATCTGCTCTTCAGCAGTAAATTGTAAGCATATAGCAATATGTGTATGATCATAACACATTTTCTGTTCATTTGAGGGGAGCTTTTACAAAAAAATAGATAAATAAAATAAAAATTTGCATTTATTTCATGCAGTTACTGAATAATTTGCCTTAAGATTTGGTCATGTAAATTCAGATGGACGAACCAAAATATACCCTGGAGCATAAGAGGTTAATAAAGGTAGTCAGTGGGTTATATTAAAGAACTAAGGCAACTCAAGGAACCATGTTAATGCATTGATGCCTCTTTGCTTGGCTAAATGGTTCTTGTCTATGATGGAAAACTTGCATGTGGTTTTTCTGAAGAATCTATTGGTTTTATATAGCACCAGATAGAATTGCAATTAAATAGTATTGTAGTGGGGTTATAACCTTCCAGCACAAACAGCAGATCTGGGGCCGGTTTCCGAAACAGCATCTTGGTGTTAAGGTCATTTTAACTGGTAAAGAAGAGCGTATATTCATTTAAGAATAACCACCCCCATTTATTGTGATATCACAATTTTTTATGGTTGTTGTTGGCAGATAAGAGTAGTTTTCTCATGCTGTTAAAGCAGTTTACTCAGCAATTGCTAGGATTACATCATCACGTTTTGATGGACCTTTAGCACAGCTGATGAGGATTGAAATGTGAATTAAAATGTAAAATGGACACGTCCGTCGTGAATTGGCTTTTAGACCAGGGTATACACCAAATATACACACAAGATGACCACCAGGACAAAGATTGAGAACCTCTCATGTTAGTTCATACTCACATTGATTAGATGTTTATGACCTCCATTGAAAACTTTCACTTATGTCCGTATGTCTGCCCTTATATCTTTCAGAGGCTGCTGAGGCAAAGCAGGAGTCTGATCAACAAGAGCAGCTGAAGAGTAGGTTAGAGAAAGCCGAGACGCTCAACAAGGCCTACGAGAAGAGCCTGAAAGAGAATGCTGGCCACATGCTTGACGTCATCGAGAAGATGCAGAAAATGGTAGACCAGGTAATGAGCATCGAGGAATTTGTTCATTCCTCAGTGATTAAATATAAAGGCTGTGTTTTGTTTCATGCTTATTAAATTCATTTTTATCCTCCACTTGTTTACAGACGACAATCCTTACACGGACAAAGGAGACAAAAGGAACAAAGGACTAACAGTCTGCTCTTAGAAAAAAACAGGAACATTTTTAATTTATAAATCTGTATTTTTCAGCTGTGTTGAACTCCATTTGGACATGGAGTATTTATGGGATTTTTCTCTCTTCCCAAAATGTTAGACTGCTCAGCGTCATGTTAAATTCAATGACAAGGTCTGAAAATTCCTGTAGATTTTTCTTTAAGAAAAAAAAATTGTTTGATTAGTTTCTTAGAACTTGCCAAGATGCTTTAACCTTGCCCTCTGTGAAGATGATAGACTGTGGATGACGTTAATGTCAGATTTGTGTGGTTTACTTTTTATTTGTTTATTATTTATCTTTTTTTTAATCTTATAAGAGGGGAGAAGTATATTAAAAGATCATGTTTTGGATGTTGGCTTATGTCTTTTCTGTGGCTTTTGGCGTTCTGTATATTTGGTGTCGGTGCAGCTGGACTGCTTATCTCCCATTGGGGTTTTGCTTTCTGTTGGTTTTAAGAAAGCATACTGGCCCAGTCCTTTGATCTCTCTGTTGTGTCCCTCTGTATCCTTAAAGGGAACCCTGACTGTGTAGACATGTGAGCCTCAATATGGTGTGCATTTCCAATATACTCTTAAAAAAAAGAGTTCTTTAGTAAAGACAGTGGTTCTAAATAGGACCATGAACACTTAAAGAACCAATTGCATGCTTAAATGGTTCTTCACATGTAAAATGATTCTTCAAATTGATGGAGAATGTGTTGTAAATGGTTCCATATAGATCCCTTTTGAAAAAGGTTCTGCTGTTATTATGATGTCAAAAGAACCCAAGTCATTCAGGGTGGTTTGATGTGAAACACTCAGCTGTAAAACCTACCATGTCAGAATTGTTCACAGAGGTGGTGATGGGAACCAGGCGTTTGAAGAGATTTATGCCTCTAAAGGCTTCCTCAGGTTCCTCAGGCAGGTTATTAATATACTGCTTGCTGCTCGAGACACTGTTTTGCAGTAGTTTTTGAGAAAATGTGCTCTAAAATGTTTTGTTTTTAATCCATTTACGGTGGGTAGACACATGTAGGATATTTTAAAGGCAAAACAGTCCCCAAAGAAAACTCGCTGTGTCTGATTTCCCACTGGTTTGCCATCATCATCATTACTTATAAAACCTCAGAAGACGTGTAGGTTCACTGGTGGTTTTGGATAGTGAAAAACAGGCATTTGCATTGTAGACACAATGACCCCTGGTTCCTATCACCACCTCATTTGTCAACAATAAACCATAAACCATTTGTCATTTGTCAACAATAAACCATAAACCACTCTGTAAACAGACGTTATGGCACCCATCACTGTCAGCCATTATTTCCTTCCGCTGTGTAGATCCAACATTTCAGAGATGGTCTAGAAGTGGACAGAAATGTTTATTTGACTTTTTTAAGGTTTGTCATTTGATCAGATCTTTCCACAATCTGACTGGTTCAGATACTTACAAGTGAGGAGCTACACTAAAGCATACGTTTCTCTCTTTGACCCACCAAAGCAATTAGATTGATCAGTGCCTAAATTTAGATCCACTAGCTGGAAGTGTGGTTTCTCATTTATATAATACCATCCATGGAGAGGCTTCTCCTTCCCTTTGTTGTTTGAGGGGGCAATGGAAAGTAGATCTAGATTGTGGCTCAGCTGGCCAGGTTATTTCCAGAGACAGATCCAAACCGGCCTACATGCCATCCAGCTTTCACAACCTTGGGACACGTTCTACAAAAGCTGCTACCCGTCCAGGGTTTTCCTGGATTTTAGTTGTCCATGCACACTGTAAAAAGTGGCTCATCAGATCGACCTTAAAAAATTACTTCATGTGGTAACAAGTAGTTTAGTTCAACCTGAACAAATACTTTGAATGAAGGGTTCTTTCAGTTGGTGTGATCCCTGAGTTGAATAAAAATAGTTCAACTGCTTGTTACTACATGAAGTAATGTTTTCAGGTTGATCTGACAGGCCATTTTTTATAGTGCAGGGAGAAAAACACAATGTCCTGAAATTCAAGCTTTTTCTTATGTTAGTATTTATTATGAAGACCAAACTGCTTTCTTTCATCCAATCAAATCATTTGGATTCAAAGAATGGATATGATTTGCTCAGATTATACATAGGGACAGTTTTTTTGTAAAGGTTGGTGTTGGTGACCTGTTTAAGGCTCTTTAGTATTCTGTAGTAAAGGCAATGGGTTTATATAGAACCAAGAACACTCAGAACCATTTAAACACAGACATGGTTCTTTGCATGGTCAAATGGTTCTTCTCTATGATGGAAAATCAGTTGTATATGGTTCTTTCAGTGGTCTTCTAAAAATAAACCCTTTTTTCAGTACTACGTAGAAATGTTTTTTGCTAAGATGTTTGAAAAAGAGATTTGTGAGTATGTGGAACATGTTAAAGGCATGTTAAATTTCATGGAATGTAAAGGTTCTTTACCGATGTAAGTGTTCCTCCTTTACATTTTCTCTAAAGAACCACCAATAGCCCAATCTCACTGATGGCAGTGTTTGGTGTACCCTCGGATGAAACTTCTATATCTACAGCCCATAAAGAAATCAGTGCATTTTCCACACTCTTAGCCAGGGACTTGATTTCATGCACAGAACAAGGCACTTCCACAGTGGGCAACGGAGGCTCATCTCATAGGTTTTACTAGGTCTGGCAGGCGTTCTTGCAGTTTTTGAGACATAATTTCACACAGTTACTGCAGAATAATGTCACATCTACTCCTACTCCCCTCCTTTTTTCCTTTTCTCTCTCTCACTTTGGTTTGACAGGTTTATTCTGACTGTTTTGCATTATGAGCCCTGGTTATTTTTCTTGTTCTTGTATGCTGCATAAATAATGGCCCAGTCAAGAAGCACTGCACTGGGTAAGCCATGTTCTCAGTGCTGCACTAACAGTGAAATCACTTCTCCACGCTCTGTGTAAGTACAACCTTGCCCTGAGGTGGCCGTGTCTATAATTCATCAACATCCAATTGAGACTGATGGATGTCAACCACCATGAACCCAACTTCAGAACTGGGTGGATCACTCTCAACACTGCAGTAACTCTGTCCTGGTATTGGAATAGTGAGTGTTTTACTAAGCTGGACATTTTCTAACAAATCGAGCTCTTATAGCCTTATCTTGTGTTTATCATCATTAAAGCTCATTCACACATTTACAAAAATGAGTATGTATGACTACATATAGAGTCAGCATATGAATAATAAACATATTACGTTTATTATAACGCAATGTTTAAAAATGTTTGATTCACTTTTCTTGCATAAGACTTGATTATTAAAATCAGAAGAAATGTTTAAAATGTAAAGTGTCCTTTTCTTGCACGCCAATCATTTAAAACCACAAGTAACGGCTAAAACATACCAAAACATTACAGAAAATAAAGTTGTTTTTTTTTAAATGACACCAGTAAAACATACTGCATGCTGACTGCTGCATAACATAACTGACTGAATTGGGCTTCTGGCAACTAACATTGCATACACATTAACACTAAATAAGATAGATTCCTGAATAAACAAAAATGCAAAAATAATTCTAAACTAAATGTAATTTGAAATATAAACTTAACAATAACTGCAATGTTCTTTGAAGTGGCTGCATAAATTACACTTGTTTGCTGCTGGGTAAATTCATTCCACTGCTACACAGTGTTGCTTCTAGGCAACAAACATATTTCAATAATTTCTCATAGCAGAAAAATTATTTATATGATACTAAATGTTAAAAAATGAACTTCACTCTGTGAATCACATCAGATGTGAATCATATTTCTGGATGGATGAAAAATGATGAACTCGTTTTTCTGATGAAAATGTACAAAAACGTCATCCAAAAGCTGCACCATGACAAAAAGAGGTTTAAATCACCCACCAAGAGATCAAATATAAGCTTTTGGTTTATTTGAGCTTTTCTCTTCATTATTAACCTTTTTGTTGTCATTAAATATGCATTATGTCACTGTAGGGGAAAATGGGTTTGTTAACCTGAGGCAATTTTGTGCAATAGAGGGTTAATAGAGTTAATAGAGTTTCATTACAAAATGTTATACATATTAATCTGCAACAATTTTGGATATAATGAGTTTTTGAAAAGATATTAATCATAATATAGCATTGATTTGTTTCTTGTACACTCTTTAAAAAGATGGTTCTTCAAGGGTTCCTGGGTAAAGAGAATGGTTTTATTTCTATTGTTTCATGCTTAAAAAGTTCTTTGCATGGTGAAATGGTTATTCAGATTGATGAAGAATGTGTTTTTAATATGATTCTACATAGAACCAAAAAGCACTTTTGCCTGAAAAACTGACAAGGATTTAAAAAGTCTGCCTGCTTTAAAATGAGGACACTGGCAACTATAATTTCGTCCATTTTAATGGCGCTGACTAGTTGTTTAAACGTGTTATGTCATATAAATTGTATTGTTTTTTCCCCACCCGTATTCAAACATGTCCCGCCTCTTAGCGCCTAATAAGATTCCGTTTGATCCGCTGTGATTGGCTAGCAGCTGGTGAATATGACTTACTAGCCAATCCTAACGCAGAGACGGAATATTATTAGCAGAGAGAGTCTAAGCGCGGGGGGCGGGACTTGTCGAAATACGGGTGGGGAGAAAAAACAACGCGCTTCAGTTATATAAACATCTCCCGCCATTTCAGCACCACCTACCGCCTGATTCATTATCTTTCCGTCTTTCTGTGGCCACAGTAGATTCAGCTTCATATTCCGGCCATTGACTCTTCACATCGCTATCCGGTGACATGGTAAGATTTTTCCCCGGTATTTCTTGTGCTGCCTGGTTGGTTTCTCTCCCCGACCAAAACGACACCTCCTCCCGTTTATGTTCGAGATTATTTAAAGTCATGTTCGTGTAGATTTAGATCTGAAACCGAACTGGCACAACTCGCTAGCCTACCTAATATTTAGCCACATAGGTTAGCGCAGCTGCGATGATTTCGGTAGGAAAAAACGCCAGCATCGACGTATAAAAGCCATTTTTGTCTTCTGAGAGAAACTGCACTACGGATATATTGCCAGTTATTTGTAGTAAGCCATTTACTAACCTTAACTGGGTTACTTCTCGTGGAAAAGGTGGGCCAATGTTAGCTAGCTAACATGGTTGCTACCTTAAGACCTGGACTGATCCTCAAATATATTGTTTTATTAGACGTGTGGCTAAGTTGGTACATTATTCTGATGAATACGCTGTCCATGTGTACAGTGTACTATATGGAGAGTAGGGAACAGTCTAAGATGTAAGATATTTACAAATTCTGTTCGTGTACGATTTCAGAAGCTGGTTAAACCAGTCGTGGCTGGCTAACGTTAGCAAGATAGCTTTTGCGCCCGTTAGTAGCGGCAGGCTAGTTTAGTTAGCTAACGTTAGTTAACGTTAATTAACTGTAACCAGCTACCCTCAGTTTTTTGGTGATTTATTTGGATTTGGCTGTAAACCAGCAGGTTATCTCGATTTTTAAAATGCTCAAAACATTGTTAAATCCTCAGCTAAGCGTTAAGTTACTCTTGGTTAGCTGGCCAACTGCTAGTTAGCTAAGCTAGCTAGCTTTGTTTGGTAGGTAGTTCCCCTTGGAGTTGCTGAATTTAGAGGGAAGATTAAAGATTTTATAAATTAGATGCCTCTGCTCATGTTATCAGTGTATTTAGCTAGCTAGCTCACTAACAGCAGTACAAGCTGGATGACTATTGCGTTTTAGATAGCTTTAAATATATTCTTAAATATTGAGTCGGTTTCAGAAATGCTGGCAGTTTTCACTCGGTTCTTAATGAATAACTGAAAGACTAGAATTGTTCCATTTAAAAGCCGTAAAACAGAGCTTAAATTGACCATGTATATAATTTTGTTAAATACATGGTTTTAAAAGATTTTTTTAAGCAGTACAGCGTTGTAAAGTGTGTCATTTTAAGAACAAGTACTTGACTTTAAGTATATACTCACTGGTTACAATTAGGTTTCTAATGTTTTTGCACCTTTTTCCACCCTGGTTTACTTCTCTTCACTAGGCAGGAGGAAAGGCTGGGAAGGACAGTGGCAAAGCCAAGACAAAGGCAGTTTCCCGCTCCCAGAGGGCTGGTCTGCAGGCAAGTGTGTTTCTACCCCACAGTCATTTCCAGAAACGTTGTAGCAGATTCGAAAGAGTGATTTATGACTGTTTTGGTTTGTTCTGCAGTTCCCAGTAGGTCGTATTCATAGGCATTTGAAGACACGCACTACAAGCCATGGACGTGTTGGTGCCACAGCGGCTGTGTACAGCGCAGCTATCCTGGAGTACCTCACTGCTGAGGTGAGGTTTGAGCCATATATTGCATTATGTAACTTGTGCCTAATCAACCTGTGGATCAGCAAATTATCCATTTGTGTCTTGTATTGATAAATATCTATTGGAATTTGTTCTTGTGCTTGATTTAACTTCAGCAAGATTAGATCTCTTTCTCTGAAGTACATTTAAATAGTCATGTTGAGAGTAAAATTGGTGCATATGAACCTGAAAGACACTGTTGTGTTTGTGCAGGCCTTTGCTATTTCCCTATGTCAAAATAGTGCATTAGCACTACTTAACAATATTCTTGCTATGTGTTGGAATAGTTTTCCAGACCTGATTTAAACCTGAGTGTAGAATAAATAGGATTTGTAATGGTGAAATTCTATTGGCCTTGCACTTTAGTCCACAACCTGCCTTAATCCATATCCCCAGAGCTAGCCCATTATCCTCTATGTAGTATCTATTAGGTTAGGGCCCAGACAGGTTTGGGCAAAATGTTCATTATATCCAGTACTTGTATATTTTATGGTGTCCTTTGAAATTCAAACAGTTGGATGCAGAAGTTGAAATTCCCCTGGTCAAATTTTTGAAAATGGAAATATATTAAAGCGTCATCTCCAGGGAACTTAAATATGGTAGTATGAAGTTTATTGCACAGCTTATTTATTTGGTGAGTTCAACATATTGGGGAAAAAAAACATGAAAAGATTGACGGGGTGCCTAAACTATTGCATACAACTATATTTTCTGCTTGCACAATCCTAATCCAGTCTTTCCCATGTATGTGCCTCAATAGGTGTTGGAGTTGGCAGGTAATGCTTCAAAGGACTTGAAGGTGAAGCGTATCACTCCGAGGCATTTACAGTTGGCAATTCGTGGTGATGAAGAATTGGATTCTCTCATCAAAGCCACGATCGCTGGTGGAGGTCAGTTGAACTCTAGATTACAGAATATTCTTCTGTTCTTCATAATTTTTTGGAAGGGACTGTAACAAAATTGTATCAGAGAAGAAAAATCTAATGTCAGGTTCACTCGCTGTGCCCCAAGCATTCGTTAAAACTGCTAATGGAGGATGGTAACATTTTAAAAACACAGTATCCCACTTTGACACCTAGTATTGTACAATATTGATAAAATTTTATAAAATAAATTTTCTTGTATCGCACATTATTTAAAGGGAAATTTCACCATTTTTTGGTTTTGGATTTCTGCTTAATTTGGTCATTAACTAAATTAAACAAGGTCATGGTGCTGATTGGAACCAGGGGTTGTGATATAATCATTTTTCTGTACCATTTAAAACCACCAGTGAACCTACACATCATCTGGGTTTTTATGTGTAGTGGTGTCAATGGTAAAATAGTGGTAAATCTGGGTGTTTAGTTCAAAACGTTTTTGTGAAACTATCTCAGAGCAATGGTCCAAAATCAAGCAGCGTAACCATTTAATGTAATTGTTTCTGAGGTGGCTTTTCTGAGGCATTAACTGCTTCACACATCTGGTTCCTATCCTCACCACTGAACAATTTTTATGTAGTCATTTTCTCTTGAAGGGAGCATTTCATATTAAACTATTCTGACGTTGCATCTTAACGATGGACAGCAGAAAACAATGAACAGTCAGTGGAATGATACTTTTATGTTAAAAATTATGTCTTACAGCTTGTTTGGATTGAACTGTTTCTTCTCTTGGAATGACACCATTCCACTCATTCACAAGTCACTTTATACAGTGCTGTAAACAATAAACAGACAGAAAACACACTTCCAGAAAGAAAAGGAAGCATTTTTATTTATAGGTATTATGAACTATTCATTCAAAACAATTGGAAGCACCCAGCAAATAACATACATTGTAGTTAACTGACAGGTCTAGGATACTATATGTAAAGCAAACAGGAAAAAAAAAACTAAAACAGCTTGCATACAGGCACACTGCTAGAGTATGGAATATAATGTTACTATGACTATAATGGTGTAATAGTATAATAGTAATGTTCATTATCTAATAGTACTTTTACCACTGGAAAGCAGTATTATGGCATACTGGTAGCGCTATGGATATCCTGCCTTTAATTCTTGTGTATGAGTTTTTCATGTGTGGTGCACTTGTAGTCTCAATGTACGCTGGTGTCAGTTCCATTTCATACTGATTGTAATAACTTGCTTTCTTTTCTGTCCGTTTTAGGAGTCATTCCACACATTCACAAGTCACTGATTGGAAAGAAGGGCCAGCAGAAGACTGTGTAGAAGACTTTTTGTCATGTTTGTATAGTTAACGGCAATCAGCGTGGACAGCATTTGTTTTTATGTTTTACCCTTTTGTCTGGTTATGTTGTAACTGTAGTATTAACATGAATAGTGGTTAGGCTTTTGATGTACTAAGGTCGGTTCTCAAGATGGGAGGGGTGTACAGGTGATGGCCAAGGAAAACAAGCAGGTCCTTTTTAAATGGGTTAACAAAGGTATGGGGTTTTGAGTGTAATATTACAAAATCATTGGCCTGTGTCCTCAACCTGTTTTATACATAAAATGTTGAACTTTTCTTAAATCATTATGCATTGTTGTGGTTATTTTATTAAGAGAACACACATGAGCTTTCTTTACACAAAAGCATGTTAATCCTAGTGGATATTCTACGTAACGTTTTACTCGGTGTTACTGGGGAAAATATGGAGAAAGTATCAGCCATTGACGGGCAATATCAATTACCGTTATAGGGTTTTTCTAATTGACTCTTGTGCAAACTTAATTTGCAAATTGTCATATAAAGGACTGTTTTGTTACAGTAAAATATCCTGCATTCTTGCATGTTGAAGTTACATTTGGGAGGTCAGTTTTTTAATGTTGCTGTGCAATGTGGAAGAGGCTTTGAGCATTTAGGTTTTGGTGTGAAATATTTGTGGTAAATACTGAAACATTTCATCAATCTAAACACTGAAAATAGGATTAAAAATGAATGTCATTGATAGCTCTTATTTTTAGTTTTAGTCGTAAATGTTCTTAGGCCTGTCTTTTGATGCAGTACAATACAAAAACGCTGATCGTACTGTGTCATAACAGTGCTAGAAAACAGGATATTGCTGGGTCGTGATTATAGCACAAAAAATGTCTCGCAACGACCATCTCAGGTTTTAAATATGCTCATCAATTAAATATCTTTAAACTGCCAGTGCTACTGTCGTAAGCATATGCTTAAGCAATAGAACATTAAAGGTCGTGTGTTATCGTAAAATAACATCACGGCTGTGATTTGGTCGCAGGCACAAGCCGAAGGCGACAGTACAGTGAAATAAATAAAGTAATAAATTAATAAACTGGGCCGTGAACGCGGCGTTTAATATGTTTTAATGTTCGCAGTTCCTTCACCAAATTATAGTTCCTTAACAAGCAGCTCGTTGCTACGTCAGAGTAACGAACTCCGCTCACTCGCTGCACAGCCGGCAGTTCGTTCTCCAGCTCCTTACACTAAACTCCCAAACTGTCATCACCACTGAGCAGCTTTTCAGTAGGCAGCTGTGACAGAAGAACAGCTAAACAACCTGAAATCAGCCAGAAATGAACCCAACACCATTCGCCAAACGTGTAGTCTGATCTTCAGAGTCTGACCAAATCAGACTGAGCCATAAAACTGACCCAATATCAAGTTCAGCTCAGTTTTGTCAGTTTTTGCCAGATCAGTATTAATGTTGTTTTGTTCCAGCCAGTCTGTAAAGCATCTTACAGCCCATTTAGTTTGGCGAATGGTGTTGGGTTCATTTCTGGCTGATTCCAGGTTGTTTAGCTGTTCTTCTGTCACAGCTGCCGACTGAAAAGCTGCTCAGTGGTGATGACAGTTTGGGAATTTAGTGTCGTCTCATCTTCAGAGTCTGACCAAATCGGCTGTCGGTCAAATGTGATCTTAAAAGTGTCCATTTTCTGTTTGTGGCAAAGTAAGAAATAAAAACGTTCAAATGGCTTGAGTGTCTCCTACAGCTGTCAAAGTAGTTGCTTAGCAGCGGCGTCTCAGCGGAGTGATAGTGTTTGTGAAGAAACGTGATGTTATGGTGAAATAACAGCGCGGTTAGAGCGCTTCTCAACCAATCAGCTGGCACGGCCGAAACTAACTGTTGTATAATTAAAATAATGTTAAAGGTACAGAAAGCTTCTGTAATCAGAAAAAATGTAACGCTTATGTTTAGATGGTCAAGCCTTATTCGCCTTATTAAAGATCAGACTGTATAGCATAGTGCTGTTGCCAACTGTATTCATTCAGAATCACTGCATTGTAATAGAAATAATTCCCTTGAGTTGTAGAGGTGTTTTTAAATGCCTTATGCTTCATCATGTGTACCAAAGATGCCAATTACACTGGATCACTGTCATGCCTCAGAACTACCCCCTGACCCCGAGCAGTTCATCTTATCAGCACACCAGAGGAGTGTTTTTACAAAATAAAATTCCTCAGACTGGGTCACTTCAGCCCAAAGTAAGGACTGTTCTGTGAGAACAGCCTGCACTTCTTCTCTTATTGCACTGGCTTGACTTTTGGCTCAATTTTTATGGCTAATTTTGTGAAATACCTCCTGAGTCTTGTGACATGCAGGAAGTTCAGGGTTACTAAATTTCAGCTTCACAAAACCAAACAAATGAAACATGATCAACAGCCAATTATGTGAAAAATGAGGAGTCCAGGAGCTTATTTAAAAAAAAACAGGAAAAAAGAAAACTATATAATTGTGTAGAATAAAGCATTTATAACAGTGAAAAGCAGCGCAGTTAGTGTTAGTGTTGGAGTAATACTTCTGCTAAAAAGCCATAGTCTAAAGTCCCCAGAAGGCTCCTTGATTGGTCCAAGAGCTGTTTATGATCCGAAAAGAACTTGAAGGGGAATTCCAATGATGATGTCAAAATTTATTTCCAGCGTGGTCGGATGTGAAATGGTTCATTTGTAGAGAAACTTACAGACTGATTTCCTTACAATGGTGGTGACAGGAGCCAAGGGTCACCACGTTTACAACACAAACATAACCACAACCACTTGATTTACTATCCAAAACCACCAGTGAACCTACACGTCTTCTAAATTTTGTATGTAATGTTGATGGTAATATTGTAGTAAATGTGAACAAATAATTTTTCTTTGGAAACTATTTTGCCTTACAATGGCCCCATTTCCAAAAAAGTTGGAACGCTGTGCAAAATGTAAATAAAAACAAACGGCAATGATATGCAAATCATTTAAACCCTATATTTCATGGAAAATAGTACAAAGACAACATCTCAGATGTTGAAACTGAGAAATTTTATTGTTTTTTGGAAAATATGTGCCCATTTTGAATTTGATGCCGACAACACATTCCAAAAAGTTGGGATGGGGGCAACAAAATGCTGGTAAAGTTGTGCAATGCTAAAAAAAAAACACCTGGTGGTTGACTGGCATCTCAGAGAGGCGGAGTCTTTCAGAAGTAAAGATGGGGAGGGGTTCACCACTCTTTGAAAGACTACAAAGACGGCAAACAGTGCAACAATTCAAGAATAATATTTCTCAACATACAATAGCAAAGAATTTAGATTTTTATCTTCTACAGTACATAATAACATCAAAAGATTCAGAGAATCTGGAGACATCTCTGTAAGCAAGAGACAAGGCCAAAAACCAGTATTTGGCAATGATTTTTGGGCCCTCAGGCGTCACTGCATTAAAAACAGATATGATTCTCTAGTGGAAATCACTGCATGAGCTCAGGAACACTTCTGCCACCTTCTCTGGGCCTGAGCTCATTTAAAATGGACTGAGGGGAAGTGGAAAAGTGTCCTGTGGTCTGACAAATCAAAATTTGAAGTTCTTTTTGGAAATCATGGACACTGTGTCCTCCGGGCTAAAGACCACTCAGCTTGTTATCAGTGCACAGTTTAAAAGCCAGTATTCATGATGGTATACGGGTGTATTAGTGCACATGGCATGGGTGATGTGTACATCTATGAAGGCACCATTAATGCTGAATGATATATACATGTTTTGGTAACATATGCTGCCATCCAGGCAACGTCTTTTTCAGGGAAGGCCTTGCTTATTTCAGCAAGACAATGACAAACCACATTCTGCATGTATTACAACAGCATTGCTCTGCATTAAAAGAGTCTGGGCACTAAACTGGCCTGCCTGCAGTCCAGACCTGTCACCACTGAAAACATTTGGCACATTATGAAATGAAAAATACTGCAAACGAGCCCCCAAACTGTTGAGCAGCTGAAATCCTGTATCAAACAAGAACAGGAAAACATTTCACTTTCAAAACTACAGCAGTGTCTCCTCAATTCCCAAACTGAGTGTTGTTAAAGAAGAGGTGATGAAACACAGTGGTGAACAGGCCCCCGTCCCAACTTTTTTGGAATTTCTCAGTTTCAACATTAGATATGTTGTCTTTGTAGTATTTTCCTTTAAAAATATGGTTTACATGATCTACATATCATTGTGTTCTAATTTTATTTACATTCTGCACAGCGTCCCAACTTTTTTGGAAATGGGGTTGTAAATATCTGCTATGAATGTTTTTTTTAAAAATACATTTTTGGACCTCAGAACTATCTTAATACAAAGTCTAAGGAATCAGTCTGCATATTCATAAACATTTCATGTAATAACTTTCTGTGAGGGAGATTTTAAGAGGCATTAAACTCTTCAGATGTCTAGTTCCAAACACCACCAATGTAAAAAATTCTGACTCTGTAAGTTCCTCTAGAACTGAGCATTTCACACCAAACCACTCTGAATGACTTTGTGTACTTCTTAACTATTTAATCATGGCAAAATTTTGAAAGACCGGTGGAGTTTCCCTTGATGTTACCTCCATGGTTCAGCTCCTGCCTTAAAGTGCTTACAGCACTCTTTACACTGCACCATTGTGCCATCTGGTGTCCACATGTTTAACTGTCTCTAAAAAGCAGCACTTTTCAAAAGAATATAGACAAACATAAATATACAGATAGACATATTTATTATACACTCATCTTGTACATATAAACTTGAACAAAATATAACTTTAAAGGATTTACAAGTATGTATTTAAATATTCAACGATCATAAAAGGAAGGTTTAAAAAATAGACATTCATTATTGCACTCAACCCTGTTACTCCACAATGGGTCTGACTGAGAGGGATGCTTTAGTAAGACTGTTGTAGTCCGTGTGGCTCAGATTGACTCAGTTCACTGTGAGCTGAAGTACTGGTGGTGGTACGACTGGTAGGGGCTCATCAGGGCCGGGTTGCTGGGGGCCAAGGGGAGGCTCTGTGGGCTCCTGTACTGGTAGAGGGTGTTGACGGGCAGGGCTGGGACGGCTGCGGCGGCGGAGGGGCTGTAGTGGAGGCTGGGGGGGCAGAGGTATGACGCTGAGGTGTCCTGTGGGGTGTAGTAGCTGGGATACGGCGCAGGCCTGAAGGTCTGCAGCTCGGGGTAGTGAATGAGCTGGGAGGCCACGTTGGCCTGGCAGGCGTGAGCCAGAGCGTCTTGCACCGTCCTCTTGAGCTTCATACGCCTGTTCTGAAACCAGTTCCTGATCTGTGGAGGCAAAAGAAATGATCATTACTACATGGAGATAAAAGTCACCCAAACAATGCTAATGTTGCTAAGAGTGAATAAGACCTAATTTTGCCAGTTAAGCAAATTCATTACACCAGTGCTCCTCATACCTGTTTATCAGAGAGACTGAGGCGCTTGCACAGCTCGGCCTTGTCCTGGGCCCCCAGATAGGCGTTCCTCTTGAAGGCTCTCTCCAGGTTCTCTATCTGCTCAGCTGTGAAGGCGGTGCGGGCCCTGCGGCCGGTGGCTGGGGAGGCTCCTTGGAGGCTATGGGCCGGCTCCTTGGAGGCTATGGGAGAGAGAGAACGTCCTCCTTCACTCTCGTAGCCAGATGTCTCCTCCTCTGTTCCGCTACTAAAGCCTGACTCTGGAGCTGTGATGGAGAAAATGTGAAAGGATAGTTAACATTTTGTCTTTGGTTTAGACCATTTTGTAGCACCATTGAGGGGTAATGATGTTCAACACTTTCAAGTTTTCAAGTTTCAGCATGGCTTATTTTAAAGAAACCTAGTATTTCCAAAATGGTAACTTTTTCCAAGAAAGAAAAACTTTCATAGTCTTAAAGTATGTTGAAGTATCTAATAAGATTTCATTATAATTTAATACAGATAGTCATTATAGACCATTTCTATTGGTCCGTTTGTCATGAAATGTTCATTCAATGTGAAGGGCTGCTATTTTCAAAAGCCATAACAATGAAAACAAATAAAATTGAGTTTCTACAGCGTTTTAACAGTCAATGAATTAACCCTTTAACCCCCAGGGACCCACACTTCCTCACTATAATAACTATAGTTCTGAAAGCTTCATAGTAATTACCAAATAATTAATGGAAGTTGAGTAATACATTTTAACATTAAATTGCTAACTACTAATCTTAAAGTTAACTGCTGTTAACTGAAAAAAGGTCTCACCATGTTGGACGTTCTCTTGGTTGCTTGTGCTGGTCTCTTGTTTTGGAGTTAGGAACCTACATTCTGGTCCCACTGGCTCAGGCTGTGTGCCTTGAGCTTCTGTGCTGTCCACTCTCCTGCTGTAGAAACCAGGGAGGCTTTCTGGAACAGTCCCCGAGGTGCTGGCTCTGTCAGGGCCCGTGGAGATCCAGGAGCTGGAATGGTGCCCGGCTCTTGGGCTGGATGGAGCCTGGCTGCTTTGGGATAGCCATTCGATGGAAAAGTGTCCCTTCATCGTTTCAGTTTGAGCAAGAACAAAATGATATCCAGAAAAGTTTCGGTGAAAAAAAAGAATGTCCTTTGTTTTGTTCCTGTAAGGTTCCTGTGCGTTCAAAGCTGCTGGTCCTGGGCTCTGGATGTGCAGTGAGGAGAGAGGTCCTGAGAGCGAGTGAGGCAGAGCACTGTTTGTCTTCGGATAAGTGATAACCACCTCTGGCGCAGGGCTGGAGTATTTATAGGGCTAATCCCAGCTCATTTACAATTCACTTAGGCCAGGATCAAAGGAAACATCCTCCCGTCCCTGCTCCCCCACCCCTTGAGTTTTCACAAGTGTGGTAATTAAGACGTCTCAATCACCTCTGAATGAGCCCATTAATTCCTGGCTCCAGTAAGTCTGGTGATGTAGCAAGACCCCCCCCAACCCCACCCCCCCTCAACTTCCAAAACCATCTCTGATCCTGTCTGCTCTCTGAGGTTTCTGTGTGCGTTCACATGTTCACATGTGGTGAGGGATCATGGTTGAAAGTCAGTGGTTAAACATGGGATTTCATGCCTCAGATGTCAAATATTATTTAATTGGTGGTTTTTATTAAGTATTAGTTTATATTTTCTTATGAAATGTCACACTTTGAACTCAACAGATGAACTGTTGGACTGTTAAGCTGGTTTATTGTATTATATCCCATACACTTTATACGATACTGACAATGCACTATAGGGGCATAAATATAAATAGTAATATGTAATACAGTAGGCCTCTCACATCTACACTTGATGTTCCTGTGAGTGTCTGCAAATCTACGTAATCCAGCCCTTGTTTATGCCCTCTTTAGTCGGTATTGGTATCAAAGCGCGCAGGTCCTTTGAAGTGCCAGGCAGCAGTTAATGGCCTATTAGAGAAACACTACACCGAGAGGAGTTATGCTTTTTCCTCCACCCGTATTGCGACAAGCCCCGCCTCCTGCGCTACGATTGGCTAGTAACATCCCGCGTCCTGCGCTAGGATCGGCTCTTACGATATACTCACAAGGAGCCCGGAGAATAGACTGCCGTTCCAGCCAATCCCAGCACAATATGCAAATGCGCCAGCTCCGGCTAACAGTCCGTTCCACAGAATTTTTTTAGCTGTGTCCAAAACCACTTACTACTGTACTACACATATTACACTGATGAATGGACTTTTATTGACGGTGTGCTTATTTTTACACACTGTTTAGTGTGGTAGTATGCGGTTTTGGACGCAGCCCTTGTTTAGTGTACGCTAGGCGGTCTCCGGGGCCGGAATACAGGTGGAGAAAAAAACAACAACAGGCGTGATATCAAGTTTGGAGACAGTAGTCTGGCGAAGCCTCAACTACTATTAGCGATAACAGGAATTATTGCGGTCGGTTTATCTGGTTCATCAGCCGTTTATCTCTGCACTGAAACGATCAATCTAGCTGAGCCCTCACGAATCATCACAACAAGGTCTTGACTGCAAATTGCCCATAAGCTCCAAAGGGCGGCCCATCATTGTGTGCAAAGGATCCCATTGATCTGATCCCCTTAATTCCAACAAGAAAAAAAAGAGACAAAGGAGAAAATAGACGGCGCCATGGGTGGAGATAGACCCATCAGTCCACCATTTTAAAGTGATCATAGCGCAGCCTTTACCCTGACAATAAGCACTGTTACCCATAGTGTATTAAACTGAAGGAAACTTTACAATTAGTAGAGGTGGATAGAAACTACTTCCATTTATCAGGTCTAAGTTGTTTTCTTAGTATTATTAAACGATGTCTACATTTAGCTGGCCTTTTCCCATTGATTCCCTTGTTCCTTTAGGGGTTCAGTTTCATTCTGTTCCTTTGGACTACTTTCCCTCTTACTCACTCCTCTCACTTTTGGGCTTTAGTATTTTATTTTAAGCTGAAAGGATCCCAAAAAGAGAAGAACGACACCTTATAAACTTCACTCATATGCTGGAGGAAGGCCTGCTAAATTCCAGTGCTGTAATATAGAGAGTACTTCTGAGTTGTTAGCTAATTTTAATTATACTAGGGACATTACTCTATTGAAGTAACCGTAGGCTACTCTACTACCAGGGTTTGGATATAATGGAATACAAGTAGGAATACATATTTAGAATACAGAAATAAAGTATCTGTATACAGCCAAGGTACATTTTGTAAAGGCAGTATTCAGAATACAGTTACCCACTAAATTTAAACAATATAAACCAGCATTAAAAGAACACCATTAATGCTTGTTTATTAACTGTTTAAAATGTTTTTTTTTGTGTGTGTGTAAAAAACAGCTTATTTACAGACAACAAAGTTCCTGCTAAAGCCTGAGTAGACTGATAAACCAATGCGATGATCAGTTATTAATCTCAGTGTTACTGAGCTCTGCTAAAGCCTGAGTAGACTGATAAATCAATGTGATGATCAGTTATTAATCTCAGTGTTACTGAGCTCTGCTAAAGCCTGAGTAGACTGATAAATCAATGCGATTGGTTATTAATCTCAGTTTTACTGAGCTCTGCTAAAGCCTGAGTAGACTGATAAATCAATGCGATGATCAGTTATTAATCTCAGTGTTACTGAGCTCTGCTATGCATGTGTTTTGTTACACAATGCCATTAACTGAAAATCACAGCTACCTACTTCACAGTCTAATTTGCTAGATTTTGTTACTGAGATACGGAGGAATGTTTATTTAGTTCATCAGACAGCGGTCAGATTGTGGGAGCAGCAGTGGACTAAAGCAGGTGATGAGAGCCAAAATAATGTTGAGAATTTTGTAACTTCTTTTAAAGCAGTGAACTGCCACCAGTAACAGTGAGGAACAATGTGAAATAAATGAAAATTACAACAGCAAAGTTTTTACCATCTGCCTTATCAGTATGTATCAGAAATGTATTCTAAATGTATTCTGAATATGTATTGTGGTGGAATACATTACTGAATACATTTAGGACAGTGCATTCAGTAGTCAGCCATCATTACTTTTTTAAAGTATTCTGCCCAATCCTGTCTACTACTATTCTGAGTACTCATATACAAGCATGTCATACTCAATATAACCGAACTGCACTATAATCTACAATGACATTTTATAGTAAGGTGGTTTATGCTATAATAGTTTAATATGGTGATCAAATCTTCTTGAAAACTTTTTGATTTTTGCATGGCTTTAATACATTAGGCATCAGATAACACTGATCTAGTATATCCAACTCTCTAATTTATACTGTGCTAATTCTCTTATCATAGAGAATTGAGCCCTGTTCCAAAATGAAAATGGACCTTAAACATAGACCTGGGGAACGCCATAGAATTTGCTGACTTTCTTCCTCAAGTCAGGCAAAAAAAAAAATATGTCCCTGAGGGGCTCTATAATTCAAATGTACATCACATAGCCTTCCCTGTTTATGACTTCAAAGGGCAGATAACTTGCTGACCCTCTCGTCTCATATCTCCAGTGCTATCTCTCTCCCTCTCTTTTGTTTAAAGGCCACAACAAAACCCAGAGCTCATGCCTTTCTGTATCTGCTATAGATCTCTCGGGCGCGCTTGCTGGGCAGTTTCTGTTTTCCAGTGTGGAATGCATGGTCAGGGGACAGTCCCCCAGCTCGGTTCCAGCTTCCATGAGTCCTGAGATGTGATAAAGGGGAGGAATGACTTTGATGTGAGTGGCAGGAGAGAGAAAGGGAGCAAGAGAGAGAGAGAGGGATACAGTACAGACAGCTGCCTGGTTTCATGGAGGACAGACGGGAGGGGCAGGAGACGGCGTGTCCACCTCCTGTCCCAGGGATCCTGCCATCAAAGGCCAGATTACAGTGTGTCTGTGCTGTTTGATATTGGGTTGATACTCCGTTATCAGGATAGCGAGACTTCTGAGCAGGTGCTTTGCGAAAGATCTGTTCTGTCCAAAAGTAGTATAAAATGACAAAGGTGAGGCGCCTCTAGCCAATAACTGGTAGGGAAAATAAACTACATTACAGTTTTAGAGTATTATGAAAAGTATATTATGGCATGTTATTTATCAACGTAGTATAAGAAATGCTAAATTTGTATTATTGATTTCTAGACTATGTATGCATGGAAGGTGGGTAACAAATGTGTCTAGATAAGAAACGGGGGTTTCCACCTCAAAAAAGCCAGTATCTGGATGCCTGTGCTTTTAAATAACACTGAATTTAAAACCCTTGAACCTTTTAATGCTGGGTTCAGTGTTAAAAGATGGATACTTTAAGCCAACAAAAGCAAATATGTAAATACAGTACTGTGCAAAAGTCAGAAACCATTTTTAAAAATTTCCAGTCAAAGTGCAAGTTGTTAGTTTTTAGAATTGGGCATAAGATACCCCGCTTACATAAGGAAGGGGAAAGTCAGAGGAAAAGTGAAAAGTTTCTGAAGCTGGAGTTAAAAAAACGATTAAATGATACTGAGAAAATGTGACTCCTAACAACTGAAAGAACGTGTAGCTGTCAAGAAGAAAGAGCTCTTGCAGTAGAACACCAAACTGATATCTGAGATGTGGAGTTATACTTTATGTAGTGCATTTTTTTTACAAATATTTATTTTTATTTGCATATTTTTTTTAGAAAAACTGATAGCAAGTTCCCTGAATACAACAGAAGCTGTAAATGTAAAATTTACATAGACCATATGGGAAGCTCAGTTACTGATCATGCATTAGTTTGCTTGAGTAAATTTGGATGGCAAGTTTGCGCTTAGTTAGAAAAGGGGTCTATTTATTGTGTAAATCTATTACTTTTTTTTGTAACTACTAGTACAGCCTTTATCAGTGCAATGAAAGTGTCACTCAAGCCGGCTCCCTCCCTCCCTGTCAGCCTTTAGAGCTGCTACAGACGACAGTCTCTGGCAGAGAATGGGCTCCAACAGTGATTGCCTTTGATTGCATTCACTGATCCCCTTTCATCTCTAATGGGCGCTGTTTGCTGCCCTGTTAGGGACACAAACGCGTCGTCTCTTCCCTGCCCCATCCAAGCTCATCCTGCGGGGGCCTGAGAGCAAGGCCTGACCACGGCGGTCTCCATCGAGTAAGCTGGAGCCGCCATATTTCACACAGGATGGGAAAACCTCAGTACAGCTTTATAAGAAGTGAGAGGGCCATCAGTGTACTGCTCCGCCTTGTAGGGCTGTGTGGAGGTTCAAGCCACTTGCATTGCATCCACATAAAGAGCACTAGATGTGTTGTTCTAAATGAGGTTGCTTGTGTACTCTGTGCTCTTGTATGCCACCAAGACTGGAATTTTATGAACTTTAGTCACTTCATTTCGCAAATGTTGCATGTCAAAATACTGAGGTTTACTTGAAATCCTGACTTCGGCTATTTTGGAAATGAATATTGGATAAAAATAGAAATTTATATTGGCTCTAGCACATACACTACAATGCGAAAATTTAGAATCACTTTTCTTGTGAATATTTTTGTTATTTTACATTCAATAATTTTCTAAAACAAGTTATACAATATATTAACATAAAATGTGCCATAACTTGTGCACAGGCCAGATTTTAGATTTAATAATTTCCCCAATATGTAAAAATCAGCAAATAAACAGTAATCATGCATTAAAATGTGCAGAGGTTTGTTCCCTGTTTTAACTTATTTTAATTTAGGAAAAAACAAAAACAGCCCTAATTTGAACTAACTTTTGCATCTGATTGTATATAGATTTAAATATGATAAACTAGATATCAATTTGTTTGTTGTATTGTTTTTAGCTTTTTAATTCGATGTTTTTTGTTTTTTTTGGTTAAATATTATTAATGATAAAATAACAGTAAAATACTGTAATTATTTATTTATGGTATGTTTTGTCAAGTTACGTGCCTCAACACTTTGGAAATAAAATGCATTCTGGATAATCATTTTATTCTAAGGTTATCCTCAATTGTTTTTTATATATATTTTAAAGTCATTTACAGCTTTGTTCATGACTCTGGACACATCTCAAATTTTACAGCCTTAATAACTATTTGAAATCTATGAAGCCGTATAGTACAAACATCATATTAGAATAATTTTATGCAATAAAATTGGTTTAACGTTATTGAAGACAGTGAATCAGAATAGTAATGTACTTAGATATATTTACCTAGGTCAGTTCAAACAATGCTTGGACCCTTTTTTCCAGCATCCACTCATCTTATAATCACATCATTTTGACTACAATGCCCCCATTAACCCTCCCCTATTGATTCCAATCAGTGGCAACTTCAAAGAGTGGATAAAGCCTGGCGGTGGAACTGGCCCTATTTGAAAAGGCTCCGATTCGGGGATAAGAGGGGAGGTGAAAGGACGTCAGGTCGTCCACTAAAGCCTGAATCCACTCAGACCCACGGCCCCTCGGGCTCAGACGCAGGACCGCTGGCCTGACTCCGAGCTCTAACTGTCCTCTCAGAGTCATCACACCCATCTCGTCTCCCATTCAGCAGACTTTTGCTTTCACACTTGTGGACTGGGAAGAGTAAAGGTAAGTGTCGAGAAGGGATTAGGCCCTATTGAGCTTCAGTAACCCCTCTCCCCCCACCCTTCACACGGATCCACATTCAAAACTCCTGGCGCAGGCCACAGTGGAGCCGAGGACAGCTTACATGTTTGTGAATGGGGATTTAGATCACGGCCTCCAGTATGAAAGGAGTGTCAGAACAGTCAACGCAGGAAAAGAATGGGGGGGCTACATTTGGGGCTTTCCTTTTCCTGTTAAAGAGTGGTATAAAGAGCGCCGTGAGGTGCGACTTTGGCCTTTGAAGTTCAAAGGACGTTTAGAGGTCAGTTATGCTGTTTGGGGAAAGGTGGGCGGATGTTTATGAGGAGTTTAGCCTGGTGGACCGGTCCCTAACTGATGAAGACAAACCCGTAAACAACAATGGAAAACCAAAGTGACGAAAAGGTTGAAATGACACAAAAATCACAAAAAAATTCATAAACTATTTAAATATTTATCATGTATAACATCTGTAATATTAATATATGTATATAATGGTCTCCAAACCGGTTAAAGGTCTGGAGCAACCTAAACGTACATTTATATCATACATCTTCAAGACTGTATGATCTAAAGAAAACCCTTGTGTGAGCAGATGTGTCCCGTCCAAACTTAGATGCTGGAGCGAGACAACATGACAGTATTTATCTGATATTTCTGAGATGTTGTGTCCATAGTGTAACTCATGAAACATTGTGTTATTTTAAAATTGAAATAAAATAACATGAAGGCAATGTATGTCACTTTCTACAAAGTCACAATGTGACAACAGTTGCAGTTGCAGTGCACTATATTTTACAAATTACAGTTTTATGTAGTTTAGTAGCTTCTGTCAGTGGTGTTATGGTCAGTGGTGTTTCAACTTTACTGATCTTGTTCAATATAACAGACTATGTTTTACACTTGAGTTATATTATATAACCCTGTTGGCCACCACAGTGCAAAAATGACAGTTATCAATGCTACAGTAACGATAGTCACAATGAGGTGAGTGCACGTGTGTAGACGAGCTGGTGGTTGGGGGTTACTATGTAAAGATTCTGTGAGAAACAGCAGTTGGGAAAAGTAGGTCAGAACATGCCAGGTGCACATACACGTCACAAGACTCACATACGCTTCGACTGAAAGGCGTGTTGCACAAGTAATATGACAGGTGAACTGGTAGGAGCGAATAGCTGCTGCAATAAAACTGATCTTTCAAGTCTGAGATGTTCTGGAGGCGGAATCTCTCATCTTGAATGAGCATTTATGTAATTTCCACAGAAAACAGGGAAACGGTTGTTCATCCCTTTGCCTCAGATCCACTTTGTCAGTACTGAGATTTAGGGAAAAACGCAAAAAAGGCTTTAATTTTGGTTTATTTCAATGCATAATATATATTAAAACACACACAAAACCTCCCTGAAAATTTCATTTTTTGCACATCAGCAAAAATCAGCTGTATTGTGTGATGCAACTTTAAAATTTAATGTAAACCAGATTTACAGTCATATGCAAAAGTTTTAACACCCCTGGTCAAATTACATTTGCTGATTTCCTAAGTAAAAATATGTAAACACACCTCTACAGGGAATTAAATATGGTATTTACAGGGAATTAAATATGGCCAATATTAGTGTAAACATTCTATTTTACGTTTAATTTTATTAAACATAATATGCTAAACTCAGCAAATAAACTATAACTGTGCAGTAAATGTGCAGGACTGTGTTCTCTGTAGATGATATGTAATAATTTTTACTCTATTACTTTTAACCAGGGCGCGCCCAAACTTTAGCACACAACTGTATATTATACTTTGATGTGGCAAGGAATTATGAGAGTAAAGAAATTCCATGAAACTGACTTATAAAAACAGAACATGCTTACTTTAAAATATTCAATGCCAGAAGTAATGCACTTGATGTGAAACTAAGAGGAATTAACTAATAGAAGAACTATAAGAATGTTGGCAATGCCTTATTTCTCAACGTTCCTCATACGTGCAGAGGAATACTGCTCAAAAACAGCTGGACTGAACACAATCATTAAAGTTAGGCTACTATCTGGGGATAAAATTACTCTGGCTGACCCTCGCTGAGTGCTGGATTTGTTGAGGTAGATTGAAGCTAAGCTGGACTGCAGTGCATCAGGCGTTCCTCTCACATGGGGGGATGTACTCCAGACCCAAATGGGCAAAGATTTCTTCTTCTGAATTTGCACGAAGATAGCGCTGCTGCAGAACAGGTGAGAAATGAAGGAGAAGAGGCCGATTCTGAGATCAGGAGAAATACATATCTTGTTGCTGAAGTAGCAAAACATCTCTACAATGGTAAATTCATAGGAGAAGGAAGAAATGTTCTTAAAAGAGAATTTGACACTTTTTTCCTGCATAATTAAATGGTTAAGATGAAAATAAACTCATTCAGAGTAGTTTGATGTGAAATGCATCATTCTAGAGAAACGTCTCAAAATTTGTTGTGATAGAAACCAGATATCTGAAGTGTTTAGTGTCTTTAAAAGCTACTTCATGTAATATTATAACATGAAATTAGTATAAATACATGCAAATACTTTGCCTGTCTGTTTTATGTTCATTTTGAACTGATTAAACATATTATGTGTTATTATATAAGATTGATATAAAAAAACAGATTTTTGAAATACATTTAAGGCGGAGAGGTACATACAGTGCATTGTAAGGTGAAACAGTCCCCACAGAAAATGTATTGTTTGGATCTCACCATTATTAACAATATATGGGCCATTAAAAAAACAATTATGTATTTATATCTTAGATGTTTACAAGGATTATGTTATGATCTATTCAAACCCAAGATATTCATCGAGTGCTAACAGGTTAGTTTATATAGTAGTTTCTATTGGAAGGTGTCTGTCCCAAACTCTAACCCTTAAATTTCAATTTGTGAAAAAAATACTCAAATTTTTTGAGTCATGTTTCCAATGTTTTTTTTTTAAACCTCTTTAATTTCTTTTAAAGAAGTTGAAATATTTAGATGTACCAGTTTAGAGTTTATTTTTTAGAAACAAAAAAAAAATGCTGCCCCACATTTTAATGCCACTACCAAGAAACAAAAACTGTACCCTATTCACTATATAGTGCACTATTTTGGGATGTCAGAATTTTGTAGTGTCTGAAAACAGAGCAGAAAATCTAGTGCAATCAAACAATCCCACAATGCACAGCAAAAAGTAATGTACAACCAATGTACCATATGGGATAGGGGATACCCATAATGCACTGTATTGTTTGATTTGAAGATTCATGCCCAACTTCTCTGAGTAGGATTAGTGAGTCAAGCTACATTGGCAGTGTCTCCACAGAGCTCTCCTCAGACCTGTTACAAAGACCTGTAACAATAAGCTCTTCTCATGTGTGCAGTCAAACTCAGCGGTTATACTGGACTGATGGCAGGACGGTTATAGTGTTTGAGACTGCATCCCTGTCCCCCATGGCTACATGGTGAGCAGTTAGATCCCATTGCTTTGCAGTGTCCCAAAGTCTGAAATTCGGTATGTAACATTAAGATTTGTCATTACAAAAACACATATTTTCTACATCAAAACATAATGTTTTAATAAAAAATATTTTGATTTTATACTCATGAACTGGCTAGCGTTTTTGAGGTCTGCACAAAATTAGCTAAAATTGTCACAACCGAAACAGCCACTACTGCAACATTTCGTAAAATTCGATAGTGCTATTATTGTTTTGATAGTGACAAAACTGAATGTTGATTCATTTATTTTAATGAAATAAACATAATTAATATAGGGTCACTCAAAGCAAAAGGATTTTAGTCTACAGTGCAAGTCAATCAAAAGTCCGAAATGTGTGTTGAACTCTGACTTGGAACCAATACAGTAGAACGGTCCATAAAAACTCAGATCAGATGCATACAGGTTCATTGGTGGTTTTGGGTAGCATATAAAATGGCAATATTTGCAGTGTAAACACTGTGACCCTTGGTTCCTATCACCACTATTATAAAGAAATATGAATTAGTAATCTTTTCTTCAATGTGCCATCTCACATCAAACCTCCCTGAATGAATTTGTTTACATCCCAAAGATTGAATTATGCAGAATTTTGAAAAATCAGTGAAATTCCCCTTTAAGGTTTCTATTTGTCTATTCATCATGAAATTTTCACACAACATAAATGGCAGTCAGTGTTTTCAAATGGTGTAAAAAATAAAAACAGAGGGAAAAAAGGTTTTAATATGACAGCGACCACACATAAGTAAGATGACCCCAAAACTGTTTTTATTTTTTATTGCTATTCACTGTTCCTGAATTGTTAGCGCCATTTACAAGTTGCATGGGCTTTAAACTCCAAAGGCCTGTGTATCAAAATGCAAACACTAAATAAAGCACATGCAAAACAAAAGAAAGTATGGCTACCAGCCTGAGCAGTTGTTTGCTCATTATAAGCACACAAATGTCGAAGCTCATGCAATATTGGTATAAGAGAGGCACTCTGTTGACTCAGATTAGGAACTGACTTGGACTAAATGACATAGCCAATGGGAATTTCCCACTAAAAGCCTTTCTAGTCCAAGAGTAAGCACACATGGTGTCTGGAAAAAACACCATTTTAGGATTTTTCGATGTGTGAAGCATGCTTTTACTGGCTCCACCGCCACTGTGACAGTATGTATCATTCAGTACATATAGGAGTTGAGTACATCCACTTACTTGTTTGCTGTCATACAGAGCGTGACTGCTTAAGGACATGCCCTTCTCCTGCCCCGCCCAGCGCCTCAGCTCCCTCTCAAACAGCTGTGTGAGAAAGCCGTTTCAATGGGTTTAGTGGGTTCCCTTCAAAGGAACAGAGTGGTGAAATATCTATTTTTCTATTTTCTTCTTCGCCTTGACTGACTGTAAACGTAGTTCATTAGTCAAGACATGTTTAGTGTCTTGGAAGTTGGAAGTTTGGTTCTTTAGTGTTGACTAATGAAAACAAGTAATGTAAGCTCCCAGGCAGCAAGAGGACAGAAGGCCTGTCTGATCCCAATTAATGAGTAACTTATCATTCACAATTCAAATATCATTAAACAATGACGATACCCCTTACCTTGGATCCTGTCCAACCAAGCGTAGCAAAAGCAAACTGACTGAATGGACTGACTACGAGGTCCACTCGAACCGCTCTCCAGGAAGGGCCTGGCTGTTCTGTTGTCCCGTTGATACCTTCTGTAGTACCGGAGTCATAGGAAGCGTTCAAAGGTGTTCCACTTCCTTCTTTACTTTGTTCAAGTTTAAAAATAGAGAAACATCTCTCAAATCGGTCCATGTTATGAGGAGGTCGAGCAGGCCCGTCTTTGCTCTCCAAGTAAGAATTCCTAGTTGTGTTCTGATACAACAGCAGACCCTGTAAATAAAACATAGTAAACAGGGAAATGGTCATATTAACTGCCTTAAATAAAACACTGAACATCTTATCCAGTTAATTGCAGTATTTAAATGTTCCATACTGTGGTACAGAACATTTAAGACCGTTGGAAGAAAAATAAAAGCCTGCTATAAATTCAATTTTACACAGTTCTCCCCTTAACCCAAAAGTAGTTGATCAGCAAAGGCATTCTTGAGGTCTAAATTTGGCTTTTTTAGGTTTGAACTGAAGCCACGAGGCTAATGTAGCTAAGTGATGAAAGCCTCTACCCCACCAATAAGCACTGAGTAAACTGTATGACACTGTATGATATACTGTTGTCTATATAAACGGACAAAATATGGTGCACAGCTAAAAACAGAAAAAAACGGCCATATGCAACCCTTTTGTCCATACTTTTGACCATTTTTACAGATAACAGTATGTCATAGAGTGTCTTAATCCTTTAAAATCCAGGCTTATTATATACTAAGGCTTATTATCCAGTAACTACAGGTACTTCAGTGCAACCTGCCTGCTGGTTGGCCCTGGCCATTTAAGGGGTTAAACCACATAGGCATACGTCTATTGGCGATTACTTAAAAATTCAATGCAGTGTAGAGGGCAATTCCACCGATTTTTCGAAATGTCTGCATAATTAAATGGTTAAGATGTAAACAAAGTCGTTCAGAGTGGTTTAATGTGAAATGTTTCATTCTAGAGAAACTTACAGAGTCAGAACTGTTCACAATGGTGGTGATAGGAACCAGACGTCTGAAGCAGTTAATGACTCTAAAAGCTCCCTCACAGAAAGTTATAACATGAAATAGTTATAAATGTGCTGCCTGATGCCTGAGACATTGTTGTGTGGTAGCTTTGAGAAAAGGTGTTGGTCTAACACATTTTTCAAGATGCCTTCATGGCGGAGAGGTAAACGCTGGGTGTTACAGATTTACCACTATTTTATCATCGTTAACATTTCATATGAAAACCCAGAAGACATGGGTAGGTTCACTGGTGGTTTTGGATAGTAAATAAAATGGCTTTATACTTGTTGTAGACATAGCAACCTCTGGTTCCTATCACCACCACTGTAAAGAAATCAGAGACTGTAAGAGTTTTGTCAGAATTACTTTTTTCATGTCTGAACAACTGAATGACTCAGAAAGTTTTAAGGCAAGTGTGTAATGATGTAGACATGTGGTTTACACACAGCTAATTGGTTGGGCATAAGCTTTTATTACATTAGCCTTGTAGCTCCGGTGCAGAACTAAAGAAGCAAATTTCAGCCACATGTCTTTGCTTCTCCTACATTTTGGAGGAAGGGGAACATTGTGTAAATTTGTCTTTTTGCTAGAATGTGGCTTCAGATATCATCACTGGCTACCTGTTCCTCCAGCCAATTCAGAACTTTGGGCATCAGCCCCTCCTCTGCTCCCTCCTCTGGGTGAGTGATGAGGAAGTCCACGTCATGCCCAACTTCCTTACCTCTAAAGAGAGATACGAAATAAGCTATTATACAACAGTTAGTTCCGGCCGTGCCAGCTGATTGGTTGAGAAGTGTTCTAACTGTGCTGTTATTTCGCCATAACATCACGGTATTTTCACAAACACTGTATCACCCCACTGAGATGCTGTTGCTAAGCAACGACTTTGACAGCTGTAGGAGACGCTCAAGCTATTTGAAGGTTTTTATTTCTCACTTTGTGCAAAAACAGAAAATGGATACTTTTAAGATCACATTTGACCGACAGCCGATTTGGTCAGACTCTGAAGATGAGACGACACTAAATTCCCAAGCTGTCATCACCACTGAGCAGCTTTTCAGTCGGCAGCTGAGACAGAAGAACAGCTGAACAACCTGGAATCAGCCAGAAATGAACCCAACACCATTCGCCAAACTAAACGGGCTGTAAGATGCTTTATAGACTGGCTGGAACAAAACAACATTAATACTGATCTGGCAAAAACTGACAAAACTGAGCTAAACTTGATATTGTGACTATGATATTTATGGCTCAGTCTGTACGTCAAAAGACAGTGCAGCGAGTAAGCAGAGCTCGTTACTCTGACGAAGCAATAAGCTGCTTGTTAAGGAACTATAATTTGGCGGAAGGACATACCATCGGAATAACATCGCGATTGTGATGATCTACCGCACGAGCCGAACAATCATAGCCTTGATGTTATTTCATGATAACACACTCCTTCTCGTGTTCTATTGCTTAAACATACCTCCTGAATCCTCCCATGAGTGTAATGATGGCTCCAGGCAGCACAGCATTCACTGCCTTCTCCACTATATGACTGATGGCCACAGCCTCCTTTTTAGTTACCGGTCTGTTCAGGTCATTATAATACTGCACTCCTAACAGAGAGAAAGTTCAGTACTCACATCAGGCTTTTCTGTATTAGAAATGCATCAGTATATTCAATGACAAACAGAAAGGAAGACTGGAAGGTTAAAGTGAAAGCTCAAATGTACGTCTTTCTCCTTAACTTAACTTAATCCATCAGTCAAAACATGCTTGGTGTCCAAAGTTAGCTTCTTTGGTTTTAAACTGGAGCTTCGAGGCTAATGTAGCTAACAAGTAATGGAAGCTTGGGATTATCAATTAGCACTGTGCAAACTGCTTTCCTAAACCATTACAACTTTGACTCAACCAGGCCTTTGCGGTAAGAGAGTCTTCTTATTCAAGTAACCATGTGGAAAATAACCATTGCTCTGAGATGCTAATTTTTCATCATGATTTGAGGTGGACAGTAGCCTACAGGTAGGAAAGGTGAGCAACCGGAAGGTCGTGGGTTCATAACCCAAGACTGACTGACTACCTCAATGTGGCCTTGGGCAAAGGGCTTAACCCCCCCAGCTACAAGTGGTGCTGCTCCAGACTAGGCATAGTTAGGCAGCAAAATGACGTACGTACTAAAACATGCCCAGTGCAAGCAGCTGTTTATTACTGCTGACTAGAACCAAAGATTATATATAAGGCAAACCAAGACAGCGCTTCTTTATTCAGGACAATGGGGTGAAAAGAGGTACAGTTCCTGTCTACTTATGTCTTGCATCAACCATTTCACCATGTTTCCCAGGGCAACAGCAGCACCGTGCACAGAAAGCCTGAACAAACCCAAAACATTTAGGCTCTAAGACCCTAGCCCTCACAAAAATGGCCATAAGTTCATTGCCATCTTAGAGGGGGTAAATATACTCGCTAAAGTTTAGTGAAATGGGCAAAATCTGCTGCTGGTGTGAGTCTTGAGTCTCTGCTGTCTGCTTAAGCCCCCTCTTGCTCGGCCAAAACCACTTGACCATATTCCCGAAAATATTTTGACATGCCGGCTCTGGCTTGATGAATCCTCTCTGCTAGAACTAAGTTGGAAAAACAAAACTTTCTCCTCATGTTTCCCATCCAATGATTAAAAAAATGTTGCACAGAAGTGTGTATACACGTATGTGCATGAATGCAACTGACCATATCACGATAGTTGTGGCCAGCTTTGTGTGCTAAAGATATCAGACACTTTATTTCTGTGGGGAGACGGAGCATCTGATGCTGAAACTAACCGTCACTGGGCTCAGGCCAAGCCTCAACCATCAAAAGATGCTGCATAATTTGCTTATTTTGTCTTGGAGCTAATGTGACAAGCAATGAAGTTTATGACTACCAGTCAGCATTGTCCAAGATGCATGCCTAAATCCTTACATTTGCCCCCAAAAACCGTTTAATTCAAGCTTTAAGATAATGTGACCCACTTGAGACAATTTATATCCACAGTTTTGTGAGACACTCTTTGACCGACAACTTGGCGTGTTTGGGGACAAGCGTGATGACATTTTGCATGATGATAACTGGTTTTCATAAGCTTTTATTACTTCTTAGGTACATTATTTTTATAGCTTCAATGCAAAACTAAAGAAGCTAACTTCCGAGACCAAACATATCTTGACTGACTCACTACATTTGGGGTGCAAACAAATTTTTCACCAAACTGCCTCTTTCATTGTATTCTTCACATAAAACATGTACAGAAGGATTCAGTCAATCCTGTACCTGCCTGCTGTGCTTGGTTCAGTTTTTGCCCAGTGCGTATCAGATCTAATGGACTTCGTAGGCCCTCCCTAAACCAGCGGTCAGCACTCTTTACTCCCACTCCAAAAACACCTGTTAAAGCCTGGAAGAAGGAAATAAAAGGATAAGAACTTTAGAAAAACATTGAAAGAGAGCCAGGTATGGTGCTATCAACTCAACTGCTATTGTATACCTCACCTTCATGGCCTGATATTGTTCAGACTGTCTTGTTGACTCCACTTCCCTTGATGTGCCGTCCTCTAAAATCTCCTGAAAGAGTGAGATGCTTATATCAACCATCTGCAGTCGGTTCACAGAACAGCTTAAAATGAACCACAGCCTAAATCTGGATTATCTCTTACCTTTATAACTCTGAGCGAATGCTCGCCCAAGCAAGGTAAGTTCTTCAGGTTGTCCATCCCACGCACAACATGAGGAAGAGCCTTCAAGACAGACGCTGACCGTCGAAATGCTACACTCCTGCCCTCGTTCTCACTGAACTCTGCGTTTTCTGCTAAAATCTCCAGAGCGTCCTGCAGGACAAAATGGAGTAGCGTCAAGTTGGTTGTTTTGTACCATTTTCATTTTGCACCATTTATTTAAGGAGCATTTTTTGTCCTCGCTAAGATTCAGGATCATTTTGTACACAAATAGTCAAAATTTCATCAAGTTAAAGGGGAATTACAGCCTAAAACTAGAGTTATGGGACTCCCGAATGGCACAACCGTCTAAGCGTTGGCCCTGTTATGAGGAGATCGCAAGTTCGATCCCGGATGATGCTACAGCCATCTGTGGCCGGCAGTCCAAGAGAGCACATTTGGCCTCGATCTCTTTTACCTACAGTAGTGAGAAAACCTTTTAGAAGGTTTTCTCACTACTGTACCCAGAATGTATTATACAAATACATCATACAACCAATGGGTATCCCTGGGGTGTCAACCAATCCTGACTGCTAAGCTGATGTATAGGCAAATAGATGCACCCAGGCTAGCATTAGCGTAGCTCTTACCTCAGTTCTTGAAAAAAATCTTAGAGAAAACAGCACTTCTATCATCATTCAGCACAAAATGACAAGTCACTCACTTCAGAGACAAGTTTTTTTACGCTTTCAGCCAGAGAAGCCAAACTGAGGTGAGGTATCTAGGCAGACTTTGGCTTTTAGCTTGTTATTCTCCTTATCTTATAAGTTACTTAAGTAATCCATTCTGTCCCTTGTAATGGTGATTTGAAGACAGTTACCACAATTATGCAGTTGTAATAGGATCTTCTATGATATAGATATACTTCGAGCAAATCTTTGCACTGTTGCGCACTTATTAGGCCTCATTCATGAAACCTTCCTAAATATACAAGCAATCTAGAAGTAAACTGTGAGTAAAAATCAATGCCCAAGGGCCCCAAAATATTGCTCAATAAATGAACAAACAAACAAAAACACAAATAAATAAATGAATTAATAATTTAAGTTAATATAAAGCCTTTTGAAACATTCAGTTTGCTTTAAATCAAATATCTTTTTATCTATAGATTACACATAAGATAATTCACTTGCGTAAGGAAGGGGTAAGTCAAAGGGAAAAAAGTGGAGTTTCCAAAATTGGAGCTCAAAAAATGATTAAATGATATAGACAAAATGGGACTCCTAACAACCATGCAAGACCTGGTAGACCAACAAAACTGTCACCAATTGATAAACAGTACTTAGAGCTTTCATCTTTGAGAGATATCAGAAGACAACTCGACGCTATGAGTCTTATAGGTTGTGTAGCTGTCAAGACGCAAGTTAGCAAATCAAACAAGGAAGCTGCTGGTGCTCTCAGACGAATGAACTGTCCACCCCAGAGTCCAGACCTTAACAATGAATGTGTGTGCGATCACCTGGACTGTGAGAAGCAGAAACTGAAACCAATTTCTAAGACTGAACTCTGAAGGTGTGGAATAATCCCTGCAGATTTCTTTGACAAACTGAAAGTAAGTCTCCCAAAAAGTGGAAAAAATGGAAGCTGCTTTTTGTGACACCTAAAAAAATGTAATAGCTTGTCCTAAATGTCTATTTTGACTGGAAATGAAATAAATATAAGTGTGGGCTCTGACTGAGCAGCACAAACATAAATGTACACGGTTGGGCTGATAAATTTCTCACTGATCTTGATTTACTGCTTATTTTTTCCACTCAGATAAGCAGACACACCAATTTAAGACAAGTACAGAAGTAACAAAAGAAAGTGAGGGAAGTAAAATGACTCACTGTCAGGTGTGTGTTGTGATGTTTCAGAGGAGTTCTTCTTTGACAGGCGTAACTCTTCACTGTGGTTGCGGGAGTGTCTGGAGAGGGCTCTGGGCTGGTCTGTCAGACAAATTAAAGGGCTTTTAGTCCTCGTTCCTCCTCCTGTGTCTGAAGTTTCAGCTCAATAGTGTTAAAGATACGCACTAAAGGTAAGAACTGCCCATTACCTTCAACCTGTGTCTGTACTGAATTGCTAGAGGCCTTCCTTCAGCCATGCTCTCAGTCAACCAACTGATGTCCAACAGATTGATAGAGTCCGTCGAGACTTCTCCCTCTGTGTGGTTATTAAGCCAGGCCAGGACCTCATCTCCGGTGTTACTTTCTGACACAACATGAGTGGCGGAAAGGCTGAAAAAGCACAATTCTTTAGCTGTTGTTCCAGGAATGGACCTTCTATGAAGCATCACTCTAGTATAGAACCCTCAGCCGTAACATTAAAACCACCTCCTTGTTTCTACATTCACTGTCCATTTGATCAGCTCCACTGACCAAATAGGAGCATTTTGTAATTCAAATAATTACAGACTGTAGTCCATCTGTTTCTTTGTATACTTTGTTAGCCCCCTTTTACCCTGTTCTTCAGTGGTCAGAACCCCCACAGGACCATAACAGAGCAAATATTAATTGAGTGATGGATCGTTCTCAGCACTGCACTGACGTGATACTGACGCGGTGGTGGCATGCTACTGTTGTTGCGCCGGCAGTGCTGCTGGAGTTTTTAAACCAACAACATCCTGGAACCACTGATGATGGACAAGAGAATGACCAACACAAACTGTGCCGCAGCAGATGAGCTACTGTCTCTGAGTTTACATCTACAAGGTGGACCAACAAGGTAGGTGTATTTAATAGAGTGGACAGTGAGTGGACACTGAGTGTTTAAAAACTCCAGCAGCACTGCTGTGTCTGATCCACTTGTACCAGCGCAACACACACTAAACATGCCACCACCACGTCAGTGTCACTGCAGTGCTGAGAATGATCCATCACCCAAACAGTACCTGCTTTGTGGTGGTCCTAATCATTGAAGAACAGGGTAAAAGGGGGCAAACAAAGTATACAGAGACACAGGTGAACTAGTCTGTAAATGGACAAAGAGTGTAGAAACAAGGAGGTAGTTTTAATGTTAATGTTACGGCTGATCTTAATGAAGTGAAGCTCCAGGTCCTACCTGTAGGACTCTTCAATCTGAAACCCTTTGCTCCTTGCAAGCCGGGAAAGGAAAGCCTTTCTGGAGGCACCCATCTTCCTCTCCACGATGAAAATAGCAACCTCGGGAAATTTACAGACTTTACTGTCTTGATCTGCATCTTGGACTGATGTTACTTTCCTGCGTTTCAGGGGAACCATAGTCTGTGCTGCACGACACTTCACAGCCAGCTAGCTAGCATAACTGTCAGATATAAATAGATTATAATCGTAATAAAAAGATATTCTCTGTGCCTCGGAGGAAAATATTAAAATGCAGAATGTGTACAAGTGGCCACCTCAGACTGACGGTTCACACATCGCCCCTGTACAAATCAAGCTTGTGCTGTAGCAACAACTTGTCTGTAACGGGCTGTATCTCAAACCGCTTGCTGCTCCCTATATAGGGCACTGTAGAGAGGGAGAGTGCAGACTTGCGTCATCTGCTCCGAAAGGCTGGAACTTTTGTGAAACTGCCATTTTGCTATTATACTAGCACACTATGTTCCTACTGTACGAATGTGTAATGCGCAGCACCTCTAACTCATTGTATTTAGTATTTTAGAAAGACTAGCTTGTATTGAAGTAGTTGTAACCATTTAACATTAAGTCAGATTCCAAAATGTACGAAACACTAGAAGATTCAAACCTATAATTAAAACAGCAAGAGGAATGGAGTCCTTACTGCAACGAGTGTAAGATTTAGGAAGAGCCTTTTCCCTAAAAGTGAGACGTATGCTTAACAATAAATGATCAAAACAAGATGCTCGATTTTATTTATTACAAAATAACATGTATATCGTTGTCTTGCTAGTTGTTTCTGTTGTATCCATTGCAGTTGCACTGGTAGGCAAAAAAAAAGCATTTCATTTTTTTAAACAGATGTAGCCCACCCAACATTTGTAGTACCATTATTATCCTTTGTTTATGCTGTAATGTATTTATACTCAGATATATATTTTGCAGAATAAAACATTAGATGTTCAGAAAGTCATTAGGCTTATGGACATTATAACTGAGCCGTTATAATACCGTCCAAAATATTCCACGCTCACTTGAATGCTGTATTGAGTAAGCAAGGAAATGGTGTGTAGTATTTATAGTATTTAGAACTCATCGCGAGAAACAGAATAGTGCACTACTACACAGAATAAAGAGCGAGTTGGAACAGAGCCACTTTCACGCACAAGCGCAGTGAAATGACATCAGAGCGTTTCCAAGGTGTGCACCAGTCAAAATAGTTCCGACTGAGTCGTGCGCGCATGAACAGGGGTTTGTGTAGTTCCTTCAAGGCTGGCTTGTTTCTCGAACTGGGAAAACGAGTGAATTTATTTACTCTGTTACAATGAATGTTTTATAAGGTAGTTAGGAAATACAAGATTAACGTCATTCAGGTACGTTAGTTTCCACAAAGAGCTCCACTGTCATGTTGCTACCGCAGCTGATTGAGTCACACCGTGAGAACATGTTTCAGTTTTTCTTCAGAAACCGAGCTGGCTTCATAATTCGCCAGTACTGTGATATGCGAACACACACACACACCACACCGCTTTCGAAATACTAGTTTGACCCAAACTCCTTAGTCAGCAGTCACTAAATTCTCACTATATTAAACTTTGTTTAATTCACTTCTCACAGGTCTGCTGTTCTAACTTTAAACGAACCGTGTTTACAGCTGAATTAACCAGCATGCTAGTTCTGTTTAGCTTTCCTCTGACATAAAACTGTCCACCAGTGAGGGGACTGCGTCCCAGTACTTTAATGACGCTTAGTACAGAAAGATTAGTGCGCCCAAAACAGTAATATAATTACTAATATTAAACCTGTACATAATATATAATATTAATTTTACCAGAAGCTCCTACTTCTGCTATTTCTCTTTCACTTTCCTCTGAAATAACTGGCATGACTGAAAAAGAAACCACTGTCACGTTCAGGCTGTGAATTAGTGAAGAAGACTGACGGTACTGACTGACCACGTTAAGAGATGTTTTTGTGTTTGTGTGCTCCGCTGATATCAGTACCAGTTTATTATTATTGATTAGCTCCGGTCATATCGTTAAAAAAAGAAAGGAATAAACTGGAAATGCTGAAATTGGTTTCCTATTCGCCAGCTTCATGTTCGAACATTCCCGTTCCACCTTAAATGCCTGAGGCGCCAGAATGTAACTGCTGCGCCATTTAAGGTGGGACGGGAAAATCCGAATAAGAAGCTGACTTCAGTTTTATTGCTCGCTGTATGTTTTAGTGCTGTTTAACTCAGTTTTTCGCTAAGCAGGTTAAAGTCCCACTTCAAAACGCGCAGTCATATGACCGTGGAGTTGCACTTCCTCAAACTCCAGTCACACCAGCACGCCGTGACTGCGGTCTGCTTCAGGTTTCAGCTTTCAGGTCATTTTTTCTTCTTCTTCTTTCTGAAACTGTCCTGTCCAGGCAGACTGCTGTCCGCGGGTGTGAAGGCTCATGGCTGCTCCTCGGAGAGTGAAGGAGGCTGCTGGCTGCCTGCTGCTGCTCGCTGTGCTCACCTGCAGCCTCAGGTGTGGAGAATGCCTCAAAAGCAGCAACATTGTCCTCATCCTCACCGACGACCTGGACGTGGACCTTGGTGGGCTGGTGAGTGGAACAGAAATGAGAATGGAGGACCTGTCAAGAAACCAGTCCATGCGTCTTTGAGTGTGTTTCTCATCAGTTTAACTGAAGGACTTGTTTGACATCTGTTAATAATACAAATATGAATAGTGACCTTGGTGGATAGTTATGAATTTGTTTCCTAAACAAAAAAGTTTCATTGAAAACATGCAGGCCTGGTTTCTCAGACAGGAATTAAGCCTAGTCCTGATGGTCGTCTTCCACTGAATGGAAAACATAAACCAGGACTAGGATTAAAGGGGAACTCCACTGATTTTTCAGAGGTTCTACATAATTAAATTGTAGAGGTTTAACAGTCATTCAGAGTGGTTTGATATTAAATGCTCTGTTCTAGAGAAACTTGCAGAGGCAGAGTTGTTCACAGAGGTGGTGATAGGAACCGAACGTCTGAAGAGTTTAATGCCTCTGAAAGCTCTCTCACAGAAAGTTATTACATGAAATGGTTATATATACGTTGGCTAATGTCTGAAACATTGTTTATGTCTGAACATGTATTTTGATTTTAATTGAGTCATGGTGGAGGGGTACATGCAGGGCATTGTTAGGCAAAATAGTCCACAAAGAATTTTTTTTTCCGAGTTACCTATTTTACCATCATGAACATTGCATATAAAAACTCAGAATATGCGTGTAGATTCACTGGTCATTTTGGATAGTAAATAAAATGGCTTATTTGTGTTGTAGACATGGTGACCCCTGGTTCCTATCACCACCACTGTAAACAAATCTGAGTCTGTAAGTTTCTCTGTAATGAATAATTTCTCATCAAACCACTCTGAATGACTCTGTTTACATCTCAAGGAGTGAATTATTCAGAAATTTTGAAAAATTCGTAGAATTCCCCTTTAATCTTCAAATAGGAAACTGCCCCTTAGTACGTCAAGACAGTGAGGGGTTACTTTGATAACTCTGAATAAAAGTCTGAATAAAACCTCCAATTTTGTTGTTAATGGGTTAAAAACTGCAAATTCTTATTTACATTTTGTCAACATTTCATGCTAAAATAAAAAAATAAAATAACTTGTGTTAATCTTTTAACTGTCACCCCATTTTTGGGGGCAGTTTTTTCCCAATCATCAGAATAATTGTATGAATTACTGACTCAGAGTAACAGAGGATAGAAGTTTATTTCGGCCTGACTCATAGTTCTCTAAACTGATCTCTGACTCTTGCTGTATTATTAAGACCATGTTTTGCATTATGATGTCTCTGGAGATAAGGCCAGGCTTTGAAGGTGAGGAGATTTGCTGGCGTTTGCTCATTCGGTGCCTATGTTACAAATGAGTCGTTGTAACTGCTATAAATAACAGATTATAAAATGGTTTGCGGGAATCGAATCTTGAGGCTTTCTAATGGTATCAACATATTGCTGCATGGTCTGTTGCATAAAAATGATGTATAAATAAACAGAAGTGAACGCTTCAATGGACGTGTGCCAGTAAAATTTATAATTAAATGTTAAAATTTACAATTAAATGTTAATATTTATGATTTTTTTCCTTATTCTGTAAACTTACCAGTTTTGGAGCTGCAGGGTTTGGTTCCAACAGCGACAATAACATTTATACTATATTGACAAACTTTTTTTTTTTCATATTTTCATATGTTACTTGATGTTGTGGAATGTAAAAAATTGAGTATATTTTCTAACTTTTGACTGGAACAGTGTAATGGAAGGCCGTGTGGCCAGTTTGTCTCTCTTTTGAGTCATAGCCTTACCTCAGTCTGGTCAGGTGCTTGACAAGAGGTCATTCTTTCCAAAGAGCATGGTTTCCATTGCATTTTTCAGCCTGTAGAGCTTGAACAACTTTAGATTTGATTGTGGAACTGAATCAAAAGAACTGAGTGTCTGAAGCTCTGAAGCAAGGGTGTCAAACTCAACCTCTAAAGGGGCCATATTAAAAAAATCTCAACAAATCTGCAGGCCAGAGGAAAAATGTTTTTATTTAATTTTGAATTAATATCGTGCTATAACCCAATGTGGCCATTGTTCATTCAAAATACACAAAACTTCAGCAGTATAATATAGACACTTGTAGTAAACCTTGAAATATTACATGAATACTTGAAATATTCGTAATTTAAATGCCCCCATGAGCTCAGTCTTTTAAACCTAGCTATTTGCTTGAACTTGACCCCTGTCATCCTTTCTTTGCTACAAGTTCATTGATACTTGGGCTCAACTTCTGAGCTGCTGAGCTAAAGTTAGAAGTTTATGTTGGTTGAACTGCAGCTGAAATGCAGCTTGTGTGTTTGGTGATATGACAGGTGTGAAATTGTGAAGGATTGAGGTCTAACCACTGTCCCTTAGACTGATGTCTAGAGTCAGAAAAGAGTCAGAGTGCACATTACGTTGCAGTGCATGCTACTGTGAAATGGACTAATATTGATAGAAAATTAAAATACTTTTGCGGGCTGGATAGGATTGTGTCGTGGGCCTGATCTGGCCTGCGGGCCTTGCGTTTGACACATTGACTCTAAAGCGTAGCTGCTGATCCAGGAATTTATAATGAAATGACCATGTTGTCAACCCAGTGTATATAGACATACAGTAAAACAATATTGCTTTGAATTTTCTTGATTCAAGTGCGTACATTGGTTCCACAAGAGTGAAATGTATGACATCAAAACACTTACTGTCTTTCATTTTACGTACAGTCTTAAAAAGTGTTATTTCAAGGTAAAGACAATGGTTATATAGAACCATGAATGCTCCATTTGAAGCTTTTGAATTTTGAACTTTGCCTGGTTAAATTGTTATATGATGGAAACCTGTTGAATATGGTTCTTCAGAGAACCTTTCTCAAAAATGGTTCTGTACAGCACCAAAAAGGGTTCCACTATTGTAATTGTCTCAATGTCAAGCTTGTAACAATAGAAGAACCATTTTTGCTATATAGAACCATTTTCTGAATAGAAGAAAGCATGCAAATGGTTCTGCATAGGACTCATGGTTCTAAACAGAACCATTGCCTTTACTAAAGAACTCTTAAAGAACCATGGCACCGAATGGGCACATTTCAGCACAAAATGCTGGATTGCATATCAAAGGAAAATAAAACAATGAATCTGATCAAGGGCTGAAAGAGTATTTAAAGGGAGCTCAGTCAAAATTTGGTGAAGGACGTGTTTTCAGAGGATGAAAGTGAAAGATCTGCTATGTTATCATATCTTCATCAGTATAATGTTGATTTTGCATTTGAGACCTAAACATTGTGCCAGACCTTCTTTTGGAGCCTGTGCGTGTGATGTTAATATGTAAAGACATAAGATGTGGTCAGAAAAACTTCTGACCCCACACACCATATTTTATCCTGTTTTTTTTTCTCTTGGTTCTGCTACTTCTTTCATTGATTACCAAAAAGCCTTACATAGTGCAGCTTTAAAGCTTTCCAGAATAAATATTGGGTCAGTTTCGGTATTTGCAGATGCTCAGAGTTTCACAGTGTTTGTATCAGAACAGAAAAATTGGTATCATGCTGTTTCTCTTCTGTAATCTCCCTACAGACGCCTATGAAGAAGACCAAAGCTCTCATTGGTGATGTTGGTGTCACTTTCTCTAATGCGGTGAGTGAAATTGTGGTGAGAGTTTGGCAGCTTCTTTGGAAACGCTAGAGGTTCCTGAAAACAGATCAGCCAAAAGTTTTTGCTCTCAGTTTCTATTGCATGAAAACTAACGAGCGGATCTTCTTCTTCCAGTACACAGCGACGCCCCTGTGCTGTCCCAGTCGGAGCAGCATCCTCTCAGGGAAATATCCACACAACCACATGGTCCGAAACAACTCCCTGTCAGGCAACTGCAGCAGCAAAGCCTGGCAGACTGGGCCTGAGAGCCAAGCCTTCCCCATCTACCTCAGCAAGAAACTTTATCAGACCTTCTATGGAGGGAAGTACCTAAATCAGGTCTGTCTTTATTTATTTTTAAATCCTCTGCCTTTGTGGGCATGCAAATTTCAGTGGCGGTGTTGTTATTCATAAGTATTATTGTAATATCTCTGTGAAATTCATGTCTCTGGCCATATTAAGCACGAGATCATCATATTATGTAATATATTTTAGGGTTGAGCCAATAGACAGTGTCATCGTAATTCGTCAATGGCTGATAGACGTCACGATCTTGAGCCAACATCGTGATTTCACACCCACGCAGTTCCAAACTGACAGCGGTTTGCACTCTGCCTCCTATCAGAGCACATGAGTGGAGTGGAGCGGCAGACGTTTCTGCTTCACGCTCAGATAGTTCCTGTAATTGCTCTTTGCTCCAGCGCCGCTCCGGATTTTCTACGTCTTGCTCTTCGTTCGGCCTTCGCTCACTCGTTACAGAATATATGATATTTCTTTTGTGTCCTGAATGTATGGACAAGACACAACACACTATATTCCATTAATTAAATAATTTATACACAGGTGTTTTCGGAAGGTTTAGGTTTGAAGCAACAGCCCAGTCTAGCAAACTGCTGAGGGTAAATAAATGTACGTGCTTGTATCGCGCTCTCATCAGTCTTGCAGCAATATGGACGACACTGTGTAATGTCTCTAGAACTTTGTTGCACTCTGCTTCCACTCACATGCTCAGTGTCTCTACTATATTGTAGAAAAATATATTTATTACTCATTACATACGTGGAGATCCGAACTGATGAAAATGTAGGCGGCCAAGAGACTCCACAATTGGTCGTAAAAGTGGTGTTTCGCTTTATTTCTTCAAACCTTGGTGGCTTTCGTTTTGATATGTAGTCTGATCAATGTAATTATTATTATTTGATGATTCGGATGTTTATTGCTGAAAATATCATTTAGTAACCTCAGTTCAAAATGCCCATTATAATTTAGCATGTTAGGTTAATGTGACTCAGTGTGAAGTAGTCTAATGGCTGATATCCAGCTAGCTAGCCTGCTAATGTAAATCATTCATTATGATAAATAGCTAAATATAAATGTATCTCATGTAAAAGTAACTAGACAATGAACGTTTGACAGTGTAGCTCACGTGATAAGAGAGGTAGTGTAGTATTTCTGATGCAGTAGTGGTTGTTTTGACAAGCGTTTTGACAGTTTGTACTTTCTGCCTCGTTGGAAAGCTTGTTTGGATTCCTGTGGGTTGTGTCTTGAAATGAATTATTTACTTTTAGGAGGTTCTTTTCTGTGTTGGTTTTAGTTTAATTTTTAGAAAATGTCTATATCTCTTAGTATCTCAGCTTTCGGTATCATACATAGTTTGTCATACATTCAGTGATGTTTTAATCAAAGAGCCAGATTTTGTTCCATTTCCAGACTGTTTTTAAATGTTCTTGCTTTCTACAGAAATGGTGTAATCTGTATTTAAGAAAAAACAAGGATAAATAGGTTTAAGAAGGTTTAAGCTGTTTTTGTATGGGGGATCTCTGGTGTTTAATCAAAGCATTCATGATTTATAAAGTCTGTAATGGAAATGCCTAGGCTGAAAAAAGATTATTAGATTTATTTGCAGTAATCAGTCATCGTACTGTTGTAGGCAGCATGCAGAACTTGTTCTTTCCTTGTAAGAAAAATCGGTGAAGCTTTCAGCTTTTGAAATGTCCTATCATTTTAATGTAGGAAATGCACTAGATTTAATCATTTATTGGTTGATTATTAGTAGAAGGTCCCTTTTTAAGGTGTATTTCAATGTGGAAGTGCACCACAAACAGGCATTTTAGGATGTGTTTTTGCAAACTGCACAGTCAATTCCAAAACGCCTAACATGCAGATCCATGATTCATCAATGTTGTGTAAAAATGAGTGCAGACATTCAAACTCCTCCACTTCTGATTCATGGAGGAGCCTTAGAGTTTTTTGCTTTGTTTTTTTAACTCATTATTCATTCTCATTTTTGAGTATGAATAATGAGTTAATTGATGAATCATGGATTTGTATATATGGCATTTTGGAATTGACTACACAGTGTAATAAGAATATTTGTCGGATATTTTCCACCAAGCAATTCTTAACTGCCATTTCCTAACCTGTTTAATGAGACCTCTTGTTTGGTTTATTCCTGATTTTCAGACATGCAGTGATTTATAAAGCATTCTACTGTCTTTTCAGTATGGGTCGAAGGAGGCTGGAGGTGTGACGTACGTTCCTCCTGGCTGGGACCAGTGGCATGCTCTGGTGGGTCATGCGCTCAGTCATCAACTTATCACACTGATTTGTACTGCTTGACCGTGAACAGCTCTTTCTCTGTTCACTTGTAGCTCTAAGAGCTCAAACTTGCTCTCTTAAGCTAAACCAGTTAAATTATATGACCCACTTTCTCTGTCTTAAAAGCAGCATTATTAACTTTAAGACTAGGACAGTCTATATGGTTTGATCATGTGACATAGCTGAGACTCTTTCCTCCTGAAAACTGATTAAACCTCATTTTGAAAGGAATTTCACAGCAACCTCAAGGAGAAATTACTTCTAAAAGACGTATGTCATATATCCTGAGTTGCTAAACTCTTATATAAGCACCACTTTGTTTCTGCAGGTAGGGAACTCCCAGTACTACAACTATACCCTCTCTGTGAATGGAAAAGCAGAGGTTCATGGAGACAACTACGAAAAGGACTACCTCACAGACCTTATTGTAAGTTTCTGATAATTAACTAATCTAAACATACAGTACTATGCAGATGTTTGGGTGCCCCTTGTTAAATTCCATGTTTTATTGATTTTCTAAGTGACGGTAAGTACACATCTTCTACAGAGAACACACTTATGCACATTTTAAAGCGCAGTCACTGTTTATTTGCTGAATTTAACATATAGGGGTAATAATGGCCCTCATTCACCAATATCTTCTGAAGTTTTTCTTAAATTTGTTCTTGAGAATAGTCCTACGTCAGATTCATGACGTTATTAATCACAGAATTATTTGCACCTTTTGAGTTTTGAGTCTGTTCTTACTTAAAAATAAATCCCAAATTAGAAAACACTGCTGAATGTCAGAATATTCGTAAAAAAATCTGTAAATATGTTTTAAAAAAGATATTTCTTCTTAAGAATGCTTGGTGAATGAGGGCCATTGTGCCTTATTCATAAAGCAGTCCTGGCTGAAACATTCCTTATCACTTCAGTGTGAGTAGGGTGGGGCTAAATTGCTGTAGGCTGAATAGGTGGCTATGTGTAAATGTTTTGTTTTCATGACATCACAGAAACATTGCTTTGAAAACAGGCTGGTTCTATATATAGACTGTATGGACTGGGGAGTGAAGGGTATGATTTAAAACTTTCACACATGTTTACATTTGATATCAAACACTTTTATTTCAATACAGTGGTGAAAATTCAGTTTTTCTATGATCTGGTCCCTTTAAATAAAAGGCTGTTCAGATATTTTGACAGGAGTTTGGAAAGGAAAACTGAAAAACTGTTATTTAGGTAAGCCTGCTTTTCACTGCAAGGTAGACATAAATATTAAAATAAAATATTCCTATAGTTTATCAAATCACCATTATTTGTTAAGAAAACTTCTTACTTGAAAAGGAACATCAGACATTACTCAGAAAATTTAAACAGAGGGCACAGTGTTCCCAAACGTTTGATGAGTGCTGTATGTGTGCAAACAGTGCATTTGTCTACAAGGCCGGAGTTGAGCGTTTGGGTTCTCCTCTGAGCATGTGGAAATGCTTAACACTGAAGCGTAACTGCTGATTTAAGAAGCGGTGCCAGGTTTCATATGCATTGAGGAACTATAAGCAGACTCTGGTGGTGCTGTCATGCAATAGCGTGACTTTCTGTACCAGTGATGAATAAATACAAGGAAAAATGCATCATATTTTATTTTGGTAGGCCCCTATAGTTGCTCAACTTGTTTACAGACATTAGGATTAGGACTAGAGTTAAGGCTTATTTAGTATTGGTAATGGATGGCTTGAGTTCTCCACAAGGCCATATGCTGATGGTAAAAGTTAAAGGGTATTTTTAAAAAAATTCAATATAATTCAGTCATTAAGATCTAAACAAAGCCATTCAGAGTGGATTTATGTGAAATGCTCTGTTCTAGAGAAACATACCAATACAGAACTGCTCATAGTGGTAGTAATAAGAAGCAGATGTCTGAAGAGTTTAATGCCTCTAAAAGCTCCCTTACAGAAGAGGTGCATACAGGCTGTTGTAAGACAAAATAGACAAAATTATTATGTTCATTTGTAGATTCACTGATGTTTTTGGATAGTAAATAAAATGGATATTTGTGTTGTAGACATCGAGACCCCCGGTTTCTGTCACCACCACTGTAAAGAAAACTGTTGGTTAGTTTTTCCAAGTGTGAACACACACATCAAACCACTCTGAATGACTTTGCTTACATTTCCAAGACTGAATTCTGCAGATTTTAAATCTGTGAAATTCCATTTTGAGTGAGCTGATACCTAATCAGTTCTGATGGCTCCCATCACTTCCAGATTCTGTTCTTAAGACTGTCAGCAGAAAATCCTATGACAGTCTGTTCTTGCCATATTTTTAAACTTTAGTGTGACATGCTCCAGAAATTTTCAGAAGAAGTTGAGACATTTAATGGGACATAAAGCGATAATAAGGTAGAACGTCTTCTTTGACGTCTCTAAGAACAGTGATCAATTGCTAAAAACAGTGATCATGTGAAAAATGAAGGTGAATACGACTGGCTAGAGAGTATCTGCCTCAAAACAAGCCACCTCAGCATCGTGCTTTGTTTCTCAGATATAAAGTGAATATTAAAGAGAATTAACTTTGGGGGTTGTCTTTTTGGGGGACTCCAAATTCAGTTCATTTATTCATTCAGCAAACAGCATTAATCTTCATTATTTAACACAGTCTTGGAAAACAATGATTGTAAACTCAAACACATTCAGCAGTGTTGAGGTCTAGACTCTGGGGTGGTCAGTTCATTGTTCTGAGAACAGCAACAGCTTCTTTGTTTAATTTGTTTTGTCCGTTTCCTTTTGTCAGTAAGGGCTTCTTGACAGCTACACATCCTGTCAGACTCATAGTGTTGAGTTGTCTTCTCAGTTTTTTTCAAGATCTGAAGCAAGAGTGGAGCTTGATTTTGTCCTCTCTCTAAAAGATTAAAGTACTGTTGATCTGATGTGGTCTTGCATGGTTGTTAGGAGTCCTATTTTATCTATCTTTATTCTTTCCTTGTGTAAGTGGATTATCTGATCTCAGAAATACCTCTTGAAGATCAAGTGCTACCTCAAAAATGTGATTCTGTAATGTGTTATGCTTGATTACAGTAAATATGTTTGGAATGTTGATGTGCTTAAAATTCACTGTCTTGTGCCATTTTAGGAACTTGTCAGCTGTTTTCTTAGCATGCTGCTCCGTGATGTGGTTATGGCGTTGCATGTGATTGATCACTTGCGAAAGTGCTGAACTTTGTTTCCATTTGTAATCTTGCGTGGTCTTGTGTTTCATGGCCTGCTGTGACTTTTCAGAGCCTCTGGGAAACCTTAGTCTTTCTGATGTCTTATTATGTAACCTTATGAGGCTTTACTGACTTCATTTATTCTGTGTTAATGTGATTATTACTGAAGCATCATATTCTTTATTAACCATGTTTTATGGCTATGTAACGATTGAAAAAGAGTCTAAAACTACTAATAGAGGCAGAGCTCTTACTTAACATCATTGACATGAGTTTCCTGTAATTTGAGAATCCAGCTTCAGATTGACTAAATTTTAGGTCTTGAGTTTGCTTTTAACATGCCTCTCAGGTTTTTTAAATCAACTTCATGTCGTTCTTCTTTTGTCCCAGCTGAACAGGTCGCTGGCCTTTCTGGACGAGCGAAGCCCCCAGCATCCCTTCTTTATAATGCTGTGTCCTCCGGCCCCTCACTCCCCCTGGACTGCAGCCCCTCAGTACCAGAAGAGCTTTGGTGATGTAAAGGCTCCACGTGACGGCAGCTTTAACAAACCTGGCAAGGTAGAACTGACGCAAGAACTAGCTGGTGTCGTCTTGCTAGAGGGATGTTGTGTACATTAACAATAATCTGTGGGTTTTGTTCTTTGTTTCAGGGCAAGCATTGGTTGCTGCGTCAGCCTCCGAACCCTATGGCAAACAGCTCCATCGACTATCTCGACGACGCTTTCCGTAAAAGGTACAGAGACCTTTGTATCCGTAATGTACAGTTATTATTGTCATCTTGCTATGTGTTAGATTTAATAATTATTTACATTTATGTACTTAATAAATACCTAGTTATGTAATAATTTGCATTTACATTGTGCATCATTCTGAATGTCAGAGTATCAGCTTTCGACTTGTTTCCCTTTATTTTGGTGTCAAAAGAATGACAAACTTCAAAAGAAAAGACAATCAAAATATTGATAAAGTTTACAATTCAACAGAATTTATCCACATGTTTTAGCGAGCTACGAGTGATATAACTAATATAAAATGACATTATCGCTGGCAGTAAATGCAGTCTGCAGTATTTAATGCAGTGATGCAGCTAGGACCTTAAGGGCCATAGTGTAAATAAATGAATGGGCCTCACATACGAAAACTGCCTTAGATAAACAAAACAGTGAACGTTTGCTTGTTTACTCACAATAGCTAAGTCTCAACCAAACTGGTGCTATAATGTAGGCTAAAGGCTGAAGAATATTATTAAGCTACAATAGCTACCCATGAGTCCGAGGGGCAAAACTGCTTAAGTGGCAGTATAAAGGGTTGATATTGGCCAGTCAAGAATTTCACAATTGTGCTGTGTTTTTTGTGTTATGTATCAGTACAGTGTGTTTGGGGTTATTGTCCTTTTGCGTGACTTTGCATCTCTGCCAGCCCTCAAGCAGTTACTTCTCCTCATACAAGACCAGGCTCAGTGTCTACATAAATGGGGAAATGACTATAATCCTGAAACTGATGGCTAGGCTTATGTTTCAAAACCATGTTTTCATTCACTGCTAAAAACAGACTAAAATTGCATATATAGTTTCTGGTGTTTCAGTCAAATAATGCATAATAAAGCACATAATGAAGTAATGCATCAAATAACATTTAAAAAATGATTTTTTTTTTTAATGGTTGTTTCGGCTATTATGTGTGTGTATGTTCAACAGCATTGTGTACGTGTTAATGCAGTGAGATTAGGATCTTATGAGCTCCAGTGCAAATAAATGAATGGGCCCCACATATGAAAGTTACCTTCTGTGTAATTCGCTTGCTTACTAATGTCTCAATCAAGCTGGTGCTCTAATGTAGGCTAATGGTTGAAAATTCTTATTAAAGGGCCCATATCCTGCTTTTTTCGTAGATTTTATTATTTATTTCCCTGAGGTCTGCTTCTAACATTTGTGTGGTTTTATAAAGCAAAAACACTGATATATGTAAACGATCACAGTTGTGATTGGCTGCCCTGTATTGTGGCGTTTTCAGAAATCAGGCCGGGGTGAAACAATCCTTAAAACTTAAGTGTGAATAGGCTGGGCTAAACTGCTGTAGGCTGAATATGGGGAAATATGTAAATGTGTCAGTTTTTGTGACATCACAGAAACAATGAATTCAAAACTGGCTGTTTTTTCAAAAGCTTTTTCATATATTTACTTTGTTCTGGTTTGCTTGAAGGTGGCAAACTCTTCTGTCTGTGGATGACATGGTGGAGAGGCTGGTGAAGAAACTGGAAGACATAAAAGAGCTGAACAACACCTACATTTTTTTTACGTCTGACAATGGCTACCACACAGGTACACTCATCTCTCCCTGTTCCTCATAACTGTGGCTTATAGGTACTGCCTCTAATACTGCTACCTCTTCTAATTTCTCCTTTGTAGGTCAGTTCTCCCTCCCTATCGACAAAAGGCAGCTGTATGAGTTTGACATCCGTGTACCGCTTTTGGTCCGAGGGCCCGGCATCCAGCCCAAACAAACTCTGCAGGTTAGCTTTGGGTTTCTACTCCACAGAAACATGCTCTTCAGTGTTTGTGCATAGTTTAACATTGGTGTTAATGTCTCGTAGAACGCAGTGATGAATATCGATCTGCCAATGACCATTCTGGACATTGCTGGAGTCAACGTCTCTACCTTGAATATGGATGGGCAGTCTTTTCTACCACAGCTTGTGAGTGGACAGATATGACATGACACTTAGCTTAAACATGCACACAGTACAGTTTGTGCAGTGACGCAACTTTAATTTCGTTACATCTTGAGGTCTGTAATAGACAGATAAACAGATGCTGGTAATTTTCCTATGTTATTTTTAGGTTATCATTCTCATAACTTGCAAATTAAACAATACTTGCAAATTAGATTCAAAGTAGTTTTTTTATTTATAGTAGTTAATAGTAGTTAATAGTAGGAATCTCAGCTTGTGCAGCATTGATTTAATTTTTAGCTGCTAACAACTCCTGGGGTACCAATACAGTGTCCCTTACTTATCAGAGTTGCATAAAAAAGACTGCAGAACTATGCATCTGATTCATAAAACTTTCATATGACATGGAAACAAGCAGATATTGGATTGCAAATGATGAATCAGCTTCAGTGCATGAAATCAAGCACCAGACTACTAGTATCTCATTTATATATAATTTACATGAAGCATGCCCTAATTCATGCAAATGTCCAGAAGGAAGCCAATAAAACGACAGCATTCAGCAGCTTGTGAGCCAATAGCTGTGCTCATTGACAGTTTGAGATCAAGTGCACTGCTCCCCCTACTGACAAAACTTTATATTGTTAAATTTCAATGTAAGTTCACTGTAAATATTAAAACACGTTTTAGAGAGTAGAATGACTTGTTTTCTAAAATAGCATATTTATTTGCTGCATTATTGCAGTGTATGAGAGGCTTCTGTGTTTTGTATTTTTTTATGGTTTGGGCTGTGTCAGTAATGTAAAACAAAAGCACAGTGTAATATGTCTCTCTTCTCTCTTCCAAAGCTCTCTCTTCCGCTTCTCCATTTCTTTTTTAATTGTCATTTACCAGCCGTTATAAATGGTTATATGACCACCTATACAGTATATGTACCAAAAGTATGTGGAGACCTGACCTTCGCGGCTATATAAGCTTCCAAGACCATGGTCATTAATATTTAGTGGGCCCCCAGTTTGTCGCTACAAAAGCTTGTACTGTTCTGGGAGAGCTCCCGCAAGATTAAGGTCTGTGTCTGAGAGAATATGTGTCTGTTCTGTCAAAAGAGCAGGCACTGAATTTGGAAGAGGAGGCGTGACTGAAGTGCAGAGCCCAAACTTTGAAAAACAGCACCACTATCCCTCCTCCAGCAAACTTTACTCTTGGCACTGTGCATTCTGGTAGGTAGCGTTCTCCTGGCATCCACCAAACCCACATTTGTCCATCAGACTGCCAGATGAGTGAACTGTTTTTCATCACTACAGAGAACGTTTCCACTGCTCCAGTGTCGAGTGACGGCATGTTTTATGCCATACCAGCCGGTGCTTGGCATTCTGCATAGTGATCTTAGGCTTGTGTGCAGCTGCTTGACCATGGAAACCAATTTCATGAACCTCCTGACACATAGTTCTTGTACTGATGTTGTTTCCAGAGGCAGATTGGAACTCTGTTCTGAGTGATGCAACACACAACGTAGGCAATTTTTAAGTATCCACATACCTTTGGCCTTATAGTGTAATATCCCTTACCACCACCAAAGGTGGTTTGAGTGATCGGATCACACTGCGTCTTCCTGATGCATTGGATTCTGTCCCTAACTGTACCTGGTATTGTCCACTGCCCAGACCATATCACCAAGTCGCATGTTAATGCCAGGTGTGAACTGGGTGCATCATTGCAAGCCCCAGGCGGTTATTACCACTCATTAAAAGATAAAAAAAAAAAAGAACTAGATTCTAGAACTTGGACTCTTTTTTCGATGAAGAGCAGAACTTTCCATAATATCTGCATGTTGAACGTTACGAGCAGACGGTTCCTCTGTAAATTTTAAAACTGGAACTGGAGTTGTCTTCAGTAAGGGCAGCAGGACAGATTAACTGGGGCAGCTGCAATGATGCATATCTAAGTAGTACCAAGCTCTGTAACTGGTGATGAGGTTATTTATTTTGTCTTTAGTAGTTAAATTTGCTTTCCATGCTGAATCATTCTAGTACTAATTAAAGTCTTATCTAACTATGAGATTGTTACGCAGTTGAACACAGGTTTTAATAAACGGCTACCGGAGTGTCTGTTCTTCTCACTTCTTTGTGGTCTGAGTCTGTGGTGTACCAGTGGAAGGTCTGCAAGGCTAGTTTTACCACATTTCTTCCTGATCTAATTCTTGACGCTGGTTGGTTGGTTTTCTACACATCTGAAGCTTTTTCATCACAAGTCTTCATTGTTCTTCTTTATCAGCTACTATTGGACTTTTTACGTCTTAATATTGTAGCAGACAGTTGACTTTAATGTACTGCAGACTTGAGGAATGGATTGCAATAGCAAAAGAAAGGTCTACAGTACTGTGCAGAAGTCAGAGACCACCCTTCCTTTATGTAATTGAGTCGAAATGACCTTTAAGTACAAGTTACTCATTTTCAGGAGATATTAGATGAGTTTAGATATAATCTACTTGCATAAGGAAAGAGAAAGTCGAAAAAAAATAAGTGACAAAACGGGGATCTGCAAAATTGCAGTTCAAAAAATTTCTTAAACGATATAGAGAAAATGGGACTCCTAGCAGCCATCTGCAAGACCTGGTAGACACCGAAGTTTAGAAAAAAAAATAGAAAAAGGGTAATTAGAGCTTTCATCTTAGACAGATAGGAGAAATTCAAGGTAAACTCTTGCTTCATATCTGAAAAAATACACAGGTGTTTCCATCCATCCTTCCACTGTCAAGCTGTCAAGAAACCATCAATGAGAAAAGGAAACAGACAAAAAAGAAGAAAATTTGAAAATCAGACAAAGAAACTGCTCTTGTTCTATGATGATTTAGACGCAGTTTACAGTGTTAACTGGCATCCATAAGCTTCTGTTACTGTAGCTGTATTAGCCTCATACCTCCATTCCAAAAAGAATGGAGAAAGAAGCAAATTTCAGATGCCTGAAGTTGTTCGACATTACATTTGGGGTAAAGGGTGAAAACTGTAACTAACTGTTTTCTTAACTATTTCTTTGATATAAGACCAAAGTGTTTTAAACAGTGTTTACAGTTCTTTATCATGTAACTCAGGCTGTTGGTTTGGTTTTGACAGGTTTGCTCTTTAATAAAGTTGCATTTTAATTGTACCACGATTCTCCTCATAGGTCCCGCCAGCGCGTAACGGCACTTCTCGTCCTTACTTCTTGGTGGAGTACACCGGTGAGGGTCACTTGCCTGCAGATCCTTACTGCCCCAAACTCGGCCCAGGATTGGCTGTAAGAGCCTTTCACCTTCATTCTTTCACTCCCTCTTGATTTCTCAAAAGTGTGTAAACTGGTACTGTTTTCTTCATCCTGACTTTTCCTCTGATTCTGTAGAATTGCTTCCCAGACTGCGTTTGTGAGGATGCTTTTAACAATACATATGCCTGTGTTAGAACCTTCAAGGACTACAATTTGCAGTATTGTGAGTTTGCTGACAATGAGGTAAGAGCTGGTTTGCTGTCACACATTTGATTCTTGATATATTATATCCTTCCTATTTTATCCACCCTGCACTGGCTACTAGTTACAAAATTCTGCCGCTGACATATAAAGCAAGCAGGTGCACTCTACTATTTACTCAGAGATTTTTTTTATGATCTTTCTTATTTAAAGGGCCCATATCCTACCTTTTTCTCTTATTTCCATCAGGTCCTTTCAAGATGGTTGTGTACCAAACACAGTCATGATTCATTTTTACATGGCCACTGTCCAGTCTTTCCTTAGAATTAAACAGATTTTGTTACTCTGCCTTTTAAGACTGATATATGTAAAATACCTTCATTCTGATTGGCTGTGCTGTATTGTGCCTAATTAAAAAAAACAATCCAGACTGAAACACTCCTTATACCTAGGACTAGACAGATGTGGGCTGAATCGGTGGGAAGTAAATGTATCAGAATGGGCTGGTTTGCAGCGTAGTTTCCACAGTACAGAGCAGAGAGTGAACGGTTTTAAACTTTAACAGTGTTTAAGTACAACAAATTTTATTACTTTAAAAAAGTGAGGAAAATTAGGTTTCGCATGATATTGGCCCTTTAAGAAGTTCTGCAGAATATAATTGTCTTTCTTGGTTTGGTGTGAAATTGTGCCTTGTAGGGAAACGTACTGACTCAGATTTCTTTACAGTGGTGGTGATAGCAACCAGGGGTCACAATGTGTACAACACAAATATAGCTGCTTTTTTCTTATCTCATATATCAGGCAGCATATTCATAACCATTATAGATAATAACTTCCTGTGAGAGTTTTGTTTTGTAGTTATAAACCAGTTAATTGAATAATGTAGCAACAACATAGAATCATATTATAAAGTCAAAAAGCACGAACATGATCTGAATCCATTTAAAATAATTGCTTCCCTTTTAATTACGTGAGTCTGCAAGTTGTATGTAGATTTTCCCAAAACCTCTGGGGGTGCTAAGGAGGAGCTAATACTTTTTCAAGGGTAGCTAGTAGCTACAGGCCTCTTAGCGCTTCACTCACACAGCCACTCATTAAAAGAGCTAAAGAATCGAGGAATCTTTAGCAGGACGAAATGTGTTCGTATGCAGATCCCCGAAACTATGGAACAGTCTAACTAACAGTGTAGTCTAGTTTTTTAAATTACAGGTGCATGAATTTGTACATCTTCATACTTCCTTGGTTTATTGAATTTTGTATGTTTTATTTAGTCTTAATTCTTATTTTTCTTATTGGTAACTGGGATGATAAGCAATTTTTAAAATTTGATAATTTGGGACAAAACTATTGAATAAGTCAATATTGCAATTTTTTTTATTTATTTCAACTGTGGGTATATTACAGTGGCATATCTAGTATATGTAGTACATACTGTTCTATCTCCTGTTTGCACCAGAGGGGGCTGACAAAGCTCAAGGCTTTTTCACACCAAGCCTGAGTTTTATAGACAAAAAGCATGTTAAAACAACTTTTTAATGCTGGTGTATTTAACTCTTAACAGCAATGGTTTTAATGGTCTTTAATGGTTTATTTGCTCCCTTTAATGCTCTTTTGTGAGTTGGACATTCTTTTTAGCAGAATGGGCTGTTACCCAGTGTCCATGACATAGTTACACCGGCGAGAAAAAGACTTTGTAGCTTCATTGTAGCACATTCTAAAATGTGCTGTAAATTTTGCACAGGCTGCATTTTATGTTATATACATATATTTTTCAATATGTTGAATTCCGCAAATAAAGAGTAATCGTGCATTAAATATGCAGAAGTGTGTTCTTCATAGAGGATGTGTTTATGTTGTTAGTCAGTGATGATGCTGAAATGATGCTTTTTCTTTTTCTAACTGCCAGGCGTTTGTGGAGGTCTACAACTTGACAGCTGACCCTCACCAGCTGGAGAACATTGTGAAGAAGGTGGACCCTACTCTCCTGCAGACCATGAACCAAAGGCTCATCAAGCTTCAGTCTTGTGAGGGAAAGAGTTGTCGAGACCTCAAGTAATGTCTATAAACCAGTGTGCAGTGCAGGAACACCCAAACTTCTGTTCAAGCCAAAGTGTGAGAGTCTCTCATGTTAAACTGACTCCAGTATGCATTCTTAAACAACTTTATCAACTTCAGTGGCCAAATTTTATAAATCACAACACAGAAACTGGCCAAGACGTGTTTACAAACAGCCTTTGCTGCTATACTTCACTTCAAATAGATTTACTTGTGACTTTAGGAAACTTTGGCCATTTATTACTCATGTTGTAATTGAACTGAGTCAATGGCTACATAATAGTTTTAAACTACTAACATGTTCACACATGTAGTCAGAGACATTATATGTACTTAAAACGATTCATTCCCGTTTTCTATATATTATCTCCTAAAAAGGGTTTTACAGTTAAGTCAGGATGGTTCTAAGAGGTCTGAATTGTGTGCTGGGTTTGTTATTAAAAATTACACTTGAACTGCCCTCAAATAATCGTGTTGAAAGAAAACTGTGCAGATTTTTCAACATTTTCTGCATAATTCGGTCGTTAAAGCTGCACTATGTAAGAAGAAAAACAACAGGCTAAAATGTGGTGTGCATGCGCTGCTGGGAATCGTTCTGTAAAGCCAGAAATAATCATTCAAAAGGCAGAAGCTTGAAGTTTAGGACTCAGAATTAACATTAGTCTGATGAAGATATGATAACAATAGCAGATAATTCACTTCAATCATCCGATTCATCTGCTCAGGAAAGAGTCTGTAGCATAATCCATATCACAAGTCATTCCGAGTGGTTTGAAATGCTCCATTCCGCAGAAACATAGTCAAAAATGTATTTTTAAAAAATCCATTCATGGCCTGATTTTTCAGTATTTTAGCATTTCATTAAATTAAATATAAAACCACAGAAGTGGTTCACTGTTTATTGTGGAAAATAAATAAAATGGCTGTATTTGTGTTGTAGACCTTGCGACTCCTGGTTCCTATCACCACCACTGTAAAGGAGTTTCACATCAAACCACTCTGAATGACTGTTTACATCTCAGCAATTGAATTATTTTTTTAATAATTAATTTTTTTATGTTTTTTTAAAAATCAGAGGAATTCATCTTTTATGCAAAAGAAAATATCAGTTTCTCTGCCCCTAGTTTATTTTTTCCTCAATCATGACTACATGCAGTAGTCCCCGTTCTGAGCTGACGAGTTCATGTCGAAAAGAAATCACTCCCTTGAATGTGAATGTATCTGTAGCGTAAGTGAGATGTGTGATGTCAGTTGTGCACTTCTTCACTATTTCATGGCAGTTGGCGAACTTGAGATGTTGAACAGCTCCATATGAGGGCTTACAACTTGGCTTTGCTTCTGCAAAGTTCAAATTTCTTTCTTTTTTTTTTTTTAGAGCACTTTTATACTCGATGAATGATTACAACTACATTGTACCTTTTCAAATGAACTGTGAAATGGTTGAGAGCCTTAAAAGTTTTAACGCAATTGGTCATCTGTTGACTGTCACATGAAACCGTTTATTACATTTATATTATCAGATCCACCTAGTCCTTCTCTGCTTTGTTAGTGCATCCATCATTCCAGCATTTGTAGCTGATAATCCGAGGAGACACTCCAGTGTCTGAACAGCCTTTTCATTTGTGTTCATGTAAATCTAATTGTTTTTAATTTTTGTCTGTTTTGAGGAAAATTGAGAATATTGGATATTTAAGGGAAACGGTCACCTTCAGCCAAAGTTTTATTTTATGATGATGTAATTATGTGCCTTGTCTTTTGCACTGAAACAGTGAATGTGCCTTTGCATGATGGGAACCTTTAATTTTAGGTAATCAATAAATGTGAAAGGAGGTTTTCTACCCATGTGGTCACCCTGTGCCATTTGGCCCTATTTTTTTCAGCAAAAACATGGAAGTTCAAACATTAAAATGCTAAGAAACTCTTAAATGGGCTTTGATGTTTTCTGCTTTTATTGAAATAGCGAATAATAGAATGAAGCTATAGCAGCTTTCTTGTTCTTGTTTTCTCGTAAAGTTGGATAGAAGTGTAGTTACTTTTGCCTGCCTCGTCTTCTGAGTTTGGATTGTGTCACCATGCACCAGTGGGTGGGGACAAATATTAACCAATAATATCACAATGCATCTCCCAATACCCATCATACAACAAAACGCTAAGCTAGCTCTAAAGCGGTCCCTGATACCATGTTTTATTCAGACATATATAACGGTAAGGAAGGAAAATTTCCGTTTATGTTGACTAACAGCAATGTTTTTTAAAAATGTTTTTTTATAAAAAGTTATTACCACCACAAGAATCCAAAGTCAAAATACAATACAAAGGGTCCCAAACTGGTGAATCTTATGACATTTATGGTGATTTCATGTACTTTACTTGTTTTTATCACTGCTGTCAGAACAAATCCTTTTATCTCCAGAAAGATGACTTGAAGAGAGAAAAACATACTTTAATTTTAATGCAATTTAATGTAACCAGACTTTTTTTCAAGTAATTTTAGGCTGTTTCTTTTGGTCCATTTACCATGCAATTTACACACAATGTAAACGGCAACAGGCTTTTTCAAATTACGTCAAGAACTGAAAATCGCCAAAAATGGAGATACAAGGTTTTCACAGCAGCATATATTTTCTTGCCTTTTGTCTCGTTTGCTGACCGAAGTGTAGCTTCATAGGTTCCACACTGGATTGTTTTTATAAGCATAGAAATTCAAACTTAATTCTGCAGACAGAAATTATCCAACAAAAAACACATCCGGTTGCCCAGTTACTCTCATATTTACAGCATTTTATTATTTCTATATTATTGGAATTATTACATTTAGAAATTTGCATACAGGGCACAAGAGTGACAAAAAAAAAAAATCAACCCACTTACATTCACATGGAATTCAGATTTATACCAAGAACAGTATTAACTTGATGGAAATCCTGCTGTATCTTTCAGGTCTTCCTCTATTACCAGAATAAACCAATCAGAAGGTCTTACAGATACTTGTAGACGGCTTTTTCCTCTAGTGTCTGTATCTCCATCTTTACTGGACACTTGTAAAAGTGTGACAGCAATTCTTCGGTGTAACCGACAAGGAAATAATATTTATGTGGAGGGAGCTTCTGTAGCATCAGAGCACAAATGACCAGGAGGTTGCCTCTGCGCTTAATGACCAGTTCGTCAGCTAAACATCCGTGGAACGTGCCATATACGAGACGCCGGATGAAGACATCTTCTACAGTCCGATCTGCAGCACCGTCCTCTCCTTGGAGGTTACCTAGAGGAAGAGACATGTTTTGTTTATTTGTTGTATTTTGTCGAGACAGTCATATGCAAGAGTTTGAATACCCCTGGTCAAATTACGTTTTGTTAATGTTTAAGGCTGCGTTCACATTACAAGCCTCATTGCCCAAATCTGATCTCTCTGACACGATGGTTCACACTCGTTTAGGTAAGTGATTCAAATCGGTCATTAACATGAACGAACCGGTGTCCTGAAATGACCCGCATGCGCACATCCTACTCAGTAAGGAAGTGAATGAATCACGTGCGTCATCAGCAAACAAACTAACGAGCTTCGCTGCCAAGACAATGAACTCTGATCAGCTCTCTCATTATCAGAGAGAGACGAAGGTGAAAATGGTGAGATGTGTGATCGGATACGTATCCAATTTATGACCACATATGAAAATGGCTCAGGTCGGATTTGAAAATAGATTTGCGTGTCCACACAGCCCTGAAAACATCAGATCTGAATCACATTAGGGCAAAAAATCAGATGTGTGCTGCTTCAACCTGGTAATGTGAATGCAACTTACGACATCCTGTACAGGAAGCAAACTTAAGTGTGCAGAAGAAATATACTTAGGTGCACAGTTTCTATTTAGTTGCCGAGTTTAATGTATTGCAAATATATATATATGTGCCATTTATGACTGTATATTCCAAAATCTAAACAACACATTAATACGTACTCTACAGCCACTTTGTTAGAAATCCCTACCCCTGTGGTACTCCTACCTTAAGCTCCACCGATCACAGACAGCCCATCTGCTGTTGCACAGTTCGTTAGCCGTTCTCATCAATGGTTAGGTTCTGACCACAAAGTTATTCTTGGCTGAATATTTCCGGGTGGTGCAACGTTCTCAACACAGCAGTGACACTGATGAAAACCCCAGAAAAAGCTCTGTGCTTGATGCAAATGTACCAGCATCAATGTCCCAAATCACACTCATGTCCAAAACTACACCCTGTTCCATCAAGTTTTTATCCTGCTCCTGGTGACCCACAGAACTGCACTGTTTCAATTATTTCCTGGACACACCTGATCCAGCAGACGAAGGGCTCTGTAATCAGCTGATTAACTAGATCAGTCATGATGAGTCAAGGAATACTTGAAACCGTTGGATGCTGTGGGTCGACAGGAGGACCAATAGAAAACATGGCTCAGTTCACTACTTTATTTTGGAAGTGGTGTTTAGACACATCACAGAGAACATTCAGTGCACTTACACAGCAAAAGGTTGTGTACAAACTGTGTGACCTACCAGACACGGAAAACCTCCAGTTGTATGCAAATTACATTTTGTTGATTGTCGAAGTGATAATAAGTTGACACATTCTCTACTGAAAACAAACAAGTTTGCCATTTTAATGAAAATTTTAGTGAATATTTTCTATTTATTTTCTGTTAAACATTTTTGGAAAAAAAACAAACAAACAAATACAAATAAAGTGTGCCATAACTTTTGCACAGGCCACATTTTATGTTTTATTTATTTTCCAATATATTACTCAGCAAATAAACAGTAATTGTAAATGAAAATGTGGAGAAATGTGTTCTTCCTAAAGGATGTGCTGACTTATTTTGTTGGCCGTCTAATTCAGCTGCACTGTTTTAATGCTCAAAAGTCTTATTGGGACTGGATGAGCTTTACATGGGGAGGTGGGGTAAAGTAAATTTCTGAGGTTCTCAGTGATTTTAGTCCTGTCAAAATGTCACCCGTTCTTGCCGACTGCATGCTCCAGTGTCAGTAAAGTTTCCGGCGCCTTTTACATTCTATAAAATGAGCAGCAGAAACAACCTCCAGTTATATTGATCCTGTACCGATCAGCACGTCAGTAAAAATGCTATCATATCCTGTGTGTCGAAGAAGCATTTTCTTGTGTTTTCTGTGGCTAAAATCAAGCCGATAATGGTACTGTCCTGTCTCGTGTACAACACAGAACGTAAGAAAATGTTTTTATGCGGTGAAGGTGACCGCTGTGAACTCCCAAGCTAATGGTGATGCTTTTGACACACTGCATTCATTTAAGACAGCAGGGTAAATGGTTAGTGTAACGAAGTAATGACTAAATTAAATGTTTATATTTTCTACTCAGAGTAAAGGCAGTGTATAAATTGAGCAGACACTTCAATCTCTGTCATTTATCCTGAGATTTCTTATCCTGTGTGAATCGGTCATAAATATCCTGACATCTTGTGCTAAACTGGCATTACCCCACCTCCCCATAAAAAAACCCAATCTTGTCCAAATAGGCCTGAAGTCTGCAAACAATCAGCGACAACTCACTCCTCCTGCCTCCCAGCTCTAGTGTCATCAAAAAGGTGTGTGACGATATGATGAGAGTCATAGTTTTTCTTTATTTTAATTTTGCTCAAAATATCACAGAATACAGAGTCATGAATCAGACTCAGCGCGTTAAATCAAGTGCCAGCCTGCCAGCACCTCATTTACATGAACACCCTAATTCATGCGGATGTTTCAGTAGGAAGCCAATGCAGCAACAGCATTCGGCAGCTTGAGAGTCAACAGCTGTGCTCGTAGGCAGAGTTTGAGGTCAAGCGGTGACCAAACTTCATAGTCTTAAAATTAAGACCACTGGAAAGCATTAAATGTGAAATAAATAAAATGTTTTTTTAAGACAGTAGAATGATGTAATTGTGTAGTGTGCTTAATTAATAATGTTAATAATAACATATTTAAACTCTGTATTATTGCCATGTGTGTGCTGTTTTGTATTTTTTGTCAGTAGTATAAAACGAAACCACAGTGTAATGTGCTTTTAAATGGAACATGGAATAGTTGTAGCATTTGTTTATACCGATGTTCAGGTCCAAACAGTATTATTGTTATTTTCTGTTTTTATTCTTATTACTGGTATTCTACACTACTGATAATAGTTTTGGTAAACTAACTACAAATTAACTACAAAAAATAAATTTTTTTCAGGTTGTTAAACTGTGATGTTCAAATTTACTCACCCTCCTATCAGACGAGAGTTTGATCATAGACATATGCCAAAGATTGATGAACGAAACTAGCAGTGAAATTTGCATGTACTCAGATTTGACTGCATGCTTTGATGTATATGTAGGCCAGTGTACCTATGAGGTAGGTGGAGATGATAAAGTGGCCAGTGAATGAATACTACATATTTTCTTTGAGATTAAAAAAGTAGCATTGAAGCATATTGGTGAATGTTCAGTGAAGCTCAAGTCTGACTGGAGTTTAGATTCAGAAAGTAATGACAATAAAACTGAAACTGTGACTTGCTTGTATGCTGTGAGAGCCATCCCTTTCTGTGGGCTATCTGGTGAGGGTGCAGAGCCTGCTCATAGGTCACTGGACGGTCGCCTTTACCCACACGAATACGGGCTGCACGATTCTGCAAAGACGTAACATCAAGGCATTAAAGACAAATCAAGGCATTTAAAAGCTTAGTGTCCAGCCTGGGACACTGAGGAACATATCATCAAAACTAAGAAGACGTTTTAGAGGGGGGGACAAAAAAAAGATTCTGACAAATGATTACAAAGAAAAAAAAAACTTTTATATGATATGGTGGGACATGAACTAGAAATGTACGAGAAGAGATATTTTCATTTCAGGTTAACTTTAATAACTAGTGGCTGGCTGACATCTCTCAGCATCTATCGACTTCAAAGTTTTGGGTGTAATTAGAGAAAAATCTCAATTGCATTAGAAAACAGCAGCCCTCCACAGCTTACCTTACAACAGACTGCAGTGGAGTGGATGCTCCTCCCTCCAGTGTTCAGCCATAGTGAGGAATTTAACTGCCTACACAGCTAAAAAGAGACATTTCCAGTTAAAAAGACAAATATTATCTACTTCTTCTTCATAGGCCGGCATTAAGGGATCATTATTCATTTAGAGTTAGATAACTACTCATCTATAAAACATAGGTTATATTATCTATACTACTGGTACTAGCTGACTGCAGTGCACAGAACTTAGAGAACATTACAGGGTGTCCCAAAAAAGTGACATCATTTCGTGGTCTAATAACAGCCAATTCTCCCTCAAATAATCTCAAATTTTAACAAAATGTGTAAAAACTAACCAAGTTTAATTTTTAATGTTTTTTTTCAGGTTGAAGAATTGCGTTCACTAGAAATGAAAAGGCATTTTGTTAGAATATGCTCGAACAGAGTCAAACAAGAGTGTGCAGCAGCATTTTCGAGAAAATTCAATAAAATGCACCAACTGGAAAGCAGATTTGGACATGGCACAAAATATTCAAAGAGGAAGGCTGTCTGTGCAGAGCAAAGGGATCTGGACGACCACCAGTATTGGAAGATATTACATTTGTGCAGCTGTGAAATCGGTTATAAAATCTGCATCCCTCTGAATTTCTTGTTTCGAAATTAGATAAATAAATCTTGTATTGTTCAACATGAAGCCTATTTAATTTCGTTTGCCAGGACATGTAGTTACTCAGATATTCACATCTCAAATCATGTCAATTTTTTTTGGGACCCTGTATTTACATGTTTGTTTGCACAGATTTTGTTCAATAAACAAATAGTGCTAGTTAAAAACGAATATATATATATATATATATATATATATATATATATATATATAAAACGCTACGAAATGTCAACACTGTGATCCACATGCTTTCCTGTTACGAAGCTGGACAGCTTCTTGTTCTAAGTTTCCCGTTCCACCTTAAATGTTGCATTGCTGCAGCAGTTACGTTCTGCGCCAGAACGTAACTGGGGACCATTTAAGGTGGAACGAGAAAATTCGAGCACGAAGCTGGAGAATAGAAACCCAAATTCAGCCTTGCTTTCCTGCCTGTCATTTCACCGCTGACTGGTTTCAAGAAGATATATCGATCTAGCAGCACACTGACAACACGAACTCGAACTCACTTACAGATCATTTGTGGTTGTTAAACAAGTTATTTCGTTTAAACGCGCTTACTGTAAATAACGCTGAGTGTCTCAAGGACGCCGCCATTTTAGTTACGTAGGTACACCGGCTGAACTGGACCGTTTTCTTACAGGCAGCAGAGCTTTATTTACCGCCCCCTAGCGGCTCCTCCGCTGTAGCACACTCACACTCAACAGCCTCCCGCTTTTCCTGCATTTATTTTTTTACTTTTAAATACTTTTTAAATACGACTGATTCAGCTCGAAACTACGTTCTTATTCACCTTAGTAATCGAGTAAAATCTTTTTTATGTCAAGAATTAAAGTTAAATAATGTTAAATTAAAGTTCCCTTCAAAACCGACAGTACATTTTATAACATGCACAAACAATCTTTCACCTGCTTTGGATTTGCAAACACTCGATTCACTCGAATACAATACAATGCATTCAAATTTTAATTTTCTAATACTTTTCAAAACGTGTAAACATAAATGTGTGTAGCTTTAATGTGGACTTTATTTAATTCAAGTGGACTTTAATTCATATTCAAGTGAATTTGCACTTTATGACATGTTTTATTTGAGTTTACAAGTTACGAAAAGGAACTGAAAAATTAATATTTAAAATGCTGTTTAGCTAATTTATTGACGAAATATTACATACATAGTATAAGGTGCAGAGGAGCAGACTCATATATTTAAAACCTTAAAATTACCTCCTGCACTAAGAAATATTTGAAAAATCGGTGCTCAGATTCTGGTATTTTTGTATAAAATCTAATGTCTTACAAAATATACCCACATTCTCTTGTTTTTTATATATATATTTATAAATTTATTATCTCTTTGTTTCAGTTTACACTTTTCTTTACTCTTGTCCACTCATTTGGGTTTTCTTATTCTCTGCTGTGTAGCTGTAGCTCCCCTAACGATACGTAAAGTCTATTGATACGTGTTTTGGTCTGTTTTGTGACTGATGCCTTTGTCGCTGTTACCGCGCAAAATTGGATAATTTAACTACTTTCTGTTTCATAATTTCATATTTCATAATTCGTGCAGTAAATTGTTAAAACGCAATGTATTTAATATAAAAAAACACTGACACTTCTAGTGATAATGTTCGTGTATATATTTTCACTTTGCGCTAAATTATTTATAATATAAATGTGAGAGCTACATCACACACATGAGGTTTTTTCCGCTCTGTCAATGAAGAGATAGATGCTGTTTCTATGGTAACAGACACTGAGTTAAATATGTCAGCTTTATTTATAAACTTCTACTGGAATGTGCAAGTGAATCCTTCTTTCAGAAGACTTTTATTTTGGTGAACCATACCGGAAGTGTTTGGAAAGTCCGTGTCCTCCTAATGCTCTCGTATGTTCTCCGAGGTTGTGTTGGTGTGTAGCTGTCTGTCTAACCAAAACAGTCTGATTAAACACAGTTTTCGTTTCCAGCGCTCGTTCTTTTTATGTTCGTGTAGTTTTCGGGATCTTTGGAAATGTCTTCGCCGATTGAAATGACGGAGTTGTACGATAATGCTCTGCTCGGCATCTTACAGCATGTTGGAAACATACAGGATTTTCTGCAGATCTTCTTTGGTTTTCTGTACAGAAAGACGGACTTCTATCGTCTGCTAACCAACCCCAATGAGCGCATGGGTTTCCCACCGGGAGTAGCAGAAAAAATGGTGCTGAAGGTAGTATTTCATCCTCTTGGAAACTTTTGTGCCTTGTTTGTATATCACCACCTGTCATCCAGTCCCACAGTCCACACAGTGCCTGGAAAGCCGTAAACAGTTAGAAATCAGAACAGCTGGTGTTACACTGACCTATCAAACACTATCACAAGATGTCTTTTTTGCATTAAGTAACCAAATTACTGAAATATCACATGTGGCTTTTTATTTGATCAGAAACGTTATTCGCCAGGTTCCAGATGTACAAGGAAATTCTCCTAGTGCAGGTGTCAACATAAAATTAAATATAATAAAATAAATATAGAAAAAGACATACCATATATAAACGTAGACAGTACAGAAACAGCCTACAAGTAACATAAAGGGTGTGCAATGGGAGGTAAATACAGACACAATCAAATACTGAGGTACATATATACAGTATGTAAAGCTATAAAAATTGAACAGCAAATGTAAATATTAATGTAGGTGTTGTCCATACTTACAAAATATGTATATTACGAAAGTAATGTGAAAACATGCACTGCCTACAAGTGGAGGAAAGTGGGTTAGGCTCTTATTCATAAGGATTATGACATAGTATATACAGAAGGATGATGGCCTGGGGAACAAAGCTGTGGAGGTGAATCTTTTGGAGCTCTCACTCTTGGTCTCTGCTGAGATGGAAACCGCTGGAAGAGAGAGTGACCAGGGTGTGAAGGGTCAGCAATGATTTTTCCTGACCTCTTTCTCATCCTAGATGAGTAAAGATCTTTGAGGGTGGAGAGCCGACAGCCAGTGGTTATCTCTGCACATTGCACCATTTGCTGTCGAACCAGACGGAGATGGAGAATGTGAGGACGGATTCTGTTATGGCCCTGTAGAACTGGACCAGCAGTGCTTGAGGCAGCCCAAATTTCTTGAGCTGTTGCATTAAATACAGACACTCCTGGGCCTTCTTCACAACCGCAGTGCTGTGTCTGTCCCTTTTGAGGTCCTCCTGAATGATGGTGCCAGGGAATTTATAAGACTGTGGAGCTATGTATTTCTAGTGGAGGCAGTGGGGTGGGTTTCTTTCTGAAATCAGTGGTCATCTCCACAGTTTTTTCTGTGTTCTCAACTCCAGGTTGTTACCCCCACACCGTGACACCAGCTGTGTTACTTCCTTCCAGTACGTGGACTCATTGTTGTTTGAGATGGAACCGACCAGAGTGGTGTCAAAATTAATAAGTTTAACAGAGTCACTGTTAGAAGTACAGTCAGTTGTTGAGAGTAGAAAAGAGAGCACACAGCCCTGTGGAGCATCAGTGCTGAAGCAGAGAGGGTCAGAAACGTGGTCAGCTTCATTTGGTGGAAGGGGAAAATTGTGTATTTTTCTATGAACTACTGCTTCAGTTGTGGTATTTCTACATAATTCTGAACAGAAGTGATTTTAACGCTGCTAATCAAAATCCCCTTCTTTGCCCCTTCCTTCAGACTTTTAAGCTGTTTGAGAAGTTGGCAGCTCATGACAGAGAGAGGGTGATGCAGCTTGCTGAGGAAGCAAAAGCAGTGCCACCTGCAGTACAGGAGCTTGAGGTTCAGTCGCAGCCAGAAGATGCAGCACCCGTAGAGGTCAAGCAGGAATCCACACCTGCCGCAGCTTCGACCACAGAGCCGGCCACCGCTGCAGACACAGAGACTGAGAGAGAAGACAGCGTTCAGCATGCAGAGGGTGAGCAGCCAACAGCAGCACCTGCAGCAGCAGCAGCAGCAGCCAGTTCGGACTCTAGTACAGCTGCACCGTAAGTGTAGTCTTGATTTGTTTTAGATGTGTTCCATATGTATTAACTGTGCATCCCTGGAATATGTGAAAACATCTACCTCTGAGCTTGAATAATAGTTTTATTTGTAGGGCTGCAACTGATTTCTGTAATTGATTAACTTATTCACTTATTCAATCAGTCGACCAATCTATTACGCCTCCTTCTGTTCCTCTTCTTTTTCTGTCTGTGCGACAAGCAATTTTTACTTTTATGATGCAACAAAACAATAGGAACAGTATCGCCCCCTACACTTCCTGTGATGTATTGCAATCTGTCAGAATGACTGCATAAGTTGTATGAACATGATTGAGTGTTGTAGAGATTATAGAGATTTTTTAGTAAAAAGGTGCAAACACAATTAACATGTCAACATATTTTTCACAATCGTTGTCATCGGCTTTGTCGGCAGCAGGTTTAATAACGAATGTAATAAACAGTAGCTCCATGTTAAGTATAATATAAAAGGGGAACTTTACTGCTTTTCAATATTTTTAAATAATTAAATGGTTAAGACACAAAACAAGTCATTCAGAGTGGACTGATGTGAAATGCTCCATTGTAGAGTCACCGAGTCAGAATTGCTCACAATGGTGGTGGTGATAGGAACCAGACATCTAAAGAGCGGTAACACTGGTCTTTAATCATGTCATTCATTGACCTGATATGTTGCTTGTTTTCCAGCGGGCAGTCCAGTTTTCAGTCCAATCCAGACAGCTACAACGGTGCTGTTAGGGAAAACTACAGCTGGTCACAGGATTACACTGATGTGGAAGTTCGAGTTTTCGTCCCACCCAGTATTGTCAAAGGCAGACAGGTATCTAACAGCAACAGGTATCCAGTGCGCTTCAGGCTAAACAGTTATCACCCAGATCCTACTTTGCATGAATTGATTTGATTGGTTGTCTAATAGCCAGCCAAGGAAGAACATGTGCATAAGCTCAATTATTCACACAAAAGCTTATATGTTAATGGCCATTTGTGCAGAAAACCCTATTTCAGTATTCATATTGGCTTCGGATTTGCTTGAACCGATTCATATCCAGGTAAATCAGCTGAAATGACATCATCTTGAAAATAAACGACATTTCCTTTCTGTTTGCAGGTGTCTGTCGATCTGCAGCCTAGCACAGTATGTGTAGCAGTGAGGGAGGGAGCGTCAGAAAGAGTCTTGATGGAAGGCGAATTCACACACAAAATCAACACTGAGAATTCCTTGTGGAGTCTGGAGCCAGGACGCTGCGTATTGGTAGGCGTGGCTTTTAAAAGTAGCAAATTTAGAGTAACTGATGATATGGATGAAAATGTTTTCTCCTCTCTTTTCAAAAAAAATCACGCCAGCAGTGTTTTCTAAGATATATCCATCCACACAAGAACTTAAAAATGACTCGAAAAATGCTCACATGAGCATTCCGGCCCAGTAGGGGGCGACAATCCCCCATAAAATTTGATGTCAAACGCCTCAACAAGAGCGTTGGAAGATTGCATGTTGCACAAAATATATAGCTTGAAGCTAAATTAGAGATTTTCTATAAAAGTGACAATAGGCTTGTTTGACTTAACACAGACTGGCAGATATCCATAATTCAATATCCAGATGTGTGTGGATACGCATGTGTGCAGTTATACCCTCTTCCTCCTCACAGCTCTCTCTCAGTAAAACTGGAGAAGTGTGGTGGAGCGCTGTGCTGAAAGGTGAGGAGGAGATTGACGTGAACCAGATCAACCGCGAGCGCACAATGGCCACTGTGGATGACGAGGAGCATGCCGTGTTGGACCGGCTCACCTTTGACTACCATCAGAAATTGCAAGGAAAGCCTCAGAGCCATGAGATGGTAAAGTCATGCAAAGCATAGGCGTGCGTTTACTTAAAGTATTTTTATTGGGGGTTTACACGGTAGACAGTAGACAGTAACAAGCCATTAAATACACCTCCTTGTTTCTACACTCTTTGTCCATTTTATCAGCTCCATTTACCATAGAGGAACGTTTTGTAGTTCTACAGTTACAGACTGTAGTCCATCTGTTTCTCTGCATACTTTGTTAGCGCCCTTTCACCCTGTTCTTCAGTGGCCAGGACTGCCACAGAGCAGGTACTATTTGAGTGGTGGATCATTCTCAGCACTGCAGTGAAACTGCCGTGGTGGTGGTGTGTTAGTGTGTGTTGTGTTGGTACGAGTGGATCAGACACAGCAGTGCTGCTGGCGTTTTTAAACACTGTCCACTCTGTTAGACACTCCTACCTTGTTGGTCCACATTGTAGATGTAAAGTCAGAGACGATAGCTCATCTGTTGCTGCACAGTTTGTGTTGGTCATCCTCTAGTCCTTCATCAGTGGTCACAGGACGCTGCCCACAGGACACTGTTGGTTGGATATTTTTTGGCTAGTGGACCGTTCTCAGTCCAGCAGTGACACTGAGGTGTTTAAAAACCCCAGCAGCACTGCTGTGTCTGATCAACTCAGACCAGTGCAACTTACACTGAGAATGCAGAGAATCATTTGTGGTGTTCCTGTGGGGGTCCTGACCATTGAAGAACAGGTTAAAACGAAGCCAACAAAGTATGCAGAGAAAAAGATAGACTACGAATGTACTACAACCTGTAATTGTAGAACTTCAGAGTGTCCTCGGTGAAGTAGCCAGTGGGTGTGTAGTGACAGTGACAAGAAAAGAGTGGTCTTTTTTCGAGTTTTATAAGAATCAGGGGAATTTCTTTTATTTTTTTTTTCCTAAATTCCTGCATAATTCAGTCACTGAAATGTAAACAAAGTCGTTCAGAGTGGTTTGATGTAAAATGATGCATTGTAGGGAGATTTGTTTATAGTGGTGTTAAATGGAACCACAATGTCTATCATGCAAATACAGCCATTTTATTTATTATTTAACATGACCAGTGAACTTTACGATGTCTTCTGATTTAGTAATGGAAATAATCGTAAACTAGTGATAATTCTGAAAAGTTTTCTTTGGGTGCTGTTATTAAATTCATTCACCTCTTCACCAAGAATGGATAAAGCAACATTTTTCGAAGCTTTAATTGCTTCAGATATCTGGTTCTTGTCACCACCACTGTGAACAATTCTGTTTAACATACACAACTAGCATAAATATGCCTTTGAAACTGACACTGAATTAATTGCACTGTTGATAATGAAACTTTTTTCGTGCATTTGTGTTTCAGAAAGTTCACGAAATGCTGAAGAAGGGCTGGGATGCGGAAGGATCGCCGTTCAGAGGACAGCAGTTTGATCCATCCATGTTTGATATACAGCCAAGCGCTGTCCAGTTTTGAGTTGTTGCATGTTTGGCAGATGCTGGATTTTAAGTCTGTACTGATAGAGTCTGAAGCAAGCACTGACAACTCAGCACAGACAGCACCGGCGCTAGCAGTTACAGGAGTTTACCGCTGCGTTGCAGACCTTACGAAAGCACTGCAAAAGTCCTCATGCCTTGAATTGTTACAGCTGTGGATGATTTTCTCAAACATTTAGGTTACTGTACGGCATGGGGATCTGTTCAGCTCCGATTCTCTTTCGTCCTGATTTATAATTCAGTGATTTTGCCACTGGTTGATTTGGTCCTCATTTATATGGTCCATCTATCCACTTACAAAAAAAGAATTATATGGCCTCTGCATTTGCCCCTTCAGTAAAAAGATTTGATTAAAGAATTACAAACTACATACTTACCTACTGAATCAATTAGTAGAATTATATATTAGATATGAAGGGGGGTAAAGGTGGAAGCAGAGGGTTTGTTAGCCAAATTAAGACTGATGTTTTATGTGTATTCTCTTACATCCAGCACATCTCCATATGTTTTGAGACATTTTCAGGCATTTTTCATTCATGAGTTTTGGTGACTGATGGATATTCAAAGAAATGAGTTTCATTTTTGTTTTCATGCAGGTTGTTTGATTGTTACTTGTGCCTGAATTGAATAAAGTACATTACAAAGATTACCTGAGCTCTTTGATTTCAGAGTCATGACTGATATTGAACTTACATTGAAAAACGTTTTTATCATTTTCATCGTATTAGTTTGTACCGATCAGCCACAACATTAAAACATTGAAACTCCTTGTTTCTACACTCTTTGTCCATCTTATCAGCTCCTCTTACCATGTAGGTGCACTTTGTAGTTCTACAGTTACAGACTGTAGTCCATCTGTTTCTCTGCATACTTTGTTAGGCCCCTTTTACCCTGGTCAGGACCCCAACAGGACCACCATGGATCAGACACAGCAGTGCTACTGGGGTTTTTAAACAACTCAGTGTCACTGCTGGACTGAGAATAGTCCACCAACCAAAAATATCCAGCCAACAGCATCCTGTGACCACTGAAGAAGGACTAGAGGATGACCAAGACAAACTGCAGCAACAGATGAGCTACTGTCTCTGACTTTACATCTACAAGGTGGACCAACAAGGTAGGAGTGTCTAATAGAGTGGACAGTGACAGCACTGCTGTGTCTGATCCACTTGTAACACAAAAACACCACCACATCAGTGTTACTGCAGTGCTGAGAATGATCCACCACCCAAATAGTACCTGCTCTGTGGTGGTCTTGTGGGGTCCTGACCACTGAAGAACAGGGTAAAAGGGGCTACAAAGTATGCAGAGAAACAGATGGACTACAGTCTGTAATTGTAGAATAAAGTGCTCCTATATGGTAAGAGGAGCTGATAAAATAGACATGAGCCTATTATATGAGTGTAGCTACAAGGAGGCGGTTTTAATGTTAGGGCTGATTGGTGTAGATGGTTTGTTCTTTTTTGTTTTTATTTGTATTATATTTTTTTTTGTTTTCCCTTATGGAAAAATACAAGGGCATATATTTTCTGTATGTGAGACACATTGCTTTGTTCTACATTGTGTTCTAAGAAAACACATATGTTTGACCGTTTGCGAGTATGGTGAAATACATTTTGTTAGTACATTTATGCATTTATTTGTTTTCCGTACATGTTTTTATTTTTTGTGCTTGACATAACTACTTAATAACCTAAATTATGTGGAGAATCGTGAGCTAAAATAGGCGGCTGCTGCTTCAGGCGTCAGGGGAAAAGATGCTGCGGCCGCGCGGAGCCACTGCGCCCCCTGGCGGCGAGAACCTTCCTCCTCGTGTCAGTGCTTGACAGTTGCAGCGGAAAACAACTGTATTGCAGTCCGGCGGTGTGTTTAGAAGTGAGGGGTCGGGAAAGCAGTCAAGCTCGCTCGTCAGCGAACCTCATCCCTCACTCGAGTGCGAGTCCACGTTTTGTCTCAGTGGTCAGCGTTGTGGTAACCGGCTCTGCTTTACGGCGTGGAGGGAACCCAGCTCAGCTCGGAGACAGATCCACGAAGCAAGCAGAAAGGAGGGGAGACATGGCAACGACAACCTGTACACGCTTCACCGACGAATACCAGCTTTACGAAGAGCTCGGGAAGTAAGACAGCTGTTTAATATCGCGTTCATAAAACCGCTCTGTGTCATTTCTAGCTTTCGGCTTTAGTCGTTGAGTTGTTAAGCGAGCACGAGGAGGGCGGTAAACTAGCAAAACAGTGGTGGCGAATTCACTTGACAGGAATCTCTGTACGACACTCCGAATGAGCTAAAACTTGCTTTTGGCTTGTCTTTACATTCTCCGCTGTGGTTTGTCTTCGGCACAGCGTTTTATTTCAAGTAACTCTTAAGGGCTCTTCTTGCTCAGTGCGGTAGTAACACGGAGACAGTGACATTTGGAGCTTGTCAGGAAGGCTGGGCGGCTGTTTGCTGTCTATAATCTGAGTGTGGAGAGAAGCATGCCTGCTGCCTGACGTTAGGAAATTATTTTGCTCTCCCCCCTCCTCCTCTCTTAGTATTGCGTTTCTTTGCTCCGTTTGTTTCCCTTTGAATTATTGAACGTCCACAGTGTCATCACGATCGTCACAGTTTAAAAACGTACTTTATTTCTTGCCGTCGGCGTTTTTGCCGATTTTTAAATGTTGACAAACCTCTAACGGACAAGCTGTGGGCTGTGGCTTGATGCTGAGGGAATGTCGCATCTGATTGGCTGCGCGTCGTACAAATTTGCATTTACAATTACTGAGCCTCGGATTGCTATTGGCCGAACGGCGTTACTTAGATACGTAATCGGTCGGTGTGATTTACATATACAACCCAAAAGTTTCTTCAGGCGTTCGATTCCAGATATTTTGGAGTCGATTCCAATTCCGATTGACGGGATTCGATGAGTCGATTCCAAGAGTCAATTCCACACAAACATTTGCTTGATTCTCAATTCCAAAAAATCAATAAATAAGGAAGTAAGGCTGCACTGATCAAGAATTCTCATATTAACCGATGTCTTGTCTTCTGAATGATTCTTAATAGACAATTTAATTTAATCTGTTCTTAAATGCTCAAGTGAACACATAAAATATTTGCAATAGAAATAACATTGTTTTCTCTTTAACAAGCCAGTCTGGTATTTTAAATTCTTAAGCACAAAATTATTTTTCCTGTTTAAATAACATGAAATAAAGTGCTACACCAAAAGCAAGAGGCTCAGATGCAGCACAGGTGTACTATTATTTACTTCATAAAATTACCACACCATGGAAAAAGATCAGGCAACATAAAAAGTCAATATTAATTAAGTTCATATTACATTATTATGATTATGTTATGGATGACAAGGGACCCTGACATATTAACTTCATGTGCTACCACGTCAGTTGTTCGTCAGGGACACAAGATGTCAGTTTAATTATTTGATATTACCACGGCGCTTTGGAGAGCCAAATTAACTTAACTGACCATCGAGAGAGAGGTCTAAACTGTACCTGATTTTCCTCTGGATGGGTAGATGTTTCAGCGCTGGAGATGTTTGATTATAAGCCACTTTTTCTGTTGCAAATGATATATTTAACCTTGATTTCCACTTGTCCAAAGCTAGAACCATCAGTTCTGTTGATGTGTATGCATTCTTCAGACAGGCTGTCAAGAGAGTGACAGCAGAATGTCTCAGTCTGTGAGCGTGTGGGTATGGGCAAACTGGAACATCTCTGTGTGGAATTGAGTCCGAAGCTTTGGAGTCGACTATCGATTTCCACATGCCTGGACTCAGAGAATCGACTCTTTTAGAGATCGACCCCCAGCAACATATATATAGATTTATGTAGATCTAACAGCTCCACAGCTTGATTGTCTGACGAAGGAGGCTTATTTTTATACTTAACAAGTAACCCCTCCTTTTTGAGTTATGTCAGGAAATGAAAGCTGTCCTGAATTTACTAGCTGATAATGGCTTTGTCACAGTAGCTCTGGCATTGTCCATAGATGTGTGTAATAGGAGGAGCCAAACCTACTGTGAACCAGCAGTGCATCAATATCATGCACAGAAAGCAGGAGTTGCTCCATTTCGCATCATGTGGGCGTAAGTGAGTGTCCCAGTTACCACTAAGCAGTGGATGGCCGCTACCGGCCCTCTGCAAGTCTGGAGAGCCTCCTGAAGTGGACAGCTCTGTTTTGAGGGTGTGCGTGCTGCACACAGAGTGAAAAAGTATACAGATGGTCATGTTTCAGGCTGCTGTAGGAGTTGATCTTCTTCAGACTGCCGCTTCTATCTCCTGACAGGCAGACTCCTCCAAATCAGCTCAGTGTCTCCTCAGAGATGGTTCGGGCCGGCTAAGCCGCTAAAGAAAGCCACTTTTCTCTTCGCACTTCATGAGTGGCAGACGAGATTCAAGCTGCTTCACTCCGGTCACTGCTTTGGCCGAGGGGAGTCTTCATCCAGTAGTTACCACTTTGTTACATTAGCATCAGTGTGATCTTCTTGACCTAAGCTGTTCATAGGAACAGTTGTTTTAAGGAACAGTTCTGTGAAAAGTCTAATTTACACAGTTTTCCACTTATCCCAGATGTAGTCAGTCAGCCAAGACATGTTTGATGTGCAAATTTTGCTTCTGTATTCTAGCACTGGAGCAAGGCTAATGTTGCTAACAAACGCTAGAAGTCAATAGTGACCCAAATTTTTTTGTAAACACATGCCTAAACTTCTCTTAACCCACTCAAACCACATCCATGTCTTCATTAAGGTCATGACTTAGCAATTAGTTTAGGATGCAGTATGACTTACTGTGAACTATAATAATGAACAGAATCCTCACTGTGTAGCCAAGCAAGCCAAATCGAGAGAGCCCAAATCATACATTATAGCACAAGGACATTGGCTTTTCAGGTCCAAAAGAACTCATCTAGTCAGGCGCGATGTTTTATCGTCTCTTCATTGATGTGGGGCCTTGGGTGCTTTGCCCTTAGTCCACATTACAGGACTGATTCTGTTCCCTGTGTCAGCAGACATGCTGCTCAAGACATGCAGAGTGTATTGTATAACAGTAGAAAGGTGCACTAAAATTAGCCCGTAAAGATGACATCAGGCATTAGTGTTGATGTCCCCACAGGTTTTTGTTATGCAAGCTGTGCTGAAAATATCAAAAGAAAAGAGGTCTGAGGCAGCAGACTCCTGAAAGACAGCATATGTTGTGTTCTTTTTTAGGTGTCTTTATTGTTTTTAGGTATTTATTTCCTGGCTGTTACTGGACCGCTGCTGTCAGATCTGCTGTACTAAATAAACATGAAATTTGTAATGACAGTTTATGCATTAAACATCAGCTCTTGTGTTTTCAGTAATGTGTTTTGCCCAAATGCTTCCCAGCATTATAATGAGTAAAAAGCCTAAGGTTTAGTGTGTTTCATGAATATAATTTTGTACATACTCATCTTAGCTTGGTAATTTAGAGCTTGGTATGTTAGCAAATAGATTTTATGAGTACTGTAGTTCTTTGGTAAACTTCACACAGTGAATGTGAATTTGCTAAATGTCACACGGATTAAATGAATCCAGCGATGAAACATCGTCATATAGTCCTTTTTATTTTCTCAGAAACAAACAGTGATGGCGTTAGATTTGAATTTTGCAGCTGTTCGGACTGGGAAGGCCTATTGTGTGCGCAGAATATGGAATTTCTCATGAAAGTATTCTTCATCTTCATCTTCCTTGTTTTTTTCCTTCAGGGGAGCTTTTTCAGTCGTGCGACGTTGCGTCAAGCTGTGCACAGGCCAAGAATATGCTGCCAAAATAATCAACACCAAAAAGCTCTCAGCGAGAGGTAGGTAAATTGTGTTCAGAAATGGGGTGTAGGCTGTCTGCATGGTCTTGTACTTAAACTAGGCTAAGTCCCCAGGACTGTACAGCCAGCTGTTATACAGTTCTGCCTCATGGGCAGAGGAAGCTCACAGGCGTCAAAGCTTGTTGACGTCATGTGTGTGGGTGCCCTGTGATATGTTGGATTATGATATTTATTTATATAGTTAGTTATTAGCATTTAGTAATTTGTTGTTATTCAAAGCAGATAGTGATAATGCACTCACACCAGTTTGAATGTAATATTCAGCAGCATGCATATAAAAATGAGAGCAATAAAGATTGATGAGCAGATTCACAGAGCTCAGTAACTGAACACAGGGAAAGACAGATAATTTGCACTGGCCAATCAGGCCACTGAGCCATGAATCTTTTGACCAAAACTAAGAAATTGTGGCCAGAGTTATATATATATTTACTGTATATTGTATTAACAATTAATAAGCATGCTTCAGTACCAAAAGCCAGAGTTACTTATGTTGTCTTCCATGCCCACTCCATTTTTTCACTGTACTAGTCAAATCAGAGATTGACACAACATAATCGTCTTTTTTTAACAATATATTAAGCCAGACTGGAGATCTTTATCATTTGATCTCGCTGACCCACCTTCATCTTTGATCAGGCTTTGATGGGTTTGTTATTGGGATCACTGAAGACTGAGATGTTCACAAGCTGCTTCATGCAAGTCCGAGTTGAGTCTTGATTCTCTGGGGTGCGGGTCCGAGTCTACTTGCGAGTCTGTGGGGTGCGAGTCCAAGACAAGTCTTGAGTCTCTGAGGTGTGAGTCTGAGTCGAGTCTTGAGTCTCTGAGGTGCACACAAAGGTAGACAGATAATTTGCAATGGCCACTCAATTAATGTTGTGACCAAAACTAAGAATTTGTGACCAGGTTTATAAAAAAAAAGTTTATTGTATATTGTGTTCACAATTAAGAAGCATGTTTTACTGCCAAAACCAGTCTGGTGTTGCTTTTGAGTCTCCCATACCATCTCCATTTTTTAATTACACTAGTCAAACCTGACAATGGCACAAAGGGAACATAGTTTTTTTTACAATATATTAAGCCAGACTGGAGATCTTTATCATTTGATACTGTAACACACCTTCATCCTCATCAGGCTTTGATCAGTTGGCCTTGCATGTCTGTCATTGTGATTGCTGAAGGTTTAGATGTTCACCAGCTGCTTTGTGCGAGTCAGACTTGAATCTTGAGTTTTTGGGGTGGGAGTCTGAGTCGAGTCTCGAGTCTCTGGGGTGCTAGTCTAAGTCGAGTCTCGAGTCTATGGGGGGAGAGTATGAGTCAAGTCTTGAGTTTCAAAGGTGTGAGTCTGAGTTGAGCTCGAGTCTCTAGGGTGTGAGTCCAGCTTGAGTCTCTGGGGTGCGAGTCTGAGTCTAGACTCCGGTGTCTGGGGTGCGAGTCCGAGTTAAGTGATGAGTCTCTGGGCTGTGGTACCACGTTGAGTCGTGAGTCCATGGGGTGCGAGTCAGTGTCAAGTATTGAGTCTCTGAGGTGCAAGTTTGATCCTGTCAAGGATCAATACGGCTTCAAAAATTTAGCCTTTCATTATAGAAATACCTGCGCTACACTTGGTAAATGTGGTTCCGTGGTATTTGGTAGCTAGTGTAATAGTAGCTGAATTTGTATTGCATTTTAAAACAACATGATCTGTAACTCAGCTGAGAACTAAAACTGAATTAACTATTGCTAGTTTTGCCTCTTTAAACCCTTGAACTGCAAGAATGTGGGCCCACACTCCCCTCTCTCTCATAATAGCTGAATCATAATCCTGCAGGTCAACAGGTTTAAAGTGCCACATTTACTGCATGTAGCACTTTGTTCTGTCCAGACTGAAGGTTTTTCTTCGATGAAAAGTTCATTATTTGAAGGCATATCAAACCTGGCGTTGTTGCAAGTTGTGAGGAGAATGGATTACAGTAGTTACCGCTGTTGACCTTTCTTGATTTCTGCCTCCGGACCGTGGTCTCGACAGCCAGTGAAGTTTTCCCATAACCAGCCCCAGGGTCCAGAGAAAGTTTCACTTTCTTACTGCTCGGGGGTAAATACCCACATTTTGGCACTTACCCTTTTTCAAAAGGGTGAGTTGGAGTGGAATGTTGGCATGTTGGTACTGATCGGGCAATTATTGCAATTAGTTCACTTATTAAACAAAAAAAGAGAGTGTCAATGAAAGAGAAAAAAGAGAGAATTTTGCATTGTGGCAGTAACTACAGTTCACAACAATAACCATAATGCAATGTCCTTAATCTCTAACGCTGCACTGTAGTAGGGCTAACTCTAAATCATGCATGTAAGGTTAGAAACAAAAGGTTTTATTTGTGTCCCACATTAAGATTGGTGATATTCAAGTCTAGACATGAGTCAATTAAGTGCCACTCGGAGTCTAGTTGTGAGTCAGTTAAGCGCGCGTCCGAGTAGAGTAGCAAGTCGGATAAAGGGGCAAAACAGTGACTCGAGTGCAAATCCCAACATGAGTTATTACACTTCTCTTGAAAGTAGTTGGTGAATTCCGACAAAATCTTTTGATGCAGTTAGTTTGCGATTGAGGAGCCAGGATCTGAATCTCTCGTGGGGAAAAATGATTTGTTGATTATTTGTTTACTATTAATGGTAGATATTTGTAAATATATGTAAATTTGTCTGGTCTGGTTTGACAAAAGAGAAAAAATGCAGTGAATCTCAATGGCAAGTGGGCATTTGGGCCACAGGCTCTGCATTTCTAGTGGCCAAAATGTGGCCATGGGTACCAGGTAATATGCAGTGTCACGTTTAGTAATCATCGAACTGTCTATTCAGCCATGGTTTGAATGGCTTAAACAGGAAAATGTGTCAGTTTAGCTCATTTCAGAAGCATCTTCCAAATGAAAGGTATTAGTACAAAGCCCTGTTTAACTACATTCAGCAGCAGTCAATAAAATTGCAAAGGAGGAATTAGGTTTGCAAAGAACTCAAATGCTGAGTTTCTAAATATCAGGTCAGGCACAAAACATCACAGCCTTTTTATAATACGGCTGTGAAAATGGCAAGCTGGTGATGGTGCTCTGTGTGTTGGTTGAGAGGCCCTTTGTGAGGGCCCTGTTGGTCATTTGTGTCATTTATGTTTGTGTTTGTGAGCGGGGGGGTGCGGGATGGTCCGTAGGCTGCCGAGGCAGCTTGAGCATTTGGCACGCTGCGGACAGCGTGTCTGTGAACCCTACATGCCTGGAGCACAGGACTCAGCTGACACACACACACACACACAGTTACACACAAACACACTTGTTTATATACAGTGTCAGGACATGAGGTCATGTATTTGTTCCTTATGTATTATGTATTGTTATTTTTAGCTATAAAATGGTGAATTTACAGGAAAAGGAAAAACATTCTTAACTTATAATGGAAATTAATGTAAAAAGATTTTTTCTGTTCATCATGAAAATTTAACACAATGTAAAGAGTAGCTTGATGTTTTAAATTATGCAAAAAAAGTCAAAAACAAAAAAGGAAATGGTTTTTGCATGAGAGACAACAATATGTAAGTATATGTAATAATAATATTTCTCAAACATATTGTACAGAGCCATCAGGGCCTTGTAGGACTTACAGTGTTTTTAAGATGGTGTTTTAAGCTGTAGCATTTTAGCTAAGCTAACAGTAGCTTTGTTAGCAGGCCAAAAGTGCCACACTTCACAGTAAAGTCTCGGTTCAAAGTTCAAATGACACATATTTAGAAAAAAAAGACTCATATCTGACAGCACCAAGTCTAGTGACAGCCAAAGTCGAACATGTTCTGTGGTGTAGTTTTAGCTGTTGCTGAGCTACTGTTCTACGTAGTTTTTCTTCTGTATTTTCTGCTGCTGATTTAGTGGCACATCAGATGGAAAAAGAGACTGTAACCATCACAGTACAAAGGAAAAGAGGCCTTTGAGGTCTATGGTATCTGTAAAACAATCAGACACTTTATTTGTAGATTGGAATGCTTGTTGGACGTGTTTCTATCTGTGGCTACAACTGTTTTCGGGCAGATCTTGCCAACTGGTTCAACCACCCCACACACCACCCACCTTCCATAAAATGTCATGGGCAGAATGTGTTTATTTGACTGTTTAGTAGAGAGACTTGGAACAGAAAGTTGACATTGTCAGAAATTTAAAAACATGTCATACCTTATTACTGTTATACCACCCAACCTCATAAGTATTATTTATATACATCTTCTGCAAACTTAAATATGGCTTTTTCCTGCAAATTTTTGTGCACAATTTCTATTTATTTGCTGAGACATATATTTGACATACTAGAAAAAACTTAAGCACAACATGTTTACACTGTCTACATTTTATGTTTTATCCTTTTCCCCAGTATATAAATTATGCATTGAAATGTGCAGATGTAGAGCGGGGTGATGTGACAAAAATGTAATATCATGATACTTCAAGAAGTTTTCATGATACGTCTGATAAGTTGGAACAGTCAAAACAGTGCCACACTTAAAAAAGGCTATCAAAAATGATGAATCCAATGATTTGTATGCAACATTTACATATTACATTGCACTAAATCCAGTTAAACAGGACTAATTATGTTCTCTTTGTAATCAAACATGCAGTGTTTTTTAAGTACTCATGATATCCATGATATCCTAAGAAGACCATATTGGGACATATTGTGGCATAATTTATACAACCATAAACATTTCCATATTGTCCAGCTCTGTGCAGAAGTGTGTTCTCTGTAGAGGCCGTATTAAACGTGTACCTTGACTGGAGCATCCGAGCTTTTGCGTGCTACTGTGGTTTAGTATTAGAAATCATGCATTTGTCACACGTACACAATGTACACCCACAAATACCCACAGGCTGTAACACAGTCAGAGCTCTGCAGTATTGTCCTGATCAGAGACCTACCGTTTGCCATCTGTGCTTTTGTCATTGTCATTTACTAAAACAAAGTGGTACCGT